AATGTCACACTTCAATGGGAAACTTTCCGTGATAATCTTCCTACTTTCCCTCACAGCAGGCATGAAAGAATCCTTCACACAGAAGCAGGGCCTCGAATCTACCATGGGGGTTATTGCACCAGGTTCAGGCCACAGAGGCCATTTGGAAGGGCTTGGCTGCCACCTCGTGGTCACCATGTGCATTGCCGTCCAGAGCAGGGGCCCACACAGTCTGGGCACTGCCTGGCCACTTGCTTGCTGACAGGAAGGTGTAGGGCGTTTTTTGATTTGCCCCAATAAGCTCAAACAGAAGAAAGATGTCCAAGTGCTGGCAGTGGCCTTGGTGGGGACTAGGTTAATTTAACCAACCGGCTTCTCTGAGGCGATCGCACCCGCGCTGATTCCTACATGCGCCTCCTTTCAGAAAAGCGAGTCTCCATGGGCTGTTTTGAAGAAAGCTGTTTGTAACACCAAGAAGGGGCCTAACTCCAGGACTATTTGCTCTGCTCCCTACTCCCAACTAACGTCTCTCCTCTCTTTCCTTCTCCTCCTTCCTGTGTCGCCTGTAAACTTCCGTTTCACTTTAAATTACTTTACAAGGAAATTCTCTCCGCTCCATCTGTTACCTTCCAGCTGCGCGGCTTTGGGAAAGTGCCTTGATCTCTTCTCTATTTAAACGTCTAGTAGAAGAATGGATTTTATGTGCTTATTTTTTTTTATTGACTTCAGAGAGGAAGGGAGAGGGAGAGATAGAGACATCAATAATGTGAGAGAATCATTGATCAGCTGCCTCATGCAGGCCCCACTGGGGATTGAGCCCGAAACCTGGGCATGTGCCCTGACCAGGATTGAACCGTGACCTTCTAATTCATAAGTCAACACTCAACCACTGAGCCACGCTGGCCAGGCAGACTTTATATTTTTAAAGCTAGGGGAGCAATAAATAACATGAGAGAGAGCACATGGCCCGCAAAGGCAGCTCTAACCCCCTTCAGCATGAATGAGGCTCATGAGGGTCTAGTGAAGCCCACCCATCTAACTGCCAGGTAGCAGGCTGTGGGTGGCAGGCTGTGGGTGGTAGGCTATGGGTGGCAGGCTGTGGGTGGCAGGCTGTGGGTGGCAGGCTGTGGGTGGCAGGCTATGGGTGGCAGGCTGTGGGTGGCAGGCTATGGGTGGCAGGCTATGGGTGGCAGGCTGTGGGTGGCAGGCTGTGGGTGGCAGGCTGTGGGTAGGTGGCAGGCTATGGGTGGCAGGCTGTGGCTGGCAGGCTGTGGGTGGCAGGCTGTGGCTGGCAGGCTATGGGTGGCAGGCTGTGGGTGGCAGGCTGTGGGTGGCAGGCTATGGGTGGCAGGCTGTGGGTGGCAGGCTATGGGTAGGTGGCAGGCTGTGGGTAGGTGGCAGGCTATGGGTAGCAGGCTGTGGGTGGCAGGCTATGGGTGGCAGGCTATGGGTAGGTGGCAGGCTGTGGGTGGCAGGCTGTGGGTCGCAGGCTATGGGTAGGTGTCAGGCTGTGGGTGGCAGGCTATGGGTAGGTGGCAGGCTGTGGGTGGCAGGCTGTGGGTGGCAGGCTATGGGCAGCAGGCTGTGGGTGGCAGGCTATGGGTAGGTGGCAGGCTGTGGGTGGCAGGCTATGGGTAGGTGGCAGGCTGTGGGTCGCAGGCTGTGGGTCGCAGGCTATGGGTAGGTGGCAGGCTGTGGGTGGCAGGCTGTGGGTGGCAGGCTGTGGGTGGCAGGCTATGGGCAGCAGGCTGTGGGTGGCAGGCTATGGGTAGGTGGCAGGCTGTGGGTGGCAGGCTATGGGTAGGTGGCAGGCTGTGGGTGGCAGGCTGTGGGTCGCAGGCTATGGGTAGGTGTCAGGCTGTGGGTGGCAGGCTATGGGTAGGTGGCAGGCTGTGGGTGGCAGGCTATGAGTAGGTGGCAGGCTGTGGGTGGCAGGCTGTGGGTGGCAGGCTATGGGTAGGTGGCAGGCTGTGGGTGGCAGGCTATGGGTAGGTGGCAGGCTGTGGGTGGCAGGCTGTGGGTCGCAGGCTATGGGTAGGTGGCAGGCTGTGGGTGGCAGGCTGTGGGTGGCAGGCTGTGGGTAGCAGGCTGTGGGTGGCAGGCTGTGGGTAGCAGGCTGTGGGTGGCAGGCTGTGGGTAGCAGGCTGTGGGTGGCATGCTGTGGGTGGCAGGCTGTGGGTAGCAGGCTGTGGGTGGCAAAGGCAGCAGCTGGACGGCACTGCCCTGCCCTGGAGGGCGCTGCAGCGGGCCCCCAGGTGCCCTCCAGACCGATCATTGGGGTGCAGGGTGCTGGCTGCTGGAGGCTCACGGCCAGCTCCTCGCAGGAATCGCATCGCCCTCAGGTTACCGCCCTCCATGGGGATGGCTCTATTTGACTCATTGATATGAGGATCCCTGCCTCATCTGGGGACCCCTCTGAAGAACCACCGGCTCTACCCTCCCCTGAGGAGGCCTCCCCTGCTACTGCCTGCAATTCAAGTCCTCCCTTGGCCCACGCCCGGCCCCTTCCCATCTCACAGCTGTGGATCGTGAGCCCCCAATAAACCTGCACACACAGCTCCGTCCCAGAGGCGGCTTTCCAGAGAGCTGGACCGAAGACATCCCTCTGGTTATTCCACCATAGCGCTCGAGTGCCGTCCAGTCAGATTACCCTCGAGGGCAAGCGCGGGACAGTGAGGGCCTTCCCCTCCTCTCGCTGTGCCCGGAGCCCGGCACAGCGGGGCCCTCAGGAGCTGCTCGTCTGCGCTGAGTGAGCACGTGAGGGGCGGAATGCAAGGCGTGGACTCAGCCTGGGGTCTTCAGGGAAGTCCCTTGAACAGCTTCTGCTTTTCTTCCACAGGAAAATGGCAACAATTCTTACGTCATCCTTGCAAGGATTATGCAATACAACATTTGTGAAAGCATCATATAATAAGCGGCTAAACAAATGTAAGGTATAATTTTTATTTAAACTGAATTCTCCATCAGCAAGCTACTTAATTTTTATAATCTAGACCTGGTGGGTTGCCAAAAAGCAAGCATGTAACATTCAGACACAGAAGACCTTGAAAATGGTCTGCTACTGAAATATATGAAAATTTATTCCAAAGCCATACCCCAAATCCCCAAATGTATAAACTATGAAATGCATCTCTTTTAAAGACTTAGTAAAAAGAGCAGTCTTGACATTGTAAATTTTATAACATTTGAAAGCTTCTTTTGCTACCGTAAAAGTCTGATAAAAGTTAATTCCATAGTGTCAAATGTACTTTGTTTATATAAAACATACTCTTTAAATATAGAATATTCAAATATTATAGTTTTATTATAAAATTGTTCTCAATTTCTGAAATTCTCACGTCTATTACTAGCAGATAAATAGCATCACATTTCCGCACGCTTCTTAAAATGAGGTAAGAAGATAACTTTCCCGATGTTTATGTCTCTGACTAAAAGTGCAACCCTGCCAACTTGGGATCCTGCAGAAACCACAGCAGCAATTCCCTCACTGAAAACTCATGTTGTCATTCTTTTCACACAATCTCAAGACCCAAATCAAAGCTCCTGCTACAGCAGTGCACTGTTTGCAGATGTTTTAATAAATGTTCCTAACCTCTAGGAGACTGTTCCTAAGCCTTTAAAGCGGGGGCAGCAGACTCATTCTTAGCTGGTTTAGGTTGCTCGGTCACGCCCTGTGGCACATTTTCCTTTTCTTTAATAACTCTAAAATGTAAAAAAGTTCTTAGCTCTGCTGGAACCTGCTAATTTTTAAAAGTAGACTTTAAAAAACAGAAGTCACCAGCCTCTAAATTAGGCAAGCCAGTTGCTAATAAAATGTAAACACCACATTTTGCAGTAAGAGAAGCCCATGATTGTTCACTGCAAAAGCAAGCCATAAACAGCCAGAAATGAGTCCCATTCCGATGGGCTGCACTTCAGACATGCTCTTCCGTCGACAGCACTTCCCACGCTTCTTTGCATTTGAAATGGATGATGCACACGTGTCTTTTTATAGGAAAGACTCTCTCTGGAGCTCACCGGAAGTTTGCACTAATACTGGACAGTTTCTCCTGGGAGAGGGTGGGGCACGCACACAGGCACTGCGGCTGCAATGCCCACGCCGGAGACCAGGGCTGGACAGACATGCTCCCCAGCAAGGAGCCGTGCAAGCCCGCTGGAGGTCCCAGGCAGTCCTAAAGAACCTGCTGGTGTGCATTCATCACAGGTAGTGCGTCGTGGGAAGCCTGATTTGCATATGAAATATGTGACTATAAATTAGCACAGCAGCAGGATTCATCCAGGCTCTTGGCGCCTATGACCTGCAGGTGACCAAAAAGATACAGCAGGGAATCAGTGCGGGCTCTGGGCTCGGACAGAGTGAAGATAGAGCAGGGAATCAGTGGGGGCTCTGGGCTCGGACAGAGTGAAGATACAGCAGGGAATCAGTGGGGGCTCTGGGCTCGGACAGAGTGAAGATACAGCAGGGAATCAGTGGGGGCTCTGGGCTCGGACAGAGTGAAGCTGATCTGCTTACAGCACATTCATCTGCAGGTGCATCCTATGGCCCAGCACTGAGATTCGCACCTGTGTGGGGAGGGCTGTAAGGAGTGTGAGTGTGAGTGTGTGTATGTGTGTGTGTGAATGTGTGTGAGTGGAGTGTGGGGTGTGTGTAAGTGTGAGGGTGTAAGTGTGGGTGTGTGAATGTGTGTAGGTGTGTGTGAGAGTGGGTGTATGGGTGTGTGTATGTGTGTGTGAGGTGTGTGTGGGTGTGCATGTGTGTGTATGTGTGGATGTGAGTGGGGATGTGTGTGAGTGCATGGGGGTGTGGGGGTGTGTATGAGTGTAACTATGTGTGAGTGGTGGGTGTAAGTGTGTGTGTGAGTAGGTGTGTGTGAGGGTGTGTGTGTGTGTGTAGGTGTGTGTGTGTAGGTGTGGGTGTGAGGGTGGATATGTGTAAGTGTGTGTGTGAGGTGTGTGGGTGTGAGGGTGCATATGTGTAAGTGTGTGTGTGTGTGTAGGTGTGTGGGTGTATGTGTGGGTGTGAGGGTGGATGTGTGTAAGTGTGTATGTGAGAGGTGTGTGGGTGTATGTGTGGGTGTGAGGGTGCATGTGTGTAAGTGTGTGGGTGGGTGTATGTGTGGGTGTGAGGGGTGGGTGTGTGTGGGTGCTGCATGCTTCCCTTTCCTACCACAAGCAGTGCTATGAATAAATTATGACAAATAAAGGCCATGGTGAATTTTCTCCGACATCATAACCAGGTGGAGCCTCTAGAATGAACCACCCTGAGGTGTCCCACAGAACCAGTTACAGATTCTGACGCTGAGAAAGTTGAGTGCTTGGATCCCCGAAGAAGAAAGCTCAATCCCTCGGCGAGCCATGGCCAGTTTTTGAACTCAAAAAGTCATTTCAGTACAAAAAGAGGATCTTGACAAAGAGCAGTGACACCAATGTCACATGAAACAGTGTAAAGCCCACAGGCAGAGCCCTGAGGCCGGTTTCGGTCCAGAGCGGCTGCCCTGCTGAGGGGCTGGAGGGCGCCCCCTGCAGACAGCCGCAGTCACAGCTCGTCTCGTCTGCTCCTCCATGGCCACTTCGGGTGTCGCCATACGTGCTCTGCAGCCTGCAGGACAAGGTCCATAAACTCTTCGACGTCGAAGGAGTAGTTGGTAAACTTCGGATGTTCCCCCAGAGTGGGGTGGTGGCCCTGGAAAACCAAACCAAAACACAGGTCTGTAAGTCAGAGGATGTGGTTTTCTGAACAGGAAAAAATTACTTTACTTTGGCCAAAACAACTGTGTTAATTCGCGCTCTCCCTTGGAAGTCAGCAAATAGTTTTTGGTAAAGTCCATAGAACACATATTTCAGCTCTGTGGACCGCAGCCTCTGTCACGGTGACTCAACTCTGCCATGGAAGGGCACAAGCAGCCAGACAACACATACACAGAGGGCACACTGTGTCCCAATAAAGCTTTATTTGTAAAAACAGGTGGGGGGCCAGATTTGGCCTGCTGGTCTCCGGTCCACTGATCCCTCTGAGATGCAATTGAATAGCCCTTTCTAGGCCCAAATTTCATGAAATTTTCTTATTAACATTAAAGATACCGAGTGAATACCCTCTTCCTCCGATCTGCAAATATGAGATACAACTCAGTATTCCAGAGAACAATTTTCCTTTGAAGCTCAGCGACAGTTTTTCACATTCATAACTACACACTTCACACGAACTGAAAAGCCAAAGCAGGGGCGCTTCGCCGTTGCACTTGCCTTGTCCTGAGGAAAGACTTTGTTCTGCCTGCGCCAGGTGACGTAGTGGACGCCGCGGAGCCGGGCCAGGTCCAGGTAGCAGCGCTGGTCTCCACAGTTGTACCTGGGCCGGGCAGCCACACGTGAGGCTGGGCTGCAGTGTGTGCCCGGCCCACAGTTCTCTGGGAAAAAACGCACCTCCAAACAGGTTCTCGCAAAGGTCATGTGCACCGTGAACAAGACTGAGGGAGGCTACAGTGGGCAGCCCAGGCGTACAGGGGTCAGCACGTGAGACAGTTTACTCTTGTATTCTCATTTATGAATTATTATATTCATTGCCATATGAACAGTAAACCTACTTTTGCCCCACCCTGTACTTTTAAAATATTCTCATAACTAGATTACCTTAACTTTTAAAAAACAGAATGGAATGGAGACAGACCTTTATCAACAGGGCTGACCAAGAATTCCATATTCTCATAATACCCGTCTCTGCAGGCATGGCCGTGGCCTTGGGGCAGGTAACACTTCCAAGGTCACAGAGCCAGCGAAGCCAGGGAAAGTCCAAGGCCTGGGCTGCCTCAGTGACCCTCTCTTTCCTCCCATCCCCTCCCTTTCCCTCCCCCCTCTGTCTCTAAGAGAAATGAAGACAGATCAAATCCACAATCATCTGGCTGTTTCTCTAATGTGTGTATTTTTCACGTCTTGCGTGGTGTGGAAGTTCCTGGCACCTCTTTCTAAACAGTCATCTGTTTAAATAGTGAGTCAGCTCATTTTTATAGTGAAACCACACAATCAGATGAGGCGGGTGTGGAACTCTCCCGGGAGAAAAGGCATGTCTCCACACCAGCTGCAGGGGCAGAGCACAGGGACCAGAATGTCCACCCTGACCCTCAAGGTCTGTGCGAGCAGTGAGCCTGTGGGAGGCAGGGAGCACACAGGAGCACGGAGCAGGGAGCACACAGGAGCAGGGAACCCGCAGGAGCAGGGGGCACATGGGAACAGGAAGCAGGGAGCAGGGAGCACACGGGAGCACATGGGAACAGGGAGCAGGGAGCACACGGGAGCACATGGGAACAGGGAGCAGGGAGCAGGGAGCCCACAGGAGCAGGGAGCACATGGGAGCAGGGAGCGCACGGGAGCAGGGAGCACATGGGAGCAGGGAGCAGGGAGCACACAGGAGGCAGGGCACAGGGAACCTGCAGAAGCAGGGAGCACATGGGAACAGGGAGCAGGGAGCACATGGGAGCAGGGAGCACATGGGAACAGGGAGCAGGGAACCTGCAGAAGAAGGAGCACGTGGGGGCAGGAAACACATGGGAGCACATGGGAACAGGGAGCAGGGAGCACATGGGAGCAGGGAACAGGGAACCTGCAGATGCAGGGAGCACATGGGAGCAGGGAGCAGGGAACCTGCAGATGCAGGGAGCACATGGGAGCAGGGAACACATGGGAACAGGGAGCACATGGGAGCTCGCAGGAGCAGGGCTTGTGCTGGAGCTGGTTCTTCATGAGATGCACAGGCTTTCACACTCTCATGCTTTAAAAATCGTGGTAGGAAACACATACATAAAATGTATCACCTTAGCCATTCAGGTGTGCAGTTCAGTAGCAGTAAGGACATTCACATTATTGTGTAAGCAACTTCCAGAACTTCCAGCTTCAAACGCACACAATTTAACACTGACTCCTCCTGGGCCCCAGCCCTTGGCACCCACCTACTTTCTGTCTCTGCGAATATGACCCTCTAGGGACCTCATGTAAGTGAAGTCAGTATCTGTCCTCCTGTGACTGGCTTACTTCACTTCAGATAATGTCCTCCAGGTCCAGCCATGTGGGCATGTGACGAGATTTCCTTCCTTGTCAGGATGAGTCATATTCCACTGCGTGTCCAGCCCACATTCTGTAACCCACCCATCCCCTGGTGGACGTGTGGGTGGCTTCCACATCTGGGCTGCTGTGAACATGGGTGTGCAACACACAGCTTCTCTCGCAGCACACTGATCACGCCCAGTGTCAGCGACGCCCAGTTGGAGAGGCACAGGGGAGTGAACCCCAAGAAAGAAACCATATTCAACAATAAATGGAATTTTTTTTTAGTTTCTCTTTCCAAGAGTCCATTATTAGTGTATAAAAATGCCACCCATTTCTGGATATTCATTTTGTATCCTGCTACTTTGCCATATTCATTTATTAGATGCAGTAGTTTTTTGGTGGAATTTTTGGGATTTTCTATGTATAATATCATGTCATCTGTGAATAATGACAGTTTTACTTCCTCCTTTCCAATTTGGATGCCTTTTATGTCTTCTTGTCTGATTGCTGTGACAGGACTTCCTATATTACGTTGAATCAGAGTGGTAAAAGCGGACATCCCTGTCTTGTTCCTGATCTTAAGGGAAATGGTTTTAGTTTTTGCCCGTTGAGTATAATGTTGGCTGTAGGTTTTTCTTAACCAAAAAGGTAAAAGACCTGTTCCTATTAAACTACTAATGGCATCTTTTACAGATTAAGAACAAATATTCCAAAACTGTATATAGAACCCCACAAGACACCGAATAGCTTTAGCAATCTTGAGAAAGAACAAAGTAGGAGGGATCACAATACAGAATATCAAGTTATACTACACAGTCACTGTAATCAAAACAGCCTGGTACTGGCACAAGAACAGGCATATAGGTCAATGGAACAGAACAGAGTCCAGAATTCAACCCATGGCAATATGGTCAATTAATATTTGGCAAAAGACCACTGGAATCCCATTTCTAGGAATATATCCCAAGAAGTCAGAAACCCCCATCAGAAAGGGTATATGCATATGTTCATAGCAGCACAATTTACAATAGCTAGGATTTGGAAACAGCCTAAGTGCCATCAGCAGATGAGTGGATTTAAAAATTGTGGTACATCTATACAATGGAATACTACACTGCTGTAAAAAAGAAAGAACTCTTACCTTTCGCAACAGCATGGATGGACCAGAGAGCATTATGCTAAGTGAAATAAGCCAGTCGGAGAAAGATACGTATCATATGACCTCACTCATTTGTGGAATATAATGAACAAAAGTAGATCCAAAGACACAGAAGCATCAAACAGACTGTCGAATCTCAGAGGGAAGACAGGGGAGGGGGAGTGTGTAAGAGATCAACCAAAGCACTTGTATGCATGCATATAAGCAATACCAATGGACACAGATAGTAGAGGGATAAGGGCATGTGCTGGGGGTTGGGAGTAGCTGGGGAGAGGTCAATGGGGGGGAAAGGAGACATATGTAATACTTTAAACAATAAAGAATTTAAATTAAAAAATATATATTTGGCAAAAGAAGCAACAGCATACAATGGAGTAAATGGTGCTGGGAAAATTGGACAGATACATGCAAAAAAAATGCAACTAGACCACCAACTTACACCATACACAAGAATAAACTCAAAGTGGATAAAAGACTTAAATATAAGTCACAAAACCATAAAAATCCCTTACCCTTTGAGACAGCATGGAGGGACCTGGAGAGTGTTATGCTAAGTGAAATAAGTCAACCAGAGAAAAACGAGTATCACATGATCTCACTCGCACGTGGCGTCTAATGAACACAATAAACTGAAGAAGAACACAGATCCAGAGACAGAAGCCTGGGACAGACTGACGACTCCCAGAGGGAAGGGGCAGGGCGGGAAGAGATTCACCAAAGAACTTATATGCACATGTGCATAGCCATGGACACAGACAGTAATGTGGGGAAGGCCTGGGACGGCAACGGGGTGGAGGGAAGCAGAGGGGGCAAGTGGGGGACATCTATAACAGAGTCAACATCAAAAACAACAGTAAAAAGAAAAGAAATCCCAGAGTCACATCTTCCGCGAGACAGGGAGGAGCGGGCGGTTTGCTTGCTAAGTGAAATGGCAGGCTGCAGCCTCCTCATTTTTAGTACTAGGTCTTTTTTCTTTCCAAATGCCGATAGGGTGTGACTTCCCTGGAAGGATTAAGTACTTGGCCTTTGGGTGCGCTGAGCGGAAGTCTCGGCACGCATAAAGAGTACCATGAGCCGCGGCAATGTAAAACCGCACCAAGTACTTACAGTTCAAATACAGCAGCCCAGTCCGGAAGGAAAAGCAAATGGGTGAGACCAGCTCCGTGCATTCCAATAAAGATATCCGTGTTATGGGTGATCCTTAGCTGATCTAAAAACCCAAGTTCCCTGTGAACATACAGAAGACAGATGGAAAGAACAAAGTCTTAAGTCCAGCTGAGCTCATGACCCATAGTAACAATTTTTATACAAGTGTCTTTCCCGATTTAATTCACATTCCACCGTGATCTTTTTGCCAATTTCAAGCCTTACTCCAGTATTTAATAACTTAATGAGTCAATAATTTTACATTTTTCCCAAGTAAACACTCTTTAAAAACTTAAATGCATTTATCCTAGAAGGAAACTTTTATAGCTGTCTTGAGTGGAAAACTAATAACACAGGCCATAAGCAAAATTGTAAAGATAGATATAATCAGCCCTAGCTGGTTTGGCTCAGTGGATAGAGTGTCGGCCTGCGGTCTGAAGGGTCCTGGGTTTGATTCCAGTCAAGGGCACATGTCCAGGTTGCAGGCTCGATCCCCAGTAGGGGGAGTGCAGGAGGCAGCTGGTCAATGATTCTCTCTCATCATTGATGTTTCTATATCTCTCTTCCTCTCTGAAATAAAAATATATTTAAAAAAAAATAGATATAATCAAACTAAAAAGCATTATTCAAATCAAGGTAGTTATCATGGCAAGGCAACCCTCTTAGCCCATCTTCCTGCTCTCGATGAAAAAGAGAAATTAGGGAAGGTTGAAGAGATGTCTGGAACACCAGCACAAACTGAAGACTATTCCCTGGTGATAAAGGAGTTTTAGCAGGAAAGTGATTCCTCCTGAGTGAGCTGACTTATTCTAAAGAACTAAAATGGTCCCAGTACCACTGAGCATTTTCTTGCCTTGGCAGCAGACAAATCCACAATTTTATGCACGTTAGGGCTGTAAAAGTGTCCTTTGAATTCAAGACGCTGAAAGTTACAAAACTCTGAACTAAAAGCAATGCCAAGAGATTAAAAATGGCTGCGGAGTAAGTGGATGCTGCATGGACATGCTCCCAGGACCAAACTGGAATTACAGCTAAAATACAGAAAAACTTCCTGAATAATCAATGGAAGACTCGCTAGAGAGAACCCTGATGACTGAGAAGAGAAAGCGGAGACCACATAGAGACTGGTAGGAGAGGCGGAGGCACAAAAACGATGGCCAGGCTCCCACAGACAGCAACTGAATAGCTGCAGCAATCTTTAGAAAGAAGAACAAAGTTGGAGAGATCACAATACCAGATATCAAGCTATATTATAAAGCCACTGTGCTCAAAACAGCCTGGTACTCATATAAGAACAGGCATATAGATCACTGGAAAAGAACAGAGAACCCAGAAATCGACCCAAGCTACTAGTCTCAATTAATCTTTGACAAAGGAGGCAAGAGCATACAATGCAGTCAAAACAGTCTCTTCAACAAATGGTGTTGGGAAAATTGGACAGATACATACAAAAAAATGAAACTAGACCACCAACTTATACCATATACAAGAATAAACTCAAAATGGATAAAGGACTTAACCGTAAGACAGGAAACCATAAAAATCTTAGAAGAATCCACAGGCAGCAAAATACCTTTACCGATACAGCTCCTAGGACAATGGGAACTAAGGAGAAAATAAACAAATGGGACTACATCAAAATAAAAAGCTTCTGCACAGCAAAAGAAACCATCAACAGAACAACAAGAAAGCCCACTGCGTGGGAGCACATATTTGCCAATGTTATAGCTGATAAGGGCCTAATCTCCAAAATTTATAGGGAACTAATACAACTTAGCAAAAGGAAGTTAAACAATTCAATCAAAAAAATGGGCAAAGGACCTAAATTGACACTTTTCGAAAGTGGACACACAGAAGGCCAAGAGACATATGAAAACATGCTCAAAGTCACTAATCATCCGATAGATGCAAATCTGAATGAGATACCATCGCAACCTGTCAAATGGCCATCATCAACAAATCAACAAATGACAAGTGCTGGCGAGGATGCGGAGAAAAAGGAACCCTCGTGCACTGCTGGTGGGAATACAGGCTGGTGCAGCCACTGTGGAAAACAGTATGGAGTTTCCTCAAAAAATTAAAAATGGAACTCCCATTTGACCCAGTAATCCCACTTCTGGAATATATCCCAATAAATCAGAAACACCAATCAGAAAGGACCTCATCCCCTATGCTTTGGACCTCATCCCCTATGTTCACAGCAGCACAATTTACAATAGCTAAGATTTTGAAACAGCCTAAGTGCCCATCAGCAGATGAGTGGATTAAGAAACTGTGGTACATCTACACAATGGAATACTACGCTGCTGTAAAAAAGAACTTTTACCATTCACCACAGCATGGATGGACATGGAGAGCCTTATGCTAAGCAAAATAAGCCAAGCAGAGAAAGAGAAATATCACATGATCTCACTCATATATGGAATCTAATGAACCACATAAACTGATGAATAAAAATAAACCTAGCGCCCTGGCTGGTTTAGCTCAGTGGATAGAGCATTGACCTGTGGCCTGAAGGGTCCCAAGTTTGATTCCGGTCTAAGGGCACGTGCCTAGGTTGTTGGCTCAATCCCCAGCAGGGGGTATACAGGAGGCAGCCAATCAATGATTCTCTCTCATCATTGATGTTTTTCTCTCTCTCTCCCTCTCCTTTCCTCTCTGAAATCAATAAAAATATATTTTAAAAAAATAGACCCAGAGACACAGAAGCATGAACAGACTGTTGAACATCAGAGGGAAGGTGGGGTCAGTGGGTGGAAAGAGCTCAACCAATGAACTTGTTTGCATATATTCATAACCCATGGACACAGACAATGTGGTGGTGAGGGCCTTGGGCGGGGGGGACGGGAGTGGGCTGCAAGAGGTTAATGGGGGGGAAAGGGAGGCCTATGTAATACTTTCAACAATAAAGATTTTTAAAAAGAAAGAAAGAGAAATGAGATAGTAAGGTAGCAACATGAGGCCCGGAACAGCGCAGAGCACTCGCCCTGTGCCCCTCTCGCCTGCCCACCTCACTCCCTGCTGGCCTCTGCTGCCCCTACCAGCCTAGAGGCCAGCACTCCAGTCTGAAACCCTCCTCTCCCCCCGACGCATCCAAGCAGACACCAGCTCTGCCCAGGGTGCTGGCCACTTACTTATATTTGTAATCGACAATCTGGACTTCAAATGTGGAGACCGTTTTCAGTGCATTCACGAGCTGCGAAAGCAACAGAAACATGTGAAATTTGTTTTCCTTCCCCAGTTTTACTTATATTTGAGTCCTCAATTTCTTCTTTCCCGTGTAAAATATTTTTCAGGTACTAAACAGCCTCAGGTCTATTGCTCTATCCTTCACTGAGTTCCCGTGCGGGCTGCGCCCCTGGACACATGACCTCCCTGAGTTCACAGTGGCTGGTTCTGAGGCTGCTCGGACCCGTTCGGGTCAGAGGGCTCGGAGGGAGGCTGGCTGCGTGCCCGCTCTCACTACTACCATTTGCTAGTTTTTCCCTCCAGTTTCAGCCCGTAGTTCCTGGGCCCTTACTGGTTCCAGACATTATGTTAAGAAATTTCTTTCTATCCATTTTCTCATTTCAAACAAACCATTAGTGCTTTGGACCTCATCCTCTGGAAATACTGAATTCTTGGCAGAAAAACATTTTCAATATTTCTACACAGAAAAACAATTGTTCTTTTAGCAAACAGAAGGTAAAAAAGCAAATTAACCTACTAGTAAAATCAAAGCCAGGGTTTCTATGTCCCTGAGAATTAGGCCACCTTAACCCAACACTGTGACTCCTGGCTCTTCACAAATGCCCGCGCCTGTGGCTTAAGCCCTGTGTCTGTGTCCTGTTTCCTGTATCTGTGTCCTGTGCCCCGTATCTGTGTCCTGTGTCTGTGTCCTGTGCCCTGTGCCTGTACCCTGTGCACTGTGTCCTGTACCCTATGTCCTGTGTCCTGTGCCCCGTATCTGTGCCCTGAGCCTGTGTCCTGTGCCTGTGTCCTATGCCCTGTGCCCTGTGCCTGTACCCTATGTCCTGTGTCCTGTGCCCCGTATCTGTGTCCTGTGTCTGTGTCCTGTGTCCTGTGTCCTGTGCCCTTTGTCCTGTGTCCTGTGTCCCGTGCCGGTGGCACACATTTGCACACCAACGGTTACAAAGCCTCGCTGACTATGCCCTTACATTGTGCTGGCCCTTCTCAGCTTAGGTGCAGGTCTCCATCCGCCTTCACTCCTCCCCAGAGCCTGACTGCTCTGTGCGCCTGTACGTGATGCCCCGAGGCTCAGCGCAGGACGGACTGCGCAGCCCTGCACATCCTTTCCCAGGTCTCACAAGTCCCAGATCCAAAGTTTAAGCCTGGAGTAGGCGGCTCCCCAGAACACGTGTGAACCCTTCACTGTCCCCACGGCACCGTTCCAAGGGCCCACATGTCCGGAACCTGAACTCGGGGACCTTTCAGAAGCAAAAGTCCATTTTCCAGGAAGAGTCGGTGCTGACACCCCCAAAGTCCCACCGGGCCTGGGTCAGGGACTCAGACCTGAGCCTCGCCTCCCGCCTCCTTGCCCAAAGATCTGCCAAAAAGCCTCCATTTTCTCCACAGCCGAGGTCATAGCATTGGCTTCTGTGTGGGCGACGGCTCCATTCGGTGACCATTCAGGCGGCGGCCCCGCTTGGTGACCATTCAGGCGGCGGCCCCGCTCGGTGACCATTCAGGTGGCGGCCGCTCTCGGTGACCATTCAGGCGGCCCCGCTCGGTGACGGCTTGGGTGGCAGGAAGGGACTGTGGCCTGTGGCTGCCTGCCTGAGGCCCTAGACCAGGGGTGGGCAAACTTTTTGACTCAAGGGCCACAATGGGTTCTTAAACTGGACCCGAGGGCCAGAACAAAAGCATGGATGGAGTTTGCCCACGGCTGCCCTAGACCCAGGAGGTGGCGCTGGAGGCTGTCTGCCCCGACGCTTGCCTCCTCCGTGCTACTTTCTAGTGTCACTTTCGGGAAAAGAAGCAGTGGGTGTCCCCTGGTTGTCTAACACCTGTCAGGCCTGCAGGTCAGAGCCCTGCCCTTGGGGGGCCCTGAGGGGCTCTAGGGAGCCGAGGGGGCTGCGTCCCCAGCCCTGAGGGCCTTCCTCCGCAAGAGCCTCCACCGGCAGGTGTCTGCGCCAGCGTCTGTGAAGGTGAGGCTCTGCAGCCACCTCCAGCCGGCCATGCGGGCAGGGCGGCGCCCGCAGCAGCCCTCCGCCACCGCCCCGAGGGAGCACGTGCGTGGCCACCCAGGTTGGCCTCCCACTTCGTGGGTGCTGGTCCTGGGTGGGCAGCAGTGAGTGGTGAGTGTATGTGTGTTTCTGTGAGTGTGTGTCTGTGTCTAGCTGCGTCACTGTGTGTCTGTGTGTCTATATCTGTATATCTATGACTTTGTGTGTCTGTGTGTGACTGTGTGTCTGTATGGGACTGTGTCTTTGTGTGTGACTGTGTGTCTGTGTATGTGTCTGTGTGTATCTATCTGTGTCACTGTGTGTATGTCTGTGTCTGTATCTGTGTGTCTATGACTGTGTGTCTGTGTGTGACTATCTGTGTCTTTGTGTGAGACTATGTGTCTGTATGTGACTGTATGTGTGTCTATGTATGTGGCTGTATGTTTGTCCCTGTGACTGTATGTGTGCCTGTGTGTGACTGTGTCTGTTTCTATCTATCTGTGTCACTGTGTCTGTCTGTGTGTCTGTGTGTTTGTGACTGTGTGTGTGACTGTGTCTCTGTGTCTGTGACTGTATGCATATCTGTATGTGACTGTGTGTCTGTGTGTCTGTGTGTATGCATATCTGTATGTGACTGTGTGTCTGTCTGTGTCTGTGACTGTAGGTGTGTCTCTGTGTCTGTGTGTGTGTGTCTGTGACTGTAGGTGTGTCTCTGTGTCTGTGTGTGTGCACGTATGTCCCCATCCCCCGCTGAGAAGCATCTCACTCAGCCTGAAGCTCTGCAGTCCTTCAGAAACGGGAGCCCCACATGAATCACCTTGCGAGTGAGATGTTAGCCCTTAGCCTAAGCTACCGACAGTCTGAGGTCTTTTATTGTCACTTTGAGTAAACGGGTAATTTAATATTGTGTCACAGTGATATATGATCTTTTTGGTCATGTTTGACAGTATTCCCGGGGTCCAGGTTTTTAAAGGAGACTTTTTTTAACCTGGAAATGGCTTTGGGTTATTCCCTATAATGCCTCAAACATTTGTTCTCTCTCCCTATAAAAGAGAAGTTTTAAACTAATTTGGCTTACTTAACATACTAAAATTACATGGGAAGATTTGACAAATGAAGTAATTCTAGTTGCTATCTTGAAACACTAAGTATTACTGTACATATGTTCAAATCTCAGTGGAGGCACGATTCAGGAAATTGAGTGTCCACAAGAAGGGGCTGTGAGGAGCCACCAGGTGGACACCACAGCAGGCAGCGCGCTCGGCCAGCGCGGGCTGGGCACCACCTTGGCCCCTGGCCCTGGCCCCTGCCTGGCTCACTGCTGCCAAGCTCCACGCAGGCACCCGAGCTCCACACGGACACCCAAGCTCCACGCAGGCGCCCGAGCTCCACGCAGGGGCCCGAGCTCCACGCAGACGCGGGAGGACGAGGCCCACAGCACTGGGTCCCCAAGGTGCGCTATCCGGGCCCTGAGGAAGTGGACACCTGGCACCGGGGCTTTATAAAGGGGCCCAAACCAGGAGCACCGTCCCCTTCCCAGACAGGGTGTTTGCACTCACAGGCTGACATGAGACAGCAAGCTGCTCAGCTCGGCACCCGCCAGCATCCCTCAGGCCCAGCAAGGCGCTGGCTGGAGCCAGCAAACACCCGAGGGCCAGGCCTGGAGCCCCGACTGCGAGGGCTGCCCCTTTAGGGCAGCAACAACATGCATGTGAAACAAGAGGGTAACGACCAGGCATGACAGGCCCTGGGCGACCCCGAGATCCTATGACCTGGACATTTCCCTGGGTGACAACTGCTGTGGGAAGGAGACGCGCAGACTTTCCAATAGACACGGTGGCTACATATTCTGTCCTAAATGCCAGACAAGGCCCTCTCCCCTAAAACCATGGCTACCACAGCTGGGGGAGCACCCCCCAGGCCCTTCCTCCAGGCACTCACATCACATCGGGAAACCTTTAAGACACAGCCTTCCGTGTGCGCCCCAATGCCCCATTCCCTGTCAGGATGAGATCCACTGACAAAATTAAATGCCCAAGTGACTTTCTCACCAGAAAAAGATCAAGCCCGCGCCCTCCAAGGTTCTGTTACAGTCCTAAGACAACCTTGAACCAGAAACCCCTGAACAAAGTCTACAAAAGGTGACCGTGGAGGCTGGGCTGACCGCGGCCAGCAAGAGCACAACGCTGAAGAGCACAGCTTCGTCCAGGCACTCACATCCACACTTGAGACGATACCCTTCGGAGAGCCCTGCGAGCCTGAGGGCCAGTGAACGCGACCCCGTCGATCCCCGTGGAACACTAGCGGCCACGGCAGGAGCCCGGGACGGAGAGGATCGCTTTGTATGGGATTTGAGAGCCATCACACTGCAGAGGACAGACGTCTGGTGGTGCCAGATCCTTTTTCTGTGCTTACCACCTCATCTGAGGCCGTCGCTGTTTACAGTTCGAGACTTAGAAGAAGCCTTTTACCACATACCCCCGGGACCTGAGTCCCAGGAACTGTGCCTTTGAATGGGACGATCCAGAGACTAACGGGAAACACCAGTGTTGCTGGATGGTGCTCCCACCAGGCATAGCCAGGAAAGACGGGACAGGTGCGAGGCCTTCGGAATTACATGCTTCACAGAGAACTCAGTCTAAGGCAAGACTGAAAGGATGACTATGTCATGAAACCAACTTAACTCGGGATGAGGTCTCATCAGTTGCCCTAGAGCAAGCTCCAGTGGAGGCCGTCTGGACGCTTAAGCATTCTGCAAAAACATTCGACACTATAAAATGTGTGCAGCCTCCCGGTGCTGCTTTATCTGGCCTCAAGACTTGGGAAAAGCCACAGTGAGGTCAGCTACAACCTAGGCGGGAGGGACCCTGTGACGTCCCTCTAGTGAGTCCCCTTTCACATAAAACAGGACGACGGACCCCACCTGGCCAAGAAGAGAAGACAGGCATCTCGAAAGAGGACTGCTTCCGCCCAGGATACGGACCAGCCTGTAGAAACCTGAGTTACCCGTCTTAACTTGCTACTGAGTGAACATAAACAATGTTTTCCTTTCCTGGTTGTGATATTCGCTTGTCCAGTCCTAGTATTCAAGTATTCTAAGCATATTTCTTGTGCTTTCTTGCACTCTTCCTGACTCACTGTCCCCTCTTGGCAGGAAGCAGCTAGAGCAGTCATCCCCCCCATTCCCCAAGACTGAGGAATGAACTACAGAAAGCGGGGGCTGTAACCTAGTCCTCCCCTATTTCTCACCTGACCCAGAACCAGAACCCAGCACATGGCAGGTGCTCAGTGCATGTTTGGGGAGCAAATCTCACTGCTGTGAGTACATCTGCAGCCATGCTATGCAGGCATAGCCTCAGGCGAGGTGAAATACAGTCTGTGAGTTGATGCAGTTGAATGAGTGTGGGAGTCTAACAAGTGGTTTGGCGCCGTTCAGTAAAAATCCAATAAATGAACTGGGTGTAGCCATCAAACTTTTCTAAAGGCTAATAAGTTCAATCAAAACAGTGAATGCAATGTGAAAAATAAAACACACTAGTTAGAGGAAGTTAAGTTCAATGTGGTGACGTTAAAAATGCATGCCCCACACTCACCTCATTTTGGTTGAGTATTTTCCGGTACTCTGTGCTCCGCGCAAGAATGGTGACTCTGATTTTTCCATCCTGTAATCAGAAGGCAAGGCCAAATAATGCTGTCTGTGCCTGGACAGGTGAGTGAACACCTAAACCTAAAATGTGATTTTCACAAAGAGATGAAACGCAATAAGGACACATTTATGGAACTTTTTAAAAAAAATTTAAGCCTAATTCCTTCACAGTTCTCTCAGGGAATAAAAAATGCATCTCCTTCGGCCACAGAAGACAAACCAGTTCATTACACTTCTGTGTGGATGGGTGGGTAGATTTTTTAGCAGAAGCTGTGTGGCTCAGATGGGGATTTGGGCTGTATGGGGAAATATGGCAAAAGGAAGAGAAAGAAAAGAAAGTGCATTCGTCCACTCTCCCTAGTTTATCTTTCATAAATTGTAGACATCTGATTTCTAACACTCAGGTTCAGAAACTAGCACAGAAAACATTGTCTTCTGAGTATTTCTTTTCTGCAAAGGTGGTATTGGTTTTTTATTCAGGGTAAAAGTCAAGCCCACCCAGAACCCAAAACGCAGTAAGTCCTCACTTATCATCTTTAAGCTACACGACACATAACAAAACCAATGTTACCACAGGCTAATGAAGTTCCTAGGCGTCTTATCAACGGTACAAGGAAACGCTTTGAGCGAAGCGGCATTACTCTAGGACAGGGGTGGGCAAACTTTTTGACTCGAGGGCCACAATGGGTTCTTAAACTGGACTGGAGGGCCGGAACAAAAGCATGGATGGAGTGTTTGTGTGAATTAATATAAATTCAAAGTAAACATCATTACATAAAAGGGCACGGTCTTTTTTTTTTTTTTTAGTTTTATTCATTTCAAACAGGTAGTTTGCCCACGGCTGCTCTAGGACTGGCTGTGGACCCATTACCTTGGGTCCCTCCTGCGTGACGTTCAGTCTGTGTAGCACATGCTGGGAAAATGCCCGGAACAGCCCGGTGCTGTGGCAGCCAGAAATCTAAAATAATAGTTCATGTGACAATGAATATTTCAGAGGTTCTCAAGTTATATACAAATGTTATCGTAAAATAGATCAAGAATAAGTTTTATAAATATGAACGTTCACAGCAGATAACATTCTTACCAGAGGGGTGTTATAGAAGAGCCCGTATCTCATCCGGGGGAGCAGGGAAAAAATCGCTTCTTTAAAACACACCTGACGATAAAGACATTTTAAAAGGTCAGAAGAGACAATGTGTACCCTTCAGACCAAAACAGCACTTATAATTACGGGAAATAAATTTTAACTAACCTCTATTTTACATTAAAATATTTTTGAATAGCAAACTATTTCATTCAAGTGAAATCTGTGTTTTTGGAAAAGCTATGAAAAAATGTTTTAAAAGCTACAGAGTTTAACAATGAGGATTCCAGTTACCAAAAAGGAAACTAAAAAGTAAGAAATCAATGGTAATAGCTACTAGAAACCCATATTCGGCATATACGTGATGAGTGAGTCACTGCAATGACAAGTAACATAGACATTTAGGCGGTTTCCAGTACCCTTTTGGAGTCATAGGTTTTCAGGTGAATCACGTCATAATCCGTAAATGCCTTCCACGTGTCAGAGAAGAGGTCCCCGTAGCCATAGGTGCTCTGAAAGAGGAAACAAAATAAGTCAGGGCAATAAATCGCTCAATGTGGCTCTCCGAGAATGTAAAACACACCAGCACTGGCCTGAGTGTGAAGAAGGAACCATCCTAAGCAAGCTATGAAGTCCAGGTAAGAAAACCAGCTTCCACCGTGGGCCTCATTGACGTACTGTCATCAAAAAGAATCACCACAGCCCTGACCAGTTTGGCTCAGTGGGTAGAGCGTCGGCCTGTGGACTGAAGAGTCCCAGGTTCGATTCTGGTCAAGGGCATGTACCTTGGCTGCGGGCACATCCCCAGTAGGGGGTGTGCAGGAGGCAGCTGATGGATGTTTCTCTCTCATTGATGTTTCTAACTCTCTATCCCTCTCCCTTCCTCTCTGTAAAAACTCAATACAATATATTTTAAAAATAATAATAATAATCATCACCACAATTTCCGCCTTAGTCTCCTCAGAGCGGTTTGTTTCTCCACCCCAACCCTTAGTATTTGCACGTCTGCAACGTCAGCTGTTGTGGGCTTTTTTTTCCTGTGAGTTTTCTATCCACAGTACAAGTACACACAACACATACACACACCACTGTTTGCACACACTCTGATATGCTCAGTGAACAAAACCATTCGGGTAAATATCTTTGGAAATAAATTTCAGAGCAAGAAAAATGCTTTGAAAAGTTTTAACATTAAAAACATAATGTGTGTAACTCTGAAATGATCTACCCATTGACTAATGAGTAATACGATAACATCCCATTAACATTAATAATAAGAGAAGTAATAATAGCATCTTGCACGTTCCTATGTCTCAGGCACTGTTCTAAGCATTTGATATTATTAACACACTAGAGGCCCAGTGCACAAAAATTTGTGCACTCGGGGGAGTCCCTCAGCCCAGCCTGTGCCCTCTCTCAGTCTGGGACCCCTCGGGGGGTGTCCACCTGCTGGCTTAGGCCCGCTCCCCTTATGTTCGTATGTTCATTGACCAGCACACAGACATCCCTCTGGCAACCCGGGAGCCCTCGGGGGATGTCCACTTGCCAGCAGGGAGCAGGCCTAAGCTGCAGTCGGACATACTTAGTGCTGCTGAGGAGGCGGGAAGGCTCCCGCCACCACTGCTGTGCTGGCAGCCGTCAGCCTGGCTTGTGGCTGAGCAGAGCTCCTCCTATGGGAGCGCACTGACCACCAGGGGCAGCTCCTGCATTGAGCATCTGCCCCCTGGTGGTCAGTGTGTGTCATAGTGACCAGTCATTCCCAGTCATTCTGCTGTTAGGGTCAGTTTGCATATTACCCTTTTATTATATAGGATAGAAGCCTGGTGCACGGGTGGGGACTGGCTGGTTTGCCCTGAAGGATGTCCCGGATCAGGGTGGGAATCCCACTGGGGTGTCTGGCCAGCCTGGGTGAGGGGCTGAGGGCCGTTTTCAGGCTCGCCACAGCACCTTCAGAGTGAGGGTCCCCACTGGGGTGCCTGGCCAGCCTGGGTGAGCAGCTGATGGCTGTTTGCAGGCTGGTCAAGACCCCCAGTGGGGACCCTCACCCCCATCCTGGGTGAAGGGCTGAGGGCTGTTTTCAGGCTGGCCACAGCCCCTTCAGGGTGGGGGTGGGGGGGTCCCACTGGGGTGCCTGGCCAGCCTGGGTGAGGAGCTCAGGGCTGGACAAGCCCCCCAGCGGGGACCCTCACCCATGGGAGTGTGGCCAGCCTGGGTGAGGAGCTGATGGTCGTTTTCAGGCTGGCCACAGCCGCAGGCTGGAAGCAGGTATCTGGGATTTATTTATCTTCTATAATTGAAACTTTGTAGCCTTGAGCGGAGCTCAGGGCCGGCCAGGGCAGGCGGGAAGCTTGGCTTCCTCCATTACCGGGGGCAACCCAAGCCTCCTGCTCACTCCGTGGCCGCCGCCATATTTGTGACGGAGTGAGGGAGTGATGGTTAATTTGCATATTACTCTTTTATTAGATAGGATTAAACCAGCCCACAAACTTAATGAGCTATGTAACATCATTACCCCCTCTTTACAGATGAGGAAACTGAGACACAATTTCCCTAAATTGTAGAGCTGGTGTTTGCAGGGCTGGGATGAGCCCAGTCTGCTTGGTTCCAGACTCCACGTTCGCAACCTGTGAACATGCAGAAACTAGTACTTTCCAGTACATTTACCAAATGCATTAGATTTTTGAAAAGTAGAAATTAATTACATGATCCATCAGCTAAAGGAGGCAGATTAATTTATTTTATTTTAAAATTGTATAACTTAGATTGAAAATCAGCCAATAGAAATAAGAAATATCAAAGTGTCAGTTGGTTATATATTATGTTCATATCGTTTTATCTTTATAGCACTTTTTTCAGATTATGAAATTTTTATGTTGCACATTTTATTCTTTTTCTTTTATTATATTTTATTGATTTTTTACAGAGAAGAAGGGAGAGGGATAGAGAGTTAGAAACATCGATTAGAGAGATCGATCAGCTGCCTCTTGCTCACCCCCTACTGGGGATGTGCCAGCAACCAAGGTACATGCCCTTGACCGGAATCGAACCTGGGACCCTTCAGTCCGCAGGCCGGCGCTCTATCCACTGAGCCAAACCGGTTCGGCTATGTTGCACATTTTAGAGGTATTTCAGAATTATCGAGAACTATTGCCTTGGCTGGTGTTCACAGTGGTTAGAGCATTGACCAGCACACCAAAGAGTTTTGGATTCAATTCCTTATCAATGGCATGTACCTGGGTTGCAGGGAGGCAACCAATCAACATTTCAATATCTCTCTCATATCAATGTTGCTCTCTCTCTCTCTCTGTCTCCTCCCGCCCTTCCACTCTCTCTCAAAAAAAAAAATCAATGGAAAAATATCAGGTGAGGATTAACCACAACAAAAATATTGAGAACTGTTAAATGTGGTGATAAAAAAATAATTCCTTCCTTCAATGTCTCTCCAATGCCAGTCTAAGAAAGGCCCTTCTTGACACCACCAAAAGTGAAATGTCCCAGTTCTGGCTCAATCCTATATAATAAAAGGCTAATATGCAAACTGACCAAACTGCTGAATGACCGGTTGCTATGATGCACACTGACCACCAGGGAGCAGATCGTAAAGGTCAGCAAGCTCTGACCTGCGGCCTGGCCACTTCCCTGCTCCTGCCCTGGGCACCGGCGCGTGGAGGCCCTCGGGACCGGCGCTAAGGCAGCACATCCACTGGCAGGGCTCCAGGTCACAGCCGGCCCGTCACAGTGCTGCTTCCTTCAAGGCCTCACCAGCAAGAGAAGGTGGCAGTGGCCCCACGCGGCCTTGCCGCTGTCCCGGTGCAGCCGTCAGCCTTTGGTGGGCCTCCATTCCGAGCGACCCAGCAGACCTGGCTGCCTGAGAATTGGCGTGAGCAGCAGGCAAAGGCCTCTCTGCCCCAGTTGGCAGAGTTGAAATGGATGCAGAGAGCAGCCAGGAGGGAGGTAACATCAGGGTGTCTGCCTGCTGGACGACACCCACCTGCCTGCCGGACGACTCCCACCTGCCTGCCCAACAGCCCCAGCCCCTCTGCCTGACACACATGCCAGGAAACAGCCGGTGGCTGAGCAGCACGCTCCCCTAGCAGCCCAGGGGTGAAGCCAGCCCCGCAGGGCTCGGTGCCCGAGACGGAGACAGGGACAAACACGCAGCAAGAGTCCAGGAAGCTCTGGGAGGAAGGGAAGTGTCTGGAGAACCTCCATCCACGTCCCAGCTTCTGCAGGGCCCGCTCGGAGGGACACAGCACTGCGGCTTCAGGCACAGATCTGGGTCAGCGGCCGCACGGAAACCTGACTGCACCTCCACGGCTGTGCTCGGAGGGACACAGCACTGTGGCTTCAGGCACAGATCTGGGTGAGCGGCCGCACGGGAACCTGACTGCACCTCCACGGCTGTGCTCGGAGGGACACAGCACTGCGGCTTCAGGCACAGATCTGGGTCAGCGGCCGCACGGGAACCTGACTGCACCTCCACGGCTGTGCTCGGAGGGCAGCCCGCTGCTCGGACCTCGGCTTCCCCTCCGTGAAACAGGCTGCTCAGCCCTGGCCCACTGATGCTGTGAGTATGAAAGGAGATGACACCAGCTGTCATTTTTAAAAAGCACCACCACACTGAGTAACCTCAGGGCTGCCGATGACCAGCGATCGCGGCCTAGAAGCCCTCACACAGAACGATAGAAAGAAAGAGACAGTGTGCCCTTTGCTCACAGAAACATTTCCAAGAAATGAAACTGGTGGCAGCAAAACTGGAGGACAAGGAAAATGTAAACCCATGACGCACCCACAGCCAGACTCAGAGAACCAGGGATGCACCCCAAGCCGGACTCAGAGAACCAGGGATGCACCCCAAGCCGGACTCAGAGAACCAGGGACGCACCCTGAGCTGGACTCAGAAAACCAGGGACGCACCCCAAGCCGGACTCAAAGAACCAGGGACGCACCCTGAGCCGGACTCAAAGAACCAGGGACGCACCCCGAGCCGGACTCAGAGAACCAGGGACGCACCCCGAGCCGGACTCAAAGAACCAGGGACGCACCCCAAGCTGGACTCAGAGAACCAGGGACGCACCCACAGCCGGACTCAGAGAACCAGGGACGCACCCCGAGCCGGACTCAGAGAACCAGGGACGCACCCCGAGCCGGACTCAAAGAACCAGGGACGCACCCCGAGCTGGACTCAGAGAACCAGGGACGCACCCCGAGCCGGACTCAAAGAACCAGGGACGCACCCCAAGCGGGACTCAGAGAACCAGGGACGCACCCCAAGCTGGACTCAGAGAACCAGGGACGCACCCCGAGCTGGACTCAGAGAACCAGGGACACAATCACAGCCGGACTCAGAGAACCAGGGACACAGTCACAGCCGGACTCAGAGAACCAGGGACGCACCCCGAGCTGGACTGAGAACCAGGGACACAGTCACAGCCGGACTCAGAGAACCAGGGACACAGTCACAGCCGGACTCAGAGAACCAGGGACACAGTCACAGCCGGACTCAGAGAACCAGGGATGCAGTCACGGCCAGACTCAGAGAACCAGGGACGCACCCTGAGCCAGACTCAGAGAACCAGGGACGCACCCACAGCCGGACTCAGAGAACCAGGGATGCAGTCACAGCCAGACTCAGAGAACCAGGGACGCACCCACAGCCGGACTCAGAGAACCAGGGATGCAGTCACAGCCGGACTCAGAGAACCAGGGATGCACCCCGAGCCGGACTCAGAGAACCAGGGACACAATCACAGCCAGACTCAGAGAATCAGGGACGCACCCACAGCCGGACTCAGAGAACCAGGGATGCAGTCACGGCCAAGACTTAGGGAACCGAGTCCCATCAGACTTCAGGGAAACCAAGGGCCTCAGGAGTGGGGAAAATGAAAACCTGCCTACGTGGCCTGACCACGAGCTCCCTGTAAGTGAAAAAAATGTGAGCAGAAAGACTGCCCCTTCTGCACAAGAACTGGACCTGCAGTCCGCTGTCTCGCTCTGCTCCCTGGCGTGTGTCACCTGTGCTTCGAGCTAACACTGCTTATGATTTAAAAGATGCTTTCTCGGTAAACTGTACCTGGACCGGGAAACCAGGTAATGACTCCTGGAACTGGCCGTCTCTCTCTGGGGAACCTGGAGGCATTGCCAAGGCAGCTGTCCCAGGACATACGGGGGACATCCTGTAGGACCCGAGCCCAGGCCTGCCCCCGGGCGTCCGCCTCCTCGCACCCGAGCTGTGCTGTGCGGGCGGCTAGAAAGACGCCTCCCAGCAGTGGCGATGCGCCCTGCCAGCAAGCTGAGCTCGCCTGCACCATCGTCTGAATGGACTCGTGCCACGAGGGAGCCAGAGCATCCTGTGAGTGAATGCTCAGTCGGACCTGAGGTCACTTCCCGGTGAGCATTCTAACTTCCCAGGCTAGGTAGGCAGCCTCGCCTGTGTGTGTCATAAACCACGTGTCCTCACCACTGTCTTTGTCAGAGGGACATTCGGAGCCCAGGTGCTGTGTCGGGCATTGTGACTGTTCATACACCACATGGTTTGTTCTCAAAATGACACTTGGGTAGAGATGACAACTGTCCTATTTCACAGCCGGGTGCACGGGAGCAACTCTTGGGGGGTGACCTTGGCAGGTGGAGGGGTCAGCATTGAAAGAATAAAGGCAGGAAAAGGAGAGAAGAAAGAAAAAAGACAGCAGTAAAAAACAGCAAAAAGCAGGTGCGGTGCTGATGTGCAGGCCCACGGCCCACCCTGTAGTGAGCTCATCCACTCAGCACAGCTGCACACAGGGGCAGCTCTCCCCGGGGCGTGGGGCGCCGAGGTCAGGGAGAGCCAGGCTTTGGTCTGCGGAGCCCCCCCTGCCCACACGGGGAGGGAACTCTTCCACTGCCCCCCTCTCAAGTTCCCAGAACGAAATGTAAGCCTACCTATGTGTCCGCCCATCTGAACATGTGCATACACACACAGACACGCCCCCGCTCACCTGCACGCCTGTGGACGTGTGTGCGTGCGTGTATATTTGAATGTGGTGTCTTAGAAAGTCCCGTTCACCACGCGGAGCCACAGATGTGAGGAGCAAGGCCAGAGCGGAAGCGAGGCAGCCTACGCACCGTGTCCCACATCACGACGTACACGTCGGTGCTGAAGGAGTTGTTCACGTGCTGAGTGAGGTACAGGTTCAGGAAGTCGCAGAAGTGGTGATACATGTTAACACCTAGCGTCGGAGAAAGAAGCCTGCGTTAGCTAACCCCGAGAGCACGTGAGCAGACAATTTCACTCCACCCCTTCTGTTTATCACATGGTGGACTTTCAGCTGAAATAAATGAGAGAAAGGAGTTTTTCCAAACATGACATGATCTATACTCAGGCAATCCTCAATTTACAGACTGATTAGGTTCAAAAATTCACTCTAAAATTGATTATTTAGAAATCAGGAATGCATTTTCCCATATAAACTAAGTCATAAATAATCATTAAGTTCCCGGGGGGCGAGGGGAGTGAATAATACAAGTCTATTTAGCTCAGAATTGGATAGAACTATAGGACCATGAATTTATTTTTAGGATCATTTATTTTTAAAAATAAATTAGGCTACACCTGTTCATCATAGGATTGAAAAGGACGGCAACTATTAGCATTTGAGTATTTTTTCATTCCTGTCTCTTTTCTTCACACTTACTACTTACAACATTGCTCCTTGGGGAAATACTAGCCGACTATTGTTTAAAAGGGCTGGATGTCTCGTGTTCTAGTTGAAGGAGCCTGAACTTTGGAATCAGAAGAACTGGGCTGAATCCCAGCTCAGTCATTCACGAGCCACGTTCTCGGACAAGTTCCTGAGTCCCTAAGGTCCTCAACTAGAAAAAGGAAATCCCTACACTGAGGTGCCAGCTTTGTTAGAAATTACCCACAACTGCCCAGCCAGGGCCTGGCAGCATGAAACAACGGCAACTAGCTGGGTCGGGCTGGATCAGATGGGTGGAGAGGAACAAGAGTCCCAGGCCCAAGTACGCCCCACCCAGGCTCAGCGCACAGGACCCAGGATTCAACCTGGAAATGTGCGACTCTGAACAGGATGCAATTCCAGGAACTGGCATTTAAAACATGTACTTTAAAGGAGGAAAAATATTTATTAAAAGAAAAAGTGACTCTTAAGAGCAGAAATCATGAACTATTCTGACTTCATTCCCACAGTGAATAACTACATTGTGTGCCAGAAAATGAGTTTAAAAAAAAATCAGTTCTTTTTTTTTAATCCTCACCCAAGGATATTTTTTCCATTGATTTCTAGAGAGAGTGGAAGGGAGGGGGAGAGAGACAGAGACAGAGAGAGAGAAATATTGACTGGCTGCCTGCTGCACGCACCCCAACCAGGGCTGGGGAACCTGCAAGCGAGGTATGCGCCCTTGACAGGGAATCGAAACTGGGACCCTTCAGTCTAGAGGCCGGTGCTCCAACCACTGAGACACACTGGCCCTGGCAACACTCAGTTCTTTCTAGACGAGTAATTTAGATGGATGTTTGGAGGGACTCCTTTTTCACCCAGAGAAAGGTTGACAAAGAGTATATTTTCAAATAAACAAGAAAAAGAGAATTCTATTCCAGCACAGCCCTTTGCCCAGGCCAGCCCCCGGCGCACGTGCGTCACTCAGCAGGTTCGCAGCACGTGCTTGCAGCACAGCACACAGAACAGCGCGCGGGGCCAGGAGGGTTCTAAGCCGGGGACGATCACAGGCTCCGTCCTCAGACACGTGAGTCCTGCTTCCTCCCAGCATCTCATTCTCCCCGGGAAGACTGTGCCCATGAAAGGGAGACAGGACGGAGACGGGACATGGGGTGGGAACACAGTACAGTGTGCATTGTGCACCTGATTTTGTTAACCAGTTACCCCAATAACTTCAATAAAAAGGAAAAAAAGAAAATAAATGGATCAGCAAATGAAAAAATAAATAACTTCACTGAAACTCTATATTACAAAAGAAGGAAAATGGGGAGACAGCATAAGTTAGAAGAAAAATGTATAATAGGAAAGAACTGGCCGATCACTCCCCCTCAACATACGCTATTGCACAGGTATCTCAGTGCACACATTCAACCCTTTTACAGGCAAATCAGTGTTTTCTTGGCCCCTTTTAATTGGCATATTTTTTAAATGAGTCAGGACATCAAACATAGCATTTTTACTTGCTCTTATTTTTAAAAATGTAAACTTGTCTGATTCCTGAACTTAATACTTTGTAATGTAAGAACTATGACGTCAGAAAGCAGAACACATTAAAAATATGAGCAATAAATCATCGTAATGCTGAAACAGCCAGGAAGGAGAGCTCTGTTTCACCGAAGGCCGGCGCTCAGGAGCGTGATGTGCGGCAGCGGGACCCTCGCCTCCCACAGCGAGCGGGCGAGCCAGTGAGCAAGCGCAGTGCGATCCACGTTGCCATGCAAGACAAGCAGCTCAGGAAGTGAAGCGTGCTTACAAGTCGAGAGTTAGAAGGTTTATGCATAAATGGGAAAATCACTGTAATTTCAACTTTTCCCCCAAGAATATACTGCAAACCCAACTTCCAGAGGAATCCGAAATTTACTCCACCATGGGAACAATGTCAGGAAGTTTGCAGAAGAGGTCACCCACCCTTTCCTGCCCGCAGTGCACACACGCTTCTACTCGGAGGAAAGTCCCAATGAAGCTCAACCTACATCGAGTGCTCTGGGAAAGGTGATGGGGCACATCTAGTGTCAAAGGTATTCATACACCTCTTCTCTCGCCTTTTGATTCTGATTGAATCATTTGATACAAATATGCAGGTTTCTTCTAAAGGTATTGAATGAAGGGAAATTCAAACCAGTTCACTGCTTCAGAGAAGAAAGCAGAAAGCAAACCCACTGTTCAATGTCATACTGCTTCCCAAAAGTTACCGGAAATCACATAATGTATCAGAAAAGGAACACTGCCCTGGCTGGGTGCCCAGGTGGTTAGAGTATCGTCCCAGTGAGACACGTTTCAGGTTCAACCCCCGGTCAGGGCACATGCAAGAATCAACCAACCAATGCACAGATAAATAGAACAACAAACCTCTCTCTCTCTCTCTCTCTCTCTAAAAATCAATAAATAAAATTTATTTAAAAGGAACAAAGCCTCATTAACTAATAAATTACAAATTAACTTCTCACCTGCATCCAATTTCATGAAGTAGGCTGGTTTCTCAACCACAATGTCACACTTAGCGTCTTCTATTGGCCTGAAGTTGAGCTGAGTGTAGCTCTGGAGCTCAGCGAACCTGGAATTATGAATTGGGAGACGCTTTCAAAGTGATTCTCCTGAATCTCCTACTGCAACACTGTAACTTGAGCTCTGTTCATCAGGGTGACTTCATTCCGGAGCAGCCTCCTAGGAAGACATGTGGACCTTCCCACTTACTAACCTTACGTAACTCGCGGTAGATTTTAACACTGAGACCAGGAACAGAAATGATTTTACATCTCAGTGCGATATACACTCATAACCTTCCAGACGAAAGAAAATTTGCACAGTGAATGGGCTAACTAATCTACCAGCAGGCGGGAGGAGCCACAGGTTTCTGCAGTCTGAGGAGGCTGGGCATCACCCTGACCCTGAGGCTCCTGGGCATGGGCTTCCTGGATCCCTGGAAAGACGGCATTCCAAGAATTATCGGTGTCTCGGAGAGTCAGCACACAGCTAAGCTTCCCAGCAGAAAGGAAAGCCTTTGTCTTGGAAAACCTCACTGGAAGCCACAGGGCACAGGTCTCTCCCACTGAGAAGGCAATCACCCGCAGGGAACCAGAGACATTTAGCGTTAACCTGAGATCCTTTGCAGCACGTCAGCTTTGAAACCACGTCTGACGTAAAACAAATATCCAATAGGTCCTTTTAAAATGCACAAGGGTGAAATAGTGTGGTTTCAGAAATATGTCCACAATTCTTTGAAACTTTTCCCTCCCCTGAGTGTGGGCTGGACTTAGTGATTCACTCCTAAGGAACAAAGTGAGGCAGCATGACGGTGTCACTTCTGAGGCTGGGCATTCTCTCTCTCTCTCTCTCTCTCCCTCCCCCTCTCTCTCTGCTCTCTAGGGGAACCTGGCTGCCATGCTATGATTAGGAAGAGACCCACATGACAAAGAAATGACGCCCCCTACAATAGCCAGAGAGAAACTGAAACTTATGTGAAGATTAGTCAACAGAAGGCTCATGTACTATAAATTGGAGTTCAGAGGGCCTGCAGAGGGAGTTCTGCTGCCCCACCCCTCATGGCCAGTGGCACACCCACTGCTAGCTCCGGCCCCAATTGCTCCGCTCTGTCAGCGGATGCGAGCAGGGCCAGCGCCATCAGCACGTGGGAGCGGGGCTGCCGGCAGACAGGGAACGGGGGACCATGGAGGGAGGGGCCGGACAGGGGTGCTGAGGATGGGCCAAGACCCGCCCCTGTGCCCACAGCAGCCTCACTCGCAGTCCACAGTTCCTTTCAAGGTGCATGAATTCGTGCACTGGGCCCCTAGTTTCTCTATAAAATAATGTTCTTCTCTTTGTTCTCTAGACTTGGGCATGGCTCACCATGAGCATGCGTGGCCGTAATTGCAATTCTTTGATATACCCAAATAAGCATATTTTGCTAGAGGAATATCAAGCTGCCTACTTGTTTAAGGTCAACTGACAACAACATGCGTGAGCTCAGAAGCAACCTCCAGGCTGCTGAATCTAGAGATGACTGCAGCCCTTGTCAACAACTGAACTGGGGCCCCGTGAGAGACCCTGAGCCGGACCCCCAGCGTGGCTGCCTCCAAATCCTGACCACCAGGAACCTCATGAAATAATGAATGTTTGCTGTCTTAAACTGCCCAATTTTGGAGTAATTTGTCACATAGCAATAGATAATGAATGCAAATATACTCCAGAGTATATTTTGGAGTAATTTGTTCTATGGAAATAAACAACTAATACAAACATACCCCAGGCAACTACCATGTGAAATCAGATAACAAAATATACAGGACTAAGAACGCCCATTGGAACACAGGAGCTCCTACTGCAGAACTCTGTTAAGTCAAAGAAGATGCCGCACTGCCGACTATAAAATGTCATACAGATGCACGGTAGATTACTATCCTGAAGGATTTTCTCAGAATGAGTGTTTGACCTCAAAAATTAGCATAAGAGTATCCTATGTGACTTGTGATATTGTTATTTAAATAGTAATATTACATTAGGTCTTCACCCCCTTTTCTGGCACAGAGCTCCTAAAACCCTTAGGATTGCTGAGGTCATGAGAATCATAAAGGTGTCTTCCATTGTGTTAGCGGCTCACCCTTAAAGTTGGGAGCTGGTTGCCAGAAGAACCAGCCATGTGATGAGAGGTTTGGAATGTTCAGTTCCACCTGCTGACCTCTGGGAAAGGAAGACAGGCTAGAGGCTGAACCCATCAGTGGCCAGTGATTTCATCAGCAATGCCTACCCAATGACGCCTCCACAGAAAACGAAACAGAGCTTCCGGGTTGGGGAACGCTTGGAGATTTGGAGATTGGTGAGCCTGGAGAGAACACAGAAGGCCGGCACCCCTTCCCCACACGTTCCCTGTGCATCTCGTACACTCTGGTGTTCCTGAGCCACATGCTTTCAACATAAACCACTTAATAATTAAAATGTTCTTCAAAGCTCTGCCAAACTAAACCCAACCTATAGTCAAAGGACATGTGACAACCTGGCCTTGAGGGACTGAACCCTTAACCTTGGGACACAGCATCAGAATTGAGTTGAAAGGCAGGACCCACGGGTGGTTCTGGAGAATTGCGTGGTGGTGGGGAAACCACCCATGCACACCGGAACCAGGTGCCCGGGACCTCCAGCTGTAAAGAGGTGGCGAGAGCATCTCTCTGGGATGCTGGACAGGTCTGCCCCCTGAAACTTCAGAAATATGCATCCCAAAAAATGAAAGTATATAAGCAAATACTTAAATCCAAATGTGTTCATTATTAATATTGAACCAGTGTCCATTTCCTGGTTTTGGTCATTGTGCTATGGTTATGTAAGATGTCACCATTTGAGGAAGCCAGAATAAGGCTACAATGGGAGCACCTTGTATCTTTAAACTTCTATGAGTCTAAAAGTATTTTAAAATAAAAAAAAATTTAAATTACCCTAATTCCTTCATTTCTAGAGATGGTAACTTTCTTAGTAAACACAGAACTAGTTTAATTTTAAAAATGTTTTAAATCAAAATGTATTCCCCAATTTATATAAAGTTCAAAAAGCTGATCAATGGTGTTGAAAGTCAGAATAGCGTTTATCTTTGGAGAGGAGGATGGGGGTTGGGACTGGGAGAGAGTTGGGTGCTGGTGATGGTCTATTTTTTTTAAATTTATCTTTATTGTTGAAAGTATTACAGATGTCCCGATGATGGTCTATTTCTGACTTGGGTCAGAGTCACACAGGTAGGTTCACTCGTTCATAATCCAAACTATATACTTTTCTCTATGCTTGTTACAGACTTCAATAAATTGTGTTTCTTTTTTAAATGTATGCCCCAAAACACAGAAATTACGAGTTAATAAAAATTCATTATTTTTTAACTCATTTTTTTCTTCCATTAGCAAAAAGTATGTACTATATCATACTTCCTAATATTTTATAAACATATTTAATTCAGTTATAACTGGTGGATTTGCTCTGAAGCCATCAATTCCTGAAAGCTCATGCCAAATTATTCACAAATGAAGTAAAACTTTCCATTTGAGATTCCCTACCAAAATCTGCAAGTTCCAGAAATAAAGGCAAATATTTTACAAACACAGTAAAAAAAAAAAAATCTCACCAAGACTGCAGGGGGCTTTTGCGCTGACCTTCAGACATCAATGTATGCACATCAAGCTTACAGTGTCCTCCAATTTCACCAGTCTGGAAAACATCCTCCTGAAACCTGGTCGATAACAAAAATTAAATTACATTGGAAAAATTTTTCAGGACTCAAGCACATGAGCTGTCACCAAAGTGGTTTACCAAAATCAGTTTTTCATCAGAACCAAACTCTTTATAATAGAACTAGAGGCCCGGTGCACAAAAATTTGTGCACTCAGGGCGGTCCCTCAGCCTGGCCTGTGCCCTCTCGCAGTCTGGGACCCCTTGGTGGATGACCACCTGCTGGTTTAGGCCCACTCCCTGGGGAATTGGGCCTAAGCTGGCAGTCAGACATCACTCTGGCAGCCAGGGAGCCCTTGGGGGATGTCCACTTGCCAGCGGGGAGCAGGCCTAAGCTGCAGTCGGACATCCTTATCGCTGCTGAGTAGACAGGAGAGGCTCCCACCACCACCGCTGTACTGGCAGCCGGCAGCCTGGCTTGTAGCTGACCAGAGCTCCCCCTGTGGGAGCGCACTGACCAGTAGGGGGCAGTTCCTGCATTGAGCATCTGCCCCTGGTGGTCAGTGTGTGTCATAGTGACCAGTCATTCCAGTCTTTCTGCTGTTAGGGTCAGTTTGCATATTACCCTTTTATTATATAGGATAGAGGCCTGGTGCATGGGTGGGGGCCAGCTGGTTTGCCCTGAAGAGTATCCTGGATCAGGGTGGGGGTCCCACTGGGGTGCCTGGCCAGCCTGGGTGAGGGGCTGATGGGTGTTTGCAGGCTGGTCACACCCCCTTCAGGGTGGGGGTCCCCACTGGGGTGCCTGGCCAGCCTGGGTGAGGGGCTGATGGCTGTTTGCAGGCTGGTCAAGCCTCCCCCCACAGTGGGGATCCTCACGTCATGGAGGTTTGGCCAGCCTGGGTGAGGGGCTGATGGCTGTTTGCAGGCTGGTCAAGCCTCCCCCCACAGTGGGGATCCTCACGTCATGGAGGTTTGGCCAGCCTGGGTGAGGGGCTCATGGCTGTTTGCAGGCTGGCCACACCCCCTTTAGGGTTGGGGGTCTCCACTGGTGTGCCTGGCCAGTCTGGGTGAGGGGCTGAGGGCCGTTTTCAGGCTGGCCAAGCCCCCCGGCGACGGAAGCTCCCAGCCTCTCCTTTTTTTCTTTTTCCTTTTTTTATTCTGGGGTTTATTTACCTTCTATAATTAAAACTTTGTTGCCTTCAGTGAAGCTCAGAGCCGGCTCCTACTCACTCCAGCTCCTTGGCCACGGCCTGCTGAAAGCACTTACCTGGAGTTTATTTAGCTTCTATAATTGAAACTTTGTTGCCTTCAGTGGAGCTCAGTGCCAGCCGGGAAGCTTGGCTTCCTCCATCACTGGAGCAACCAAGCCTCCTGCTCGCTTCAGCTCTGTGGCTGCCAGCTGCCATCTTGGGTTAATTTGCATATAGTTGCTCTGATTGGCTGGTGAGCATGGCTTAAGGCGTAGCGAAGGTACAGTCAATTTGCATGTTTGTCTTTTATTAGATTAGATATTTCAAATGTATACAAAAGCAGCAGAATCGTATAGGAAGGAAGCTGATGGACCCAAAACCCAGCTTCACAACAATCAACTCGTGGCCAATCAAGTCCCCCAACCTCCACCTGTCCCAGCCTCATCGTCACATCTTTATGAAGCAAACCCAAGGTATATCCCTGGGCCTGAAAATATTTCAGAATTTCTATTGGATTTTTAACATCAATCACTTAAGTACCTGTCATGGTTTCTCTTGATGTTTCTTAAGTCAAGGTAGAGATTGGTTGCTCTGCAATACTGAAGGTAGCGGGAACATACCAGACTCGAGTCACTCTGAAATAAGGTTGAGAAAACAACTCTGAGTATTAACATTCCAAGGACACCCCCAGACGTGCTAGACGTGTGACAGCATGTGCACCTTGAGATTGAGCCACACGGTGTAACGAGGCATGCTCCCAAAGGCTGCTTCTGTTTAGGACATTTCCCTCCCACGCAGGTTTTGACCACACATAGTTTTGCCCATTTTCACATTTTTCAGTGACTAAGAACTCCCAATGTTCTATTTATATCACCTCTTGTTAAGGCAAGAGCGGAATGTGTGGTTCAGTCCTCTAAGTAGAAAAGCTCTCAGAACCATCACCACCACAGTGTGTGAAAAGCATCTTTCAAAGACGAGCCAAATGAAACAAGATGAACACACACAAGACATTAAAATGCAAGGCTGAAGGGCAGTGTGCCAATTCCATAAGAGGTACTGTCTGCAAACAGAAAGCTGGTGGAGGTCCCTGTCTCAACGGTGACACAGGGCAATGTTTTCTAAATCATTGACATAAGCGAGCTGGCAAGGCGGCCACCAGAGCCGGCTCCTGTCTCTACCAGTCTGGTTTGTGCGGGAAGAGGGAGTGTCAAGAACTTTACTAGTATCTTCTCTGGATTTTACTTATAGATTAAATGCCATTTGTTTTTCCTGTAACTCCCATGAACACAAGGCCTTGACCGGCACAGTGTTCTGGAGTCCACAGTTGGTAAGGGATCAGGCTCTGAGAGCACAAAGCACACGGAGGTAGATCTTGGCCAGGAGAGCATTCTACAAACCGCCCCGGAGGAGTGTGCCAGGTGGGCCATGGCTCCTGCCTGCCCTGTGCACAGACAGCAGACTCAGGCCAGAGGATGGCAGGTGAGACGGCGTCTGCTGCAGGCACAAGCACAGTGCGGGTCCTGCCCTGCCTCCTGCGAGAAGTGCCTCAAGTCCTATTATGTGACAGCCTCCAAAAGCTACAGAGTGCATGCAAGTGCATTAATAAAATCTTTCTTTAATTTTCTGATTGCCTGAAGACCATGGAGAAGCCTGAGATGTCCGAGACTTGGCCAGGGTTCAAGCACATGGGAAGAAAACAGACCCTACAACTCCCTGGACCTGTAAAAACAAACACTGAGCCCTTTGCTTGGACTGGGACCCTGCACTGAGCATTTTTATATACAGACTCTCACTTCATCCTTACCACAAGCTCTGAAATAGGCATGGCTTAAAAGCAGAAGGAATTGCCGGGCCAATGTGGTTCAGTGGTTGAGCATCAACCTATGAACCAGGAGGTCATGGTTCAATTCCCAGTCAGGGCACACGCCCAGGTGGTGGGCTTGATCCCCAGAAGGGGGCAGGCAGGAGGCAGCCAATCAGTGATTCTCATCCATATTTCTCCCTCTCCTTTCCTTCTGAAATCAATAAAAATCTATATTTTTTTAAAAGTTTAAAAAGCAGAAGAAATTGAAAAACAGACCGTTGGGTGCCTGTCCAGGAATCAGGATTTGAACCCTGTCCTTCTTCTGACTGACAGTGGCTGCCTCTGGCAAAGGTGCGTTTACCAGCTGAGTGCATGCAGTGAGGGTGACAACGCACAGACCTGCGTTCTAATTCTAGGTGCACAGTCCCCGTAGCAGCTGTTGGTCTCACCGAAGCTGCTTACTGTCGCTGAGGACCCGGGGCCTTTCTGCCCGCCTTCTGCTGTGCCTGCGAGAACCCAACCAGCTCACATATTCAGAACAGCTGTTTGCACGCTGTGAAGTCCTAAGCAAACATGAGCAGCATGGTGAGTGTATCCTGTCCCAAAGTACTTGCAAGCAAATGTGTAAAGATGCATTTTATCAATTTATCTTCTTTAGCACATGCTTAAGGGAAATGCTAATAGTGATATTTTAACTGCCTCACAATATGGCCACCTGATGTATGTGTGAAACTAGGACACAGTTTCCAAAGGACACGGAACAACTTGTTTTCAGAAGTTAAAAGAGTCTAAGCCAATAAACACACAGGAGCAAGGAGTCCTTTCTCAAGGCCGTCCACCGTGTTTCCACATCATGATCTAAACACAGGAGCATATTAAATAAACCGCTCGCCGACTGCCAGCCCACCGCTGACCGCCGGCCCACAGCCAGTCCACCGCTGACCGGCGGCCCACCGCTGACCGCCAGCCCACCGCTGACCGCCGGCCCACAGCCAGCCCACCACTGACCGCCAGCCCACCGCCAGCCCACAGCTGACCTCCAGCCCACAGCTGACCGCCGGCCCACCGCTGACCGCCGGCCCACCACTGACCACCAGCCCACCGCCAGCCCACCACTGACCGCCAGCCCACAGCCAGCCCACCGCTGACCACCAGCCCACCGCCAGCCCACCGCTCACCGCTGGCCCACCGCTGACCACCAGCCCACCGCCAGCCCACCACTGACCGCCAGCCCACAGCCAGCCCACCGCTGACCACCAGCCCACTGCCAGCCCACCGTGACCGCCGGCCCACCACTGACTGCCAGCCCACAGCTGACCGCCAGCCCACCGCTAACCCACCGCCAGCCCACTGCTGACCGCCAGCCCACCGCTGACCGCCAGCCCACAGCCAGCCCACCGCTGACCACTAGCCCACCGCCAGCCCACCGCTGACCGCCAGCCCACCGCCAGCCCACCGCTGACCGCCAGCCCACCGCCAGCCCACCGCTGACCGCCAGGCCACCGCCAGCCCACCGCTGACCACCAGCCCACCGCTGACTGCCAGCCCACCGCCAGCCCACCGCTGACCGCCAGCCCACCGCTGACCGCCAGCCCATCGCCAGCCCACCGCTGACCGCCAGGCCACCACCAGCCCACCGCTGACCGCCAGCCCATCGCCAGCCCACCGCTGACCGCCAGGCCACCGCCAGCCCACCGCTGACTGCCAGCCCACCGCCAGCCAACCGCTGACCGCCAGCCCACCGCTGACCGCCAGCCCATCGCCAGCCCACCGCTGACCGCCAGGCCACCGCCAGCCCACCGCTGACCGCCAGCCCACCGCCAGCCCACCGCTGACCGCCAGCCCACCGCTGACCGCCAGCCCATCGCCAGCCCACCGCTGACCGCCAGGCCACCGCCAGCCCACCGCTGACCGCCAGCCCACCGCCAGCCCACCGCTGACCACCAGCCCACCATCTGCTGGGGCCGGCAGAGCTCCCGCAGCTCCCGCCTCCGCGCGCCAGCGTATCCGAAGTCCGCTTGCTGCCAGAACGTGTCCCGGGCTGATTCCAGGGTATCCGTCCTATTTGCAAACAAAGACTTTCGTCACTTTTTTTCTTTTTCTTTTTTCTGAGACTTGAGTCTTCTTTCGAAAGGTTACATTGCTGTAAGTTTTTCATTAATTTTTTTAAGTAAACTATCATAATTTTCTTAAAACGATCCCTTGCTACATGAATAAGTTACCAAAATACATTATTTACAGACATACTCACTTATAATACAAATGCACACATTGTATGTGTTAGATTAGGGTCATCCGGAACTAAAGAGAATGGACTGCTAATTACTGTATTTTACTTACCATTAACCTGGCATGATTTTTATGTATTTTATTTTTCCATCACCATTTATCCCCTCTATGCCTCTTCCACCTCCACCCACACTCCTCCCGCACCGTGACTGTACTGACTGTAGTAACTGTGGTGGGGACTCCAGGTGTTAACATGTTTAGCTTTAGACACAGTTACTAGGCTTGGTCATCAATGCACGTGGAAGGCTACTGTTCCGGGGACTGGAATGTATGGCCCGCGTTGACCCGAGGAGACCAGCCAGCAACCCGACCCCTGGCCCAGGAGCACTGCGAGTGGCCAAGCCCGAGCCACTGTGCTCCCGGGAGGGAACGCCCACCGCCCCGCAGACACCCATCAGCAGGTGAGAGGATGCTGGGAAATCACGGACGCAGCTTTGACCTGGCTAACCTTTCCTGCTGAATTCCGAACCCCTGACCTCCTTGCTCCTGAATTCCAAACCCTTTACCTACACCTTTCTTCTCCTTTTAAAGGGCTGGCTGGAGATGACAGGTAACACAGTCTTTTTGGGGTACACAACCCGCAGTCTTCTCAGATCGCAGGCCATCTGGATAAAGCGCCCGTAAAGACTCAATCCTCACCTCTACTTACTGGTTCTGGTGGTGACCAGCCCCACAAACACCGGCTTTTCCAGTTTCAATTACACTTGACTTTCCCTCCAGAATCACGAGGAAAACATCAGTTTATCTTCCTAGCGTCTGCCGGGGGCAATATTTTCTGTGATCTATACCGTTTCTCCCCCTGACAGAGGAAATGACAGCTATTCCTGGGGGCAGTCAAGTTGAATCCGTGACCATGTGAGCAAACTGATACCTAAAGGAGTTACTATCTAAAACCAAAGAGCCTCGCTGCGAACGGGGGATCAGCATCCCCGGCCGTGAAGGTCAGCGTAAAGGGGAGGCATTACTTACCATCCCATGTCCACGTAGGTGCAGACAGGGTAGCTGAACCGGAACTCGGGTCTGCAGGATTCCTCATAGCCCCAGCAGTACTTCAGGTTTTCTAAGTGTTTCTAGAACATAAATCATGTGTGTTGGGTCTGATCAAATAATTGAGTCAATACCCCCTTCTCTGGGAGACTGACCTTCAGGCCACTTCACTGCTGACATTCCCTTTCACTTAAACCACCTTCCACTTGCTAAGACCATTCTCCTTCCCCTCTGGACCTTTCCAGGATCCAGATCTGCCCAGAGAGTTCTCTGACCAGAAAAAGCCCACCTGGGTTCCTTTAAAACCTCAGGCTCCCAGTCCCTGGTGCTGGAACCATTTGGGGGCTCAGCCCATCTGGTTTTCAGGAGGACCCAATAAATCATAATTCTTTACCCCTTTTGGCCTCGTGCGTTCCTCCTTCGGTGACCCTACCAATGTGCATGTAGATGAGGCTCCCTTCTTCTGACATTTAGAGAGGACTCTTAGATTTTTCCATGAAGAAACAAAGCATTATAGGACTTTCACTTTTATATGTTACGATACATACTCATGCAATAAAAATTACAAGAGTAAATTCTAAGACTAGGAGTCTTCAGGTTCTTAACAACAACTATCTTTAATTACCAGCCCCTCCCCATGTTTGTCCCCTGACCAAAAGCCTAGGCTTTGCCTGGACAACCAGAGACCACTTGCATTGAAACTTCTGGAAGCAGCCTCCTGAAACAGCCTTCCTTTCTCAGAGAGCAAACTGACTCTAAAACCAGATCCTAAAAGTCACCTGAAATGGAATTTGTCACCAAAACAATCAGCTAAATTAAAAGGATCAGCAACTTTACTCATGCATCCAGATCAGCAGAGATCCCACAGACATGGAAAGCTATGCAGCCCGTGGGCCACAGCAGCTGCTGGTGGCCAGAGAGCCCCGCAGGCTCTTACTGGTTCCCAGGCCTCCGTCGGCGGGCTCCTGTGCCAGCACCGTGGGAAAGGAAGTGTTCCACAGGCCCAGCTTTGATCTCAGGGCCTCACAAGCTGCCTTAACGGGCTCCAATTTGAGGCCTTTCCAAGAGCTCTACACCAGAAGGACAGCCTCAGTATCAACCTTAATTATGTGGAGACAGGGCCAGAGGTGTTATTATCGAAATGAAGTGCTAAGGGACAGACCCTCAGTGCAGCTGAAGGAGGAAGAGGTGTCAAATTCTTTAGTGATTTTTAAACAGATACTCTTTTGTGTATATAATCTAATTTGATTCACTTATGGAGTATACAAATAGTACTGGGTTCCTATTTACTGTAGTACTAGTGATTTAGATTTTAAATCTCACTGCTGTGAGTGGGACAGAGTTTTAAACAAAGTTTGGTCGTTAGAAGCCTTATATGAAATACAATGATCAACTCACCTTACAACCAAAAGATAAAATGCTACCTTCAAGTTCAAGTTATAAAGCAGAATTTGTAAGCTAGTCTAAACTGCATGCTTTTAATAAACAAGAGAAGTAACCTACCTTATAAGGGCAGTGTGGGTCTTTCTTACAGATGTTGGCAATATGCCCATTGTTGTGCAAAAAGAAGGGGAGGTGCTCCTCGGGCAGGCGGATGCTGGCGTAGTCAAACCCAGGCCCGCCCTGGGCGCCCTCGGCCCCCACCTGGGGCGAAGCCTTGTGAGGGCGACTCAGTGGGAGGTCATGAAGCAACACTCCAAAGACAAGCAGCATTATCATCGCAGCCTCCAAACCTAGAGATCAAATTGCAAACACGTTCCTCAAGACAAATCCTTCAACAATCTCAGGGGGCCAGCGCTAAGCATAATTACAATGAACTTTGCTACATCAGGGCATAACGTGCCTTTAGTCCATAAATACAGCGTTTACTGTGCACCTGTTATGTGCCAGGCACTGTGTTAGGAGCTGTTACACTAAAACTTTCTAATTTCCATGGCTGAAAATCTTTTTACTTTTTAAAAAATTTATCTTTATTGTTGAAAGTATTACAGATGTCCCCTTTTTTACAAGTCTTTTTAAACTGATAAGAACAGATACTACACTTGATCTTAGCCAAATGGCCGAGAAGCGATGTACAAGTCTTTTTAAAAGTAAGGTTTTATTGAGCCAAAGATGCTAGCCAAAATGAAGATGGGTCTTGGGGCACGGAGTCTAAACCCCCAGCAGCATGGCAAGAAGATAAAGCATGTCTGTCATCCTGGAGTTTTGCAAGCATCTTTATCCATCCAGCCGGGACAGGGAGAGAAGGAAGTGGTCGGGAAGAATTTACAGGAGCTACAGGCAAAGCAGTGGGGGCGGCCACGCCCCTGCAAGAGGCAGCAGCGTCTGCAGGAGAACACCAGCTCCCATGGGCTGCTGGGAGAAGCACGGGTTCCTGGGATTAGATGGTGGCTGGCTAAAATAATCTGCAGAATATCCACCTGGAAATTAATCCGAAATCCCAACAGGTAAAACAAGAATGTGACTAGTTTTTTGCTAGCAGGCCCATAGCCATTCTCAGACTAACAAGCTCTCTTTCTCTCGCTCTCCAGCTGCTGTAATTTAATTGAGAACATTTCAGGATATTTTTTTTCTTATCAGAGCTAAGAATACAGGGGAGAACAAAGCAAGAAAACCCCTGCTCTCCTGGAGCTTGTAACCTAGTGCAAGAGACATAAAATAAACACACAACTTCAGAAGATGACAAGGGCTGTGACTCAAGTAACCCAGGGGCCGGTGACCTTTTCTGCAAAGGGCCAAATCTACTTCGCATTTGCAGGCTGTACAGTCTCTGTGACAACTACTCCACAGTGCCTTTGTCAGGAAAGCAGCTGAAGGAGGGGGTATGGCTGTTCTAATAAAATTATATTTACCAAAATGGGAGGAAGTCCTTAATATGACCCAGTTTGCTGCTGCCTGAAATAAAAGTAATATGACAGACAACATAGTATAATGTAGTTAAGAATTTGGACTTTAAAACTGTACCAACTAGGTTTGAATCCAGATGCAGATTCCTAAGCTGTATGACTTTAGCAAGTTATTTAACTTTTCTGTACCTCAGCTTTTCCATCTATAATATGGAAATTATAATAAGCCTTCCTCATAGGGCTGTGCATTAAATATTGGTAAAGTGTTTAGATGTACCTGGTGTGTTAAATGTTGTATGTTTATTAAATAAATGTTTAGCCCAGCTGGCGTGGCTCAGTGGTTGAGTCTCGACCTATGAACCAGGAGGTCATAATTCAATGCCCACTCAGAGCACATGCCTAGGTTGGGGGCTCAATCCCCAATCCCTGATCCCCAGTGTGGGGCATGCAGGAGGCAGCCAATCAATGATTCTCTCTCATCATTGATGTTTCTCTTTCTCTCTGAAATCAATAAAAAGATATTTTAAAAATAATAAAACAAATGTTTAAAACCATGTTGGATGGGGTGCAGGGTGCTCACTGACATCTGAGCTGAGACCTGAATGATGAGGAGCAGGGACACATGCCAGCGAGACAGAGGAAAAGAAGTGCCATGGCTCAGAGCCAGCATGTCTGCTGAGTGAGATAACAATACAACCAGCCTGAGCAAGTACCATGCGCCAGGGTCTCGGTACCAAGGTGCAGCAACAAGCACGCAGTCAGGAACTGACTCCCTGCCCTTGTGTATGACAATCTATGGTGGCAGTAAGAGCTAAGACTTGGAAAACTGCAGGAGTGAAATCCAGGCAGTCTGCCTCCGAGACAGACCCTGAGGCTCTCCCTGTCCTGCTTTAGAATTGCGAAGAGATAATGGTTACAGACCTCAGTGCCTTTCTAACTCTCCCCATCTACATCTCTTGGACCAGATTTCCCTATTTATCATCTATCTATAATAATAAAAGCATAACATGCTAATTAGACCAGACAGCCAAACTACCTTCTGGACGACCTTCCAGATGACCACACTATGATACCCATTGGCGCCAGGCCAGCCAAGGAAGGTGAGATGTGATTGGTTGGGGGCCCGGCCATTGCCCCATGAGTGCCCAGGCCACAGGCCAGCGGAGCAATCGATCAGTCGGGGGGGCTCCACGATCACCCCAAAGAGGGAGGCCCAGGCCACCGACTGGTGGGCTGTGGCAGGTGGGCAGGGCCTCCCTCTACTGGGGGGCAATCCATCGTGGAGCCCTGGCCGGGTGGGCAGGGCCCACCTCTTTGGGGCAATTGATCATGGGGCTCCCGGACTGTGAGAGGGCACAGGCTGGGCTGAGGGAACCCCCACCCCAGTGCACGATTTTCGTGCACCAGGCCTCTAGTATACTGGTATATATAAAAGCCTAAGTGACCTAACGACGGAACGACCGGAACAACCAGAATGACCGGTCACTATGACATGCACTGACCACCGGGGGGCAGATGTTCAACACAGGAGCTTCCCCCTGGTGTTCAGTGTGCTCTCACAGCGGGAGCGCCGCTCAGCTGACAGACCCCTCCCACGGTCCACCAGCCCGGCAGCAGCCACTCACTCCCTCAGTAGTCCTACAGTTCCAATCTCTGGAGAACGGGCCAGGCACTGATGAACCAGCGCTGCCGGCACGATCCTGACAGTGCTGCCAGCCTCCTGGAAGTCTGCCTCAGGCACCACACCGCTTCCCCTCCCTAGATGCTCCACAAGGAAGAAACAATATAAAAGCGGCTGCCAGGTGGCTCCTGACAACCAGTGCAAATGTCAGAGGGATGGATTGGATCCCAGGCCAGTAAGACCATCCCTCCGCCCGCCCAGAGGGCCAATCGGTTCCCAGCTCCCCCTACTCCCTGCGGCCCCCACCCATGCACAAATTCATGCACCGCACCTCTAATAGACAATAATCAGTATCACAGACAACATATCATAGACAATAATCTTTCTGGTTCACTTTAGTGGTATCTTTTCTCTATTTAAAAAAAAAGTGCTCTTTCCACAAGGTGATCAAGCTGTATACACCTTAGCTGCTCCCGGCTAGGTCTGCTGTCACCAGGGCACACTGGAAAACTCAACTTTCAAAATCAGTTCGTTCACTGTGGGCGATAAAGCGGGGGCTTTCAGAAGCAGACTGCTGTGCCCCATTAGCCCCAACTTCCAAGGCCAGCAGGTCACCTCTGGACAGGGGGGACACCAAGGAGAGTGGTAAACTCCAATTTTCTTTTGGGTGGAGCTAGAGTATACTGTTATCTGTTTTAAGGGTGATCTGAATTAATCTTCTTGGTTAGGACTTTTATCAAACAGGGAGTTGATTACAATTTTATAAAATTTAAAAGTATAAATTCGCCCTGGCCAGTGTGCAGTGTGGCTCAGTTAGTTAGGCATGCCCTGTGCACCTAAAGGTTGTGGGTTCGATTCTACATCAGGGCACATGCCCAGGTTGCAGGCTTGATCCCCAGTAGGGGCCATGCAGGAGGCAGCTAAGTGTTTCACTCTCATACTGATGTTTCTCTTTCTCCCTCTCCCTTCCTCTCTCTCTAAAAATCAATTTAAAAATCTTTATAAGCCCTAACCGGTTTGGCTCAGTGGATAGAGCGTAAGCCTGCGGACTCAAGGGTCCCAGGTTCGATTCCAGTCAAGGGCATGTACCTTGGTTGCGGGCACATCCCCAGTAGGGAGTGTGCAGGAGGCAGCTGATCGATGTTTCTCTCTCATTGATGTTTCTAACTCTCTATCCCTCTCCCTTCCTCTCTGTAAAAAATCAATAAAATATATTAAAAAATAAAAATCTTTGTAAAAAGTACATATTAATAGTAACAGTATCACCCGACCCGCATGGCTCAGTGGTTGAGCACTGACCTATGAACCAGGAGGTCACGATTCAATTCCCAGTCAGAGCATTTGCCCAGGTTGAGGGCTTGATCCAGTGTGGAGTGTGCAGAAGGCAGCTGATCAATGGTTCTCTCTCACTATTGAATTTTTTCTCTCTCTCTCTTCCTTATTCTCTGAAATCAATAAAAATGTATTTTTTAAAAAACAGTAATAGTATCTTATAATGAAAATATTTACCACTTTAATCCTCAAAACCCCCCTGCAGCTGTTATAATGTTTCAGATGTATATAGCTGTCAGAAATGAAACACATTACCTAAAAAGATGCAGTAGTAGTTTTTACTACCCAGGTGATATTTTGAGTCAATGGAAATAATAAGAGAGAAAAAAATTGATGAGATAACCTGTAAGCGAAGGGTCTGGCACTTAGTGAGCTAAGGCCTAACTAAATAAAAGGCCTGGTTGCTGGTGCTCTCTCTCTGCCTTAATGAAACCACACTCAGAGTTACAGGTACCAACTTCGAGCTGAGCAGGAGAAGCAGGCAGCAACTGGTACAGGCGGATAAGCATTCCTAGCAGCAAACAACTTGCTGGCTCTCAGCCTGGTAACCCCACTCACTGAGTCACACTAGGACTGGACTTGAGCCTCCCTGTGCAAGAGACCGGACATCCTATCCTTTGACTCATCCTCCCCAGAAATAAAGTCATTGTTGTGACCAAGTCCTCCTGCCCTTTGGTTATCCACGTGTATTGTCCTGGACCGAGCTCTAGCCATACATAACTAAACCCACCATCACAGATCAGAAGCCTGGTTTTTGCAGAGGGCACGCACCCACTTGCATAAGCTAGGGGCAGGTGGCTGCTGGTGCAGGAGGCACACCCCGGGCCCGTGGAGGCCTTTGGGTGTGGAGTCCTGCCGCAAGGCCCCCGGGAAGGGGTGGGGGCCCTTCTCGGGCAGATGGAAGCTTTAGTAGCTGAGCTACTTTTTCCTTCAGCACAAAGCGGCCGGCTCCCTCCACTCCTGCAGCCCGAGTGGGTTTCCAAAGGCCTAAGAGGAGGCAAGAGAAAACGGAAAAGCCTAAGAGACGTTGAGAGAGGAAACACGGCGGCGGCCAGGGCGCAGTGGGTGGGCTGGGGCGGTGCTCCGAGCAGACGGGAAAACGTGCGGGACGCGGTGGACCAACGGGCAGCTACACGCAGCTGAACAGGGACCCCCGAGCGCTCGCCCCGCGGTGCCCGAAGCCTGGCGGCGGCAGATGGCCGGCGAGCGGCCTGGCTGCCCGACGGAGAGGCCGCCAGCTCGGCTGGAACGTCAACGGGGACCAGCGCGGAGGAGTCGGCGCGAGCGCCCTTCCGCGGCCGCCCTGCCGCGCTCGGCTGCACACCCGGGCCCCGCGGGGCTGCGCCGGGGACTCCGGGATCCTGGGCCGCCCGCACCTGCCCGCACGCCGCCCCCGCCGACGGGTCCCCCGCGCGCCCAGGGCCACGCGGCGCCGCCCGCGCCCAGAAGGGGCGAAGCGCCCGGGGCCGGGAGCCGGGAGCCGGGAGCCGGGAGCCGCGCCGGGAGACTAGGCGCTGGGGCCGGGGGCGCGCAGCCCGGCCGCCGCAGGAAGGGAGGGAAGGGAGGGGAGGGGGTGGGAAGGCGCCGCGGGTCCCGGGGAGAGTCCCACCTGAGCCGGGGAGTCGGGGCTCAGCCGGAGGAGAAGCCGCTGCTCAGGAGGAGGGAGTCAGCGCTCGCCACTGCGGCTCAGCGGAAACCCGCCGCCCGGGCCAGGGGGCGCCAGGGAGCCCCGCTCCGCCAGCCCACGCGGGCACGGAGGCGGGGAGGCGGGGCGGCGGGGAGGCGGGGAGGCGGGGAGGCGGGGCGGCGGGGCGGCGGGGCGGCGGGAGGCGGGGAGGCGGGGAGGCGGGGCGGCGGGGCGGCGGGGCGGCGGGGCGGCGGGGCGAGAGGCGGGGTCGGGGTGCGGGCTCCGCAGAGCTGGGAGAGCGCGGGACCCCGGGACGGGCAGTGGGAAACCGGCTCTGTTCACCGGGCTGCGTGGCACGGAGGCGGGTTTGCTGTTCCCTGATCAGACCGAAGTGCCCCTGGCTGTCAGAGCTGGCCCTTTCTGGTGGTGAGATTTCTGGGGTCCACTCACACTGTATGCAGTACAGTTGCCTCTCTCCTACTATCAGAAACTCACCAAGTTCAAATGCTGCCTGTGGAGTTTAATCTTTACCAGTTTGTTATTTTATAATTATTTTAACTCTTTTATTGTATCATTTTTTGAACCCCCATCTACCCCACTGGTATAGAGCATACTAGAGTTGATCAATACTGACTCAACTTGAACGATTTGCGGGTTACATGAAGGCTGGCACAAAGTAACCTTATGCACAGAAAGTCACCAGTGTTAAGTAATACGATTACAGGAAATACAACAGTTTATTTCTGTTGTGGGCAGCGGAAGGGCACCGGGTGTTAGACTGGTGGGGTCTGACCGGACCTGGGCTCAGCAACCTCGTCCAGCAACCTCGGTAACCTGAATTCTGGCTAAGAAAGAAATCAGAGCCAAGACCCAAATTAGAGAAACATTTATTTGATAAATCACAGAGGTGGAAAAAGTAATTCCTAGAAGAGATGGGCTTAGGAAACCAGTTACTGAGATAAAGGAAGGGGCCTTGGAGCTTGGGAGTGAGGAAGGTGATGGTAAGGCGCCTGCTAGGGGGGTTGGAGGAGGGGGCCTGGGGGGGACAGGCTCCCTGTGCTCCTGGGAGGGAGAGGCACCGAGCCCTCCATCCTAAGGGTTCTAAGGGTGAGATTTTAGGGGCGGTCCCAGGAAGATCTCAGTGGCATATTCAGCAGCTTTCCAGGGGTGTCCTTTCAGGGTCCGGGTCTCCACTGATGAATGGGTCCGAGCCTGGAGAGGGGTCATTATTTAATGCAGCTGGTCCTGAGGTCAGCCCTGGGGTCACTTGTCTGGTTTGGCTGCTTTCCTGAGCCAGGAGCTGAAATGTCACTGAGGCCTAAATGTTATCTCTAGGGAGGAAAGGTCAGGGGTCCAAAAAGCATGACCAGCAAATGCTAGGGGAGAAAAGAGTCACCCTGAGGGCCAGGTCCCACCTAGCATTGTCCTTTGCAAGGCGCCCAGGGCTTTCCACCGGTGACCTTCTGTACCTGGCCCATCGTCCTTGCTCTGCTCATGTCTATCTAATTGCTGACCACATCTCCAAAGGCTTACATGCTTTTAAAATAAGCTTTTAGGTGCTACAAGTTCCATTAATAACCTGCTAAATTAGGAATGTTATCTGGACTTTTTTCAAATAACACAAAAACACATGGTATTTGACATGGGCCAGTAATTGTTCTGAATCACTTTACGGTATTAACTCATTTACTCTTCATGTAAAGGACTTGGCCTATTTCATACTTTGCCCACCCCTTACCAATAAGGACAGTAATTTCTTTTTAATATTTTTATTGATTTCAGAGAGGAAGGGAGAGATAGAAACATCAATGATGAGAATCAATTGGTGGCCTCCTGCACACCCTACACTGGGGATCGAACCCGCAACCGTGACCTCCTGGGTCATAAGTTGGTGCTCAACCACTGAGCCACGCTTGCCAGGCAGGATAGTAATTTTTGAAAATGCTTTTCTGAGCTTACTTGCCACCATCCTATTTTTGTTATGCACAGGAAGTGTAGCTTTCCTGTTAGTTGATTCAAATGAATTGCAGCCATTTAAAATAATTTTTTTAACAAGCTGGTTTGCCACAATAAAGAAATATATATAGCCCTAGCTCAGTGGTTCTCAACCTTCTGGCCCTTTAAATACAGTTCCTCATGTTGTGACCCAACCATAACATTATTTTCGTTGCTACTTCATAACTGTAATGTTGCTACTGTTATGAATCGTCATGTAAATATCTGATATGCAGGATGGTCTTAGGCGACCCCTGTGAAAGGGTCGTTCGACCACCAAAGGGGTCGCAAACCACAGGTTGAGAACCACTGCCTGGTTTGGTTCAGTGGATAGAGCATCAGCCTGTGGACTGGGTTCAATTCCAGTCAAGGGCACATGCCCGGGTTACAGACTAGGTCCCCAGAAGGGAGTGTGCAGGAGGGAGCCGATCAATGATTCTATCTCATCATTGATGTTTTTCTCTCTCTCCCCCTCTCCCTTCCTCTCTGAAATCAATAAAAATAAAAGCAGCCAATAATGGCATCAACTTCAAAATATTGATTTAAAGATTAAGTGCAGGTATACAATCCCTTTTCAAATTCCCTGGGATCGGTCATGTATTCCTGAATTTTTTATGGAATAGGGTAATATGCAAACCATTTACTAACCAACCCCCTCAATGTGCCCTGGGTCAGCAACAAATGAACAAACAAAACAAACTCATAGACACAACAGTATGGTAGTTACCAGAGAGGAAGGCAGTGAGGAGAGGATGAAGAGGCCAAATGGGTCAACTATATGATAATTCAAGTTGAGTACACAATATACAGATAATGTATTATAAACATGTACACCTGAAACTTATATTAACCAATGTTATCCCAACTAATTCAATTTAAAAAACACCAAAGCACAGGGCTCACTTAAGGCAAAGATAACCCCTTTGCTAAGGAAACTATAGGCATGACTACCATTATGACCTACCCAGTTAGGAATTTATGACCACACCACCATGTGGTTCCTCTTTCACTGGGCTCATCAGGCATACCAAGTAGCCCGAGCTTGTCCAGTTTTCTATATAGTCCCTTTTTCGTTCACACCTCGTATTTACTACTAGAGGCCCGGTGCACAAATTCGTGCACAGGTGGGGGGTCCCTTGGCCTGGCCAGCAATTGGGGCTGACAGGGCTGAGAGGGGCACAGGGGCAAGTGGGGAGGTTAGCTGTGGAGCTGTGGGAGCTCACTAACCACCAAGGGACAGCTCCTGCATTGAGTGTCTGCCTCCTGGTGGTCGGTGCACATCATAGTCACTGGTCATTCGGTTGCTTAGGCTTTTATGTAGATAGATTACTTGAGGATTCTAAAATTAAATGTATCTTACTAGGGAGTGGGGCAGTATGATGAATAAATTCTGGACAGCACTAGAGTAAATTCTCTGCGTTGCAATCGGAATACTGAAGCATTTGGGGTTTTTGTGTGTGTTCTGTTTGTTTTGAAAAAAAAAGTATTAAGAAGATACTTTTAATTTCCATCCTATCTTGTTAAAAGATCTTTGTTTGCTAAAAGGTAACATGGATATGTATAAAAACAATAGCTTACAAGTACTTTAAGGGATTAAGTTGCAAAGTTCAAGAGTATAAGCCCCAATATAAACTCAAAAACAGAGGGTAGCATATCTGTTATCTGAATATAGAAATATTGTAAGACATTTAGTATATATTTTGATACTGTTCAAGATTTTTTTAAAAAAATATATTTTATTGATTTTTTACAGAGAGGAAGGGAGATAGAAACATCGATGAGAGAGAAACATCGATGAGTTGCATCCTGCACACCCCCCACTGGGGATGTGCCCACAACCAAGGTACATGCCCTTGACCAGAATCGAACCTGGGACCTTTCAGTTCGCAGGCCGATGCTCTATCCACTGAGCCAAATCAGTTAGGGCTGCTTAAGATTTTTAAAAGACACAAAAATCATCCTTACAGTAATTGCCAGTTATAATCAGTAAGTCTTAAAATTGTTTTCCAAAAATACATCTTAATTAGAAAACTATGCGTAATACTAATAGTCTTAATAATGCCTACTAAAATTAGGGCTTATCCTCATTTTCTTAAAATATGAATTCCAAACTTATACAAGTTATATTATCTTCATAAAACAGTACCAGCTCCATTCATTGGTATTGGCCACTTTAAGTCAAAAATGAAATACATTATTACTATTTTAAAAATTTTATTCAAATTAGATCCATGCTTATTATTTACATTTCATTTAAAATTAAAATATTTATCAATTTGTAGTTTAAATCATACTTTCAGCCCTTTACAAAATTTTATAACTTAAAATTGAATAAGGAAAATTAATTTTTTAAATAAAAATGAAAAATTACGGTATTATAGTACAAATGTATACATACTAAACAAACAAGTAAAACAAGATAAAGTGTCTACAGTCATTTTGTTTTCTTATGGCTACTTTCTAAATACTATAAATCATATACTTCTAAAATTCATTATTAATTCAATTAATAAATCAAATGCCAATTGAGGGATCATGAGAACAAATTTTTCCTGAACATTCTTTTTCTTTTAATGTATTTTCATTGATTTCAGAGAGGAAGAGAGAGATGGAAACATCAATGATGAGCATCATTGATCAGCTGCCTCCTGCAAGCCCCACACTGGCAATCAAGCCCACAACCCGGGCATATGCCCTAATCGGGAATTGAGTCATGACCTCCTGGATCATATAGGTCGACTGCTCAACCACTAAACCACACCGACTAGGCTGAACATTCTTTTCATTTAACTACAAAAACTAATGTTTCCTTAAGTCAGAAATTATCCATACTTAGAATATCTTAAATCACAATATAGATACATTCCTCCCTGTGCTAAATACTGTTAACACTGGAAGTTCGCAAAACAGAAGCAAAGGGGGAAAAGGAATGGTATTCTCAATTTAGTTTCCCCAGAGTTGGAAGGATGCCTAGCATCTGTGCTTAGATGTTTATACATAAAAAACAATGTTCATACCTCTTTTACTCTTCTTTCATATTCTTGAAATTAAGATTTATAGTATCTTTCTGTTTTCTTCCAAGAATAGAAACATCTAACTGCAAACTATATTCTTATCCATTAAAATATTATTTTTTTAGAATATAGACAAACCTTAATGACAAAGTAAAATATGGCAACCAATATTCAATACATATTCTTTTATTTAGTGGAGTCTTTCAAGAAATTGATTTAGTATACTTTTCAACTTAAAAATGTATTGAGATATCTAAGTTTACAGTAAAATAGGATTAGTATGAATATCAACTATTCACTTGCAGATAAAGAACAACATATGGTAATATACAGCCAGAGATGAAATTAGCTGCTTTGAATTTTTTAATTAAATAAATTGAAAACTCTTTAAAGTTTCAAGTTGAACTGGTTTTATTAATGTTAAGAAGGATTAAGAGAAGAGAATGTTTAATATGAAAATAGATCATATCGTTTTATTTCAATTTTTCCCCACAACTAAAGTGTTTTTTCCTCTCACTAATGAATATTTTAAAAACAATTTCATAATTCCTAAACTTCTAATTTCAAACATTTGTCAGAATTTTGCAACTTAAGTTTCCTGTATCTTCTAATTCTGAATATTTCTTATTGCTATCAGTCTTGCCATTCCCTGTCAGTCCCTGAATTTTAAAAAAAAAAAAAAAATCAAGGTGACAAAAAGCAATTACACTGATCTTACCACTAAAATATAGAAAGTTAATTTTATGAATTTGGCTCACTTTGAAAGAATATTTCCTAATGCTAAATAAACATCAGAAATCCAGTGCCAGGAATACGGCCTGGAATACAAAAAGAAAAGAAAAAGAATGTCACTTGAATTGCCCTGAAAAGCATTCCATTCCTTAACACGGCTTACTTATAGTTATACTCCAAAGTTCTAGTGTTTAAAATTTAACTCACAACTGAGAGTTTTTATTTTGTAAGGAAAGGCAGCTACATGACTTTCAGTAATAAAAGGTATTAAAATTAAAATATTTCATAAGTATACAACACAGACTGGTTAACTTCTGAATAAAATAACATTTGGAAGAAGGGATAGCTATTTTTAAAAGCTATTTTGCCCTATTTTTGTGTTTAAGGGTTCAAGAAAAAAAATAAAATTACACAGAATTGCAAATGCCAAATTTAAATTGATTCCTACATTTTGTTATGAATGTTCTATAACATTCACTTTTAATGTGCTAAAAATAAGGTTTTACAAAATGTGAAAGTATCTTCAAGAGAAAATTATATTAACAATTTTATTATGTTGATTCATTTCATAGGGTAGTACAAACAAAACCTCTTCAAAATCGCTTAAATGTTACTGATACCATCACAAATCATTCTGAGCACATTTTCCCCATTATCCAACCATGCCTAGATAACTGCACAGCTTAGCTTGCTCCAGACAGTAACACAATTTGTACAGACTTAATTGTGGAATCTGGGTAAAATAAATCTTGACCACAAAAATGTTTTAGTTTTTTTTGTTGTTGTTGTTAATCCTCACCCGAGGATATTTTGTATTGATTTTTAGGGAGAGCGGAAGAGAGAGGGAAAGACAGAAAGAAACATTGATGTGAGAGAAACACATCAATTGGTTACCTCCTGCAGGAGCCCCAATCCAGGGCCTGGGCCAGGAGGAACCTGCAATCAACGCATGTGACCTTGACTGGAAATCGAACCCAGGACCCTTTGCAGGTTCTATCCGCTGAGACACAAACCGGCTAGGGCCACAAAAATGTTTTTAACTTAAATTATTCATCCTTTAATCTCCTGTGTCAGTGTGACTTCTACTTTAAAGGAAAAATATTAAGTTCAAAATTTAGTAACAGGAAGTTTAATATTTTTTTAAAATTGGACACTTAATGTCCATTTTCATGAGCAGTAAATAGAAATGTTGAAGATTTAAGTGTGAAAGATTTCAAAGTTTCAATATGTCAATATGACTCATTAAATGTTCTCAATATATACAAACATATAAATTATAGAAATAATTAGTTTTTATCTATAATACAATGTATGAACACCATTCTTCTTCCCCAACCATACTGACATAAGGATAAAGTAATAAATCTCGGTGCTATTCATGGAAAAAAAAAAAAAAGATGCTTTAAAAAATAAATCTTTAAAGATAGTTTCAAAAATAAAGTTCAAATATTGCACAAAATAATTTAACTTCAAATATTACTATATACTATAAAACTTTTTCCAATGTTTTATCTCTATAATAAATTCCACTTTCTAATTCTACAAGAGAATTTATTGAAAGTCTGCATTTATTATTAAATGATTACATTCAGTTTGATGGGAATGTAATTTTCAGAAGTTAACTGAGCCTCTGTCTTAAAAGTTCATCTATTTGAGTCTTATACATATTTTTTACATCTTCAAGATCTAATCGAAGTTCTTCCGCCTCTTCTGCTTTTTCTCCATACATCTGCAAAATAGTGTTGTATCTCTGATCCAAATCCTACAAAACAGATTTGTTTACAATTTGTAAAGTAACTGTACAGAACATCTTGATTATATTTATATTATCATAAGTCACCAATAAATACATTACAATCTAAATAAAAGTATATAGTCAGCTCTTATGAAAATTAAATTCATACTCTAGTCCAGGGGTGGGCAAACTTTTTGACTCAAGGGCCACAATGGGTTCTTAAACTGGACCAGAGGGCCGGAACAAAAGCATGGATGGAGTGTTTGTGTGAACTAATATAAATTCAAAGTTAACATCATTACATAAAAGGGTACGGTCTTTTTTTTTTTTAGTTTTATTCATTTCAAACGGGCCGGATCCGGCCTGCAGGCCGTAGTTTACCCACGGCTGCTCTAGTCTGTTGGAATAAACAGCAAGTATAGGAACTTAAAGAAACCCCGTCAACATGGCAAACACTCTTCTGTCCCCCTACAGACTTATTTTGCATATTTGTCAGGCCATATCTCTTTACTTTTTAGGAAAACACTTAGTTCTATAGAAACTTCAAAGATTACCTTCGAAAGAAACTTTAAAGTGCCCTGGGAGGATACAGATAGATTAAAATAATTTCTGGCTAGCATTTTTGAGCTGCTCCCAACATCTTATTAAAATACCTGTAAAGACCATCTTAAAGGTAAAATGGCCACTTTCAACAAAATTATGACTCATAGCTAGTCAGCTTATGGTTTAGGTCTAGCAAGAATTTCTGCTAAGAAAAAGGCAAATCTGAAAAGAATTAGAATGTAGCATTCACTACTACGTATGTCCCCCACACATACAAACATACATTCAAGCACTGTCAACCCAAAAGAAGGTGTGAGAACACCAGGTCATTCACACCCTGTGTCCTGACTCAAAGAAGCATCTGGTATGGAAAAACATTTCTCCAGGTGCATCAAGCAAAAGCACATGCAGGCCCAGTAACCCTGGTTTTAGGAGCCAAGCCTAAAGAAAGAGCCAGATGGAGATTTATGCATAAAGTTGTTTATAGCACTTTTTAAAAAATAATTTATTGATTTTTTACAGAGAAGAAGGGAGAGGGATAGAGAGCCTGAAACATCGATGAGAGAGATCGATCAGCTGCCTCTTGCACACCCCCCCCACTGGGGATGTGCCCGCAACCAAGGTATATGCCCTTGACCGGAATTAAACCTGGGACCCTTCAGTCCGCAGGCCGACGCTCTATCCACTGAGCCAAACTGGTTCAGCTGTTTATAGCACTTTTTAAAAATCAAGTTAAAAAATTCACAACCACCTGAACAGCCACCAGCAAGGGAATTAAATAAATTATGATATAGAGAGAAACCAAGATGGCGGCATAGGTAAACACCTGAAATTGCTGCCTCGCACAACTTCAAAAGTACAACTAAAAGACAAAACGGACATCATCCAGAACCACAGGAAGGCTGACTGAGTGGAATTTCTACAACTAGAAGGAAAGAGAAAAGCACACTGAGACTCAGAGGAGGTGCGGAAGCAAAGTGCAGAGATACAGAGGCTCACGCGGAAAGGGCTGGCAACTGAGGACACCGTTGTCTTTTTGAATCGGGAGGGAGACACAAGCTCCCGACTGCTCTGAACTCCAGTTCTGGGCGAGTCTCTAGGGACCCAGACTCATACGGGAGAAACTGGATTGTCTGGCATCAGGCGGAACTCAAGGGCGGCTTCTCTCAGAGGTGCTTGCAGCGATTACCGGGACAGTGAGACCCGGAGCCTCTTAGGGCAGGGCTGAGGATCTGCCATAGCTGTTTGCTCCGCCCTGTTGATCCCCTGAGACTCCGCCCCACCCCACCCAAGCTGGGGCAGAGGCTTTTGCATATGAATGCCCTGGCCCTTTGCAATCCAAAATTACCTAACAAACTGCAGCTGGGTCAGAGAGACCCAGAACATCCAAAAGAAGGCCCAAGGCCCCACAGCAGCTTGCACTGATTGACAGCTAGGCCTCATCTGGGCACCTCCAAACCCCAAACAAAGAAGAGGAATCTGCAGATCTCTCCTTAGCTCCTGCTGGGTAGCATGCGGCAGAGGCTAAATTAGCAACTCCTTAGAGATCCAAAAGCCAGTTTACCCAGTGGTCAGAGTGGGACCATCCAGATTACAACTCCTCAGATCCATAAGGGACACACTCAGGGGGCAGACTCAGAGAGCACCAAAGCCCCACTGAAGCAAGTCTTGCCCGAGAAGGGTGTTTCCAGCACAGAAGTTCTCCCACTGTAGACACAGCTGATTCTCACAGCCAACTGGCCTGGAGTTCAATTCCTCCCAGTGATACCAACTACAATCAAGGCTTAACTACAACAAGACTTAGCACACAGCCCACAAAGGGGTGCACCAAGAGTGTCCACCTCAGGTAATTAGGGAGGCTGAGCCACTGGGCCCTATAGGACACCTAGAACACAAAGCCACTCTATCAACACAGGGAAGCAGCCAAAATGCGGAGGCAAAGAAACAGGTCACAAATGACAGAAATGGAGGAAAGCAAACTACTGGATATAGAGTTCAAAATCACGGTTATAAGGTTTTTCAAGAATTTTCTAGAAACCACCAATATTTAGTAAGACCCTCAATAAGTCTAGTGAGACCCTCAAGGATATGAAAAAAGGACCAATTAGAAATTAAGCATACACTGACTGAAATAAAGAATATTATACAGAGATCCAACAATAGACTAAAGAATCACAAGAATCAAGTCAAAGATTTGAAGTACGAAAAAGTAAAAAACACCCAACCGGAAAAGAAAAAAGAATCCAAAAATACGAAGATAGTGTAAGGAGCCTCTGATGAGCTGAGCTTAAAAGGAACAATTTAATTAAAATAACAAATGTTAAGTGTAATATCAATTCTAGCACAAAGTAGGCATGAACAAATGCTAGCCAAATCTGAATACATGCCATGGGAATAGTGATTTTTCAAAATAAATAAATTAGTCCATTGCAGATCAGTATTTCAATTGCTGCTTCAGCATAGGCATGGGGACTCTCCTGCTCACACTGTGCCCCCACCATTTGGAAGGTGTTTCCAAATCCAGGAAACAACCCTCTCTTTGATGGATGCCAGACAGCATGGAAAGCATTGGAGCAGCGCCAGAAAAAACACAAGACATACAGAAATGAAAATAATGGAAGACCTAATTCCTATTAATAAAAGCCTAATATCCTAAGTGTCCGGTTGACCCTTCGGCCATTCAACCAATCAAAGCATAATATGCTAATGATATGCTAAGGTTGCTCAACTGCCCGCTATGATGACATACACTGACCATCAGAGGGCAGATGCTCCAAACGGTAGGTTAGCTTGCTGTTGGGGTCTGGCTGATCGGGACTGGGCAAGACGTGCTGGACACGCTCTGGAGCCCTCCGTGGTCCTTTCCTGGCAGGCCAACTCCCTGAATCCCTCTCCGGCCCCAATCGTGCACAGGTGGGGTTCCTTGGCCTGGCCTGTTGCCCTCTCGCAATCTGGGACCCCTTGGGGGATGTCAGAGAGCTGGTTTTGGACTGATCCCTCAGGCCAGGCCAAGGGATCCCACTGGTGCATGAATTCATGCACTGGGCTTCTAGTAAAGGAATAAACCACCCCATTCCTAATTCCATAGCAAATTCTCCCATCAGTGCCTGGGGATCAATTCACAGCTGCTTGTTAAAACTGTGTTTTCATGTCCCACAAGGACGTGGAGTAGATTACCCTAAGACAAAAGCATCAGTGTGTCAAATGTATATAGAGATGTCCCAAGGCAATGAGAAATACATTTTCATTTCATTCTGTTAATTTTTTATCTGAATTGCATTTCTTGTTGTCTGGTGTTCTATGATCACCCAGGGCTGTTATTTCTAGTCAGAATGGTACTTGGCCTCTCATATTTATTCTTCATTGTCTCCAAATAAAATTGTAAAGCTTTATCCAGGAACTAGAGGCCCGATGCACAAAGATTTGTGCAAGAATAGGCCTTCCTTTCCCTGGCTGCCAGCACCGCCTTCACTCTGATCCAAAGCCGCCTTCCGCCTTCCCGTGCTGCCCATAGGGCCGGAGCGGCGAGGGCGGGGCAGAATGCCTGTGTCGTTGCCATGGCGACGACGCAAGCATTCTGGTCCGGCTGCCGCCATCTTTGTCGCATCAATTTGCATATTCCCTCCTTACTGGCTGTGGGCACCGCCATCTTTGTCACAAAGTGACAGTCAATTTGCATAGTCCGTCTTTATTAGATAGGATAACAGCACAAACTCAAAGATCTTTAGATTTTTAGAATAAATCATTATCCATCCAGAAAAGGAACATATAGAGTACTCAAATTTTGTCAGTGAAAACCTTCAACAAAAACAAGATAATCCTGAATATGTAGGTGTTTAATATTTTTAATGCAAAAGATGCTAATTAAATGTTTACAAATGCTAAAAAACAAAACAAAACAAAACCTAAGCCAAATGGCTATCAATCTTTTTTTTTTAAGTATTTTAATTGATTTCAGAGAGGAAAAGAGAGGGAGACATGAATAGAAACACCAATGATGAGAGAGAATCACTGATCAGCTAACTCCTACATGCCCCCCACTGGGGATTGAGCCCACCACCCGGGCATGTGCCCTGAGCAGGAATTGAACTGTGACCTCCTGCTTCATAGGTCAACTACTGAGCTACACTGGCTGGGCAAATGGCTATCAATCTTACCACATCGCTCCACTACACCTACAATTTCCCCCATATATAGCCTAATCAGTGATTTCTCCAATTAATTGAAGCACATCTGATGGTATTTCAGTCTCTTTGGTTCACTGTGGTTTAAATATTACCTGGCATTTACCCAAATCAAATATGGCTTAATAGTGACTACTAATACCAAATATGCTAATTATGATATATATAATATCAATAAACAAGTAGTATGGAGATAATACAAAAGTGTTTTATAAATGATCCTTGGCCAAATAAAATCTAGTTATTTTCCAAATGAGATTAAACATGATTGTGAAAAATGCTTTGACTGTATAATGAGACAAGCAAGATAAAAGATTTATCTTTCAAGTTATTTACTGAAATATTAATACTCTATAATTTTCAAATAAATCATTAACACACATGCAATTTACATAAATTAAAAATATGAGATTTAATGTAACTGGATTAAAATATCTGAGGTTCACCTTAAGTGAAGAATACTTACTCTTAGCTGAGTTCGAAGTTTGGGTATCTCCTTCACTTTCTCTTCGAGTTCATCATTTTGATTTGTTAATTTAACTAGCTCTTCAGCCATTATGGAGCGTGTTTTTTCTAGACTGCCAATTTCTACCTGAGAAACATTATCAGAAAGAAATTTAGACAAAAATATATCTCGTTTAATGTTCCTACTAATGTAAACATATTTAATGTGTTATTTTTAAAGAAAAATATAACAGCATATAACCATGAGGTAGCTCTTTTTTTTTTTTTAATATTTTTTATTGATTTTTTACAGAGAAGAAGGGAGAGGGATAGAGTCAGAAACATCGATGAGAGAGAAACATCGACCAGCCGCCTCCTGCACACCTCCTGCGGGATGTGCCCGCAACCAAGGTACATGCCCTTGACCGGAACCGAACCCGGGACCCTTGAGTCCGCAGGTCGACGCTCTATCCACTGAGCCAAACCGGTTTGGCCATGAGGTAGCTCTTAAGTAAAAGGAAATAGTGACCAAAAAAAGGTTTCAACTTTCTTCAGAGGTGTACCACTGATAGGGTGTACCATGAAAGACAAAGAACTAAAGAGAATTCAATCATCTGTTTGAACTATGCAACCTTATATTTTTCTCTAATTTAAGGAAATAGCATATATTTCAGTTATTCTAAATTACTACAAAATCCCTGAGAAATAAAACCATACTTTAGTGTATCTCCAACTGTGTTGATCATATTGACAGACTACCAAAAATGTTCATTTGGTCCCTCAAGCATAGCATTCTGGGCTACATAAACATAAGTATTAAGATTATTCTAACCTATTTTTTCCCAATTCAAGATCTTCTTTAATAGAGTAATATCTTCAACTTATTAAAGTCATACAAAGGGAATAAATGAGGAAAGTTTTACTTATGAGTGTATCAAGTTTAACAAAAAAATAGTTTAAACGTTTTAACATTTCTCACTACATTATATTTAAAAAGGCAAGATATGATGAGCGGCTCCTCCCTTCCCACTTACAACGTTTACTTTACTGTGCACAAGGTTGTAGTTCTAATCTCTCTACTCCAGTGGTTCTCAACCTGTGGGTCGCGACCCCTTTGGCGGGCAAACAACCCTTTCACAGGGGTCGCCTAAGACCATCCTGCATATCAGATATTTACATTATGATTCATAACAGTAGCAACATTAGTTATGAAGTAGCAACGAAAATAATTTTATGGTTGGGTCACAACATGAGGAACTGTATTTAAAGGGCCAGAAGGTTGAGAACCACTGCTCTATTTATTCCTAACGGGAAGTCAGAGCAACTTATATGAGTGGTAAATCCAGGAAGAATAAAATGGGTATGCTCAGATCAGAAGCTTCCTTTTTTTAAAACTATGTTTTATTTATTGATTTTTTAAAGAGGGCAGAAGGGAGAGGGAGAGAGAGAGAAACATCAATGATGAGAAAGAACCACTGATAGGCTGCCTCCTGAACACCCCACCCCTACTGGGGATCGAGCCCACAACCGGGGCCTGGGCCCTGACCAGTAATCAGAAAGGTGACCTCTAGGTCCCTGATGGGCGATCAATCACTAAGCCACGCCAGCTGGGCAACAGCTTTTTTTTTTTTAACGTGTGGAAAAGCTGCTTGAAAGGAGCGCTCTGCTCCCAGATGCCTAAGTCTTGCCTGGGCAGCTACCACACCTGGGAGCCCACTCCAGCCCAGCATTTCCCGTGATGGAGGTAAGTCAGTCTCCCCAGTTCTGGCCCTCAGCAGGCTCACTTGGCTCTTATCCTTGGTGAATTTCTCCAACCAGCCCTTATCATTAACATAGGATACATTTTGGTCTTCACATGCCACTATTTCATTTTATTTCTAAACTTGCTCAGAATTCAGGTGAATATAAATTCAAGTATACTTACTGGCCCTCAAATTTTCACCTACTTCTATAGCATATTTAATTTTTCCAATACCTGTAAATGAGTAATTTCTCCTTCCCTTAGTTGTAGCTGGGACTGTAGATTTTCGATAATGCTGGATCCTGCCCCCATCCTTACAGCCTCATAAAGATTGCTTCCACTTGCTGATACAGACATTGGTCCAAGTGAGAGATCATGAGGCTCATCCTATGTTAAGAAAACACACAGTTATTCAGATAGTACAGACTGTATGCCCTTATAAGGTTCAAACAAAAGATCTGTCAGTTCTTGCTTTAAAATGTCTAACTCTCAAAGGCAGAAAATCATCTTTACTTCCTCAGTTTTACAAATATTCAGATGACTTGCCTATGGAATGGCAAGATCATGATGACAGGCTAACTGCTACCTGCATATTCCTTTTATCATTATTCAGTTTAGGAATAAGCACATATCCTACATAATAAAGAGGTAATATGCAAATTGACCATCACTCCAACAAACAAGATGGCCGCCATAAGATGGCCAGCAGGGGAGGGCAGTTGAGGGCGATCAGGCCAGCAGGGGAGGGCAATTGGGAGGGACCAGGCCTGCAAGGGAGGGCAGTTAGGGGCAATCGGGCCGGCAGGGGAGAGCAGTTGGAAGGGACCAGGCCTGCAAGGGAGGGCAGTTAGGGGTGACCAGGCCGGCAGGGGAGGGCAGTTGGGGGTGACCAGGCCAGCAGGGGAGGGGAGTTGGGGGTGACCAGGACGGCAGGGGAGGGCAGTTAGGGATGACCAGGCCGGCAGGGGAGGGCAGTTGGGGGTGACCAGGCCAGCAGGGGAGGGGAGTTGGGGGTGACCAGGCCGGCAGGGGAGGGCAGTTAGGAATGACCAGGCCGGCAGGGGAGGGCAGCTGGGGGTGACCAGGCCAGCAGGAGAGGGCAGTTGGGGGCAACCAGGCTGGCAGGAGAGGGCAATTGGGGGCAACCAGGCTGGCAGGGGAGGACAGTTGGGGCAATCGGGCCAGCAGGGGAGGGCAATTGGGAGGGACCAGGCCTGCAAGGGAGGGCAGTTGAGGACAATCAGGCCTGCAGGGGAGTGACCGGGCTGGCAAGGGGAAGGCAGTTAGGGGCAATCGGGTTGGCAGGGGAGGGCAGTTAGGGGCAACCAGGCCTGCAGGGGAGGACAGTTGTGAGCAACCAGGCCTGCAGGGGAGGACAGTTGGGGGAGACCCAGGCCTGCAAGGGAGAGCAGTCAGGGGTGACAGGGCTGGCAGGGGAAGGCAGTTAGGGGTGACTGGGCTGGCAGGGGAGGGCAGTTGGGAGTGACCAGGCAGAGGCTGTTAGGGGCAACCAGGCTGGCAGGGGAGGGCAGTTAAGGGTGATCAGGCTGGCAGGCAGAGGCAGTTTGGAGCCAGCGGTCCAAGATTGTGAGAGAGATGTCTGACTGCCGGTTTAGGCCTGATCCCTGTAGGATTGGGCCTAAACCGGCAGTCAGACATCCCCCATGTGGTCCCCAGCTGGAAAGGGTGCAGGCTGGGCTGAGGGAACCACCCCCACCCCCGTGCACGAATTTCATGCACCAGGCCACTAGTATGAAATAAAACATCACCTGAGACAGGAAAGATGTTTGCAGGCCTGCCATCTCAACTCCACTTATTGAACTTGATCGTGACATTGTGGGCGTGCTAGAAACAGAAAATGGTTTCCGTTCCTTTAAGGAGTAAGAAAAAAATTCGGTTAGGATTAAGAGCGAAGTGGTAAATAAAAAAACAAGAAACTTTTCTAGGATTAATGACAACAAAGTCTCATTCTAACTTCCTCATAAAATGTTACAGATATAACTTCTGAAGTCTTATTCTTGCAAGGCACAATATTTGGTAATCTGAAAGTATAGGCAGACTTGGTCAAATCATCTAGGGCAGTGGTTCTCAGCCTTCCTAATGCCGGGACCCTTTAATACAGTTCCTCATGTTATGGTGACCCCCAATTTCATTGTTACAAATTGAATATAATTAAAGCATAGTGATTAATCACAAAAACAATATGCAATTATATATGTGTTTTCCGATGGTCTTAGGCGACCTCTATGAAAGGGTCATTCGACCCCCAAAGGGGTCGCGACCCACAGGTTGAGAACCGCTGATCTAGGGACTCATGTATATTGCAACAACATAATCTGATTTATTTTTAATGGAATGAAAATGTATTTTTTAAAACGTATTTCTTTTATTGATTTCAGAGAGGAAGGGAGAGGGAGAAATAGAAACATCAATGATGGGAGAGAATCATTGATCAGTTGCCTCCTGCATGCCCCCCACTGGGGATTGAGCCCGCAACCCAGGCATGTGCCCTTGGCTGGAATTGAACCCAGGACCCTTCAGTCCGCAGGCCGACGCCCTATCCACTGAGCCAAACCAGCTAGGGCGAAAATGTTCTTGTTAAAACAATTATATGAACTCACTGCTTCCTATTATATAACCTATTTCTTCCTTTGTTGTTGTTCTTAATCCTCACCTGAGGATATTTTTTCCATTGATTTTTTGAGAGAGTAGAAGGGAGGGAGGAAGGGGGAGAGGGAGAGGATGAAAGAGACAGAGAAACATTGATGTGAGAGAGACACATCAATTGGCTGCCCCAGCACACAGCCCAATTAGGGCTAGGGATTTAACCTGCAACCCAGGTACATGCCCTTGACTGGGAATTGAACCTTCAGTGCATGAGCTGATGCTATAACCACTGAGACACAACAGCCAGGGCAGACTAAACCTCTTTCTTTCTTTTCTTTTTTTTAAAAATTGATTTCAGAGAGGAAGGGAAAGGGAGAAGGAGACGGAGAGAGACATCAATGATGAGAGAGAATCATTGATCGGCTGATCCTGCATGCCCCAAACACCAGGGATCGAGCCTACAACCTGGGTCTGTGCCCTGTCCGGGAATCGAACTGTGACCTCCTGGTTCATAGGTTGAGCCTCAACCACTGAGCCATGCTAGTGGGGGTAAACCTGTTTCCTTAGGATAAGATTACCAATGAGTTTTATAAACCATAAAAAGTTTCTGGCTTATCTACCTTATTTTTAGTGTATTTTTTAAAATTCCAAATAAATTTAAAAGGTAATTTCAATGTTGATACAGGTAGTTTCTATATATTATGCTAACTACCAAGTACATGCCAATACTTTAAATATAGGAAACTCACTTTTAAAAAGAGGTTCTACAATTCAAATCCTAGAAATCACAGATCTGTTTGGATAAACTCAAAATATTTTGGATCTACTCTGAACAAGACACTGATTACATTATTAGGGTTCATCATCCTACTGATTTTAGACATTAGAAATGTTATTTATAAAGTGCAACTAAAATTACAAAACAATGACTAATCACAACAGCTACTAACCGGTTACACCAAAAAATTCAATACCTTTTCTTTTATTGCTTCTTGAGTAAAAATGGCTTTCTTCCGTTCTTGTTCAACTTTCATTTTCTCCATTTCTAACTGACTATTCAACAGTGTCTAATAGACAGAAATACAGTTAGATAATTCCTATGATACTAAATCATCCCCAAAAGTCAATCTCAAAATTAGGAGCATAAAGTATATACCTAGTTGTCTTACTACTAAAGAGCAAGTCCCAAAGGCAGTAAGTTCCTTCATTTCATCTTGTCATTACTTTGCTACCATCCCCTAGCCCAGCCGTGGGCAAACTACGGCCCGTTTGAAATGAATAAAACTAAAAAAAAAAAAGACCGTACCCTTTTATGTAATGATGTTTACTTTGAATTTATATTAGTTCACACAAACACTCCATCCATGCTTTTGTTCCAGCCCTCCGGTCCAGTTTAAGAACCCATTGTGGCCCTCGAGTCAAAAAGTTTGCCCACCCCTGCCCTAGCCCTAAGAGGTGAACAACTAACAGAAATACCTTTTCTTTCCTTGTCTCTTCCAGTGTTCTCACATAATCATCTTTTAGGTTTTCTAATTCAACCTGGTACCTATTAAGCAGAAGGAAATGAAACAAAAAAGATGACAGTACAGACTATTAAAAACTCACTACTTTATTAACTCCAGCTACATATATATAGTCATTTTTATTACCAGACTGATTTTCCTACTGTTGCTTTTTTCCAGACGACTTGGGTTTTGCTCAGAAGCCAAACTACTACTTTTGTGCATTGTATTTATTGATGCTTTGGGTTAAGATTTCATTTAAAAAGAAATTTCCTAAAAGAATTTTGAATGCAACCATTCCATATGTTCAGATTCTGCAAAAGGTTGTTAGGGGGTCCAATGAAAATGTCTGCAAAAGTTCAGGTATTTTACTTTATAAAGTATTTTTACTTGACTACATTTTTAAAAGTACAATTTCCAAGAAAGAACTGAGGGTAAAAATGCACTAATCATAGCCTTTATATAAAGATAGCCCTATATAATTTCAGGTGGATGTATTTTATAGCTTGTGGTTTCCAAAGAACCAATACATTTATTTAGAAAGACTGAAACACTGCTAAAACTCTTGTAATATAAAAATAACTCCAATATGTTTCCAAACTATTTTCTGGTTACAGACTCCTTTAACAAATCTGATTAAAGCAATGAATCTTTTCTCTAGAAAATGCACATATAGAACATGCAACACAATTTCCAGAATACATGTAAGATTCAATGAATCCCAGTACTATGTCTTGATGTAATATCCTATTACCAATGGTCCTAACTTTAAACACTAAGAGTATGTATTTTCCGTTCTCAGGGCCATGTAGCTAAAAGCCAATGGCACATGTTTTTAAGTGCTTTAAAATGTCATCAAGTACCAAAAATAACTCAAGAAATATGCTCACCTATTTTTTTCATCTTCCAGTTTTATTAGCCTATTTTTCTCTGATTCTAGCTGGGCCTGAAATCTACTGTTTTCCTGTCTTAAGAGAGAATTCTGTGACTCCATGGAAGACAGCTGAATTTTGTTGGCAAGGAGTTCTTCCGTAGCCGCACGTTCTCTTTCAACGGCTGCTGCCAGCAAGGTCTGAGATTCGCCTGCATGGAGGATAAAAAGAGAAAATTCACATATACAGATACCCAAGAGGCCAAGACACCAAGTAGTTCTGACTTTCAATGATGCAAGTAGCCACACTTAAAACTCTTAACTGCTTACTGCCCAAGGCAGGACTTTTTCCAAATTTTAAACTTTTGCTCTATGTGAACAGGATGTAAAGGCAAGCCACAGACTTGCAGAAAACAAATGCAAACCACACTATCTATCGAAGACTAGTATCTACAATATATAAAGTAGTTTCAAATCTCAGCAGTGAAAATACAAACAATCCAATTAGAAAACGGGCAAAAGACTTGAACAGACATTTCACTGAAGAGAATGCACAAATAGAAAATAAATATCTCAACAATAAAAATAAATTAAAAATAAAAGCAGCACATGAAATAATGTTTAACATGATTAGTCATCAGGGAAATGCACATTAAAATCATAATAGATATCACTGCACACCTGTGTGGACGACTATATAAAAAACAGGGCCCTGGCCGGTGAGGCTCAGTTGGTTGAGCACTGTCCCAGCACTAAAAGGTCAGTGGTTCCATACCTGGCCAGGGCACATACCCAGGTTGCAGGCTCAATCCCCAGTAGGAACCATGTAGGAGGCGGCTGGTCAATGTTTCTCTCTCACATCAATGTTTCTCTTTCTCTCTCTCTCTCCCCCCCTCCACTCTCTCTAAAATAAATAAAAACATATGAAAAATAAAAAACAGGGAGACACAAAATCCTGGCAAAGATATGGAAAAACTGCCCATGGACACAGATCATAGTGTGGTGAAGGCCTGGGAGGGGCAAGTGCAGGTTAAAGGGGGTCAATGGGGAAAAAAGGGGGGGCGCACATCTGTAATACTTTCAACAATAAAGATAAATTTTAAAATAAGATATGAAGAAACTGAATTACTCACATACAGCCATTCTGGAAAACAGTTTGGCATTTTCTTTAAAAACTAAACATACACCCCAGGGAAAGTAGGGGAGGGTGGGGGTAAGGGGAAGAGATCAACCAAAGGACTTGTATGCATGCACATAAGCCAAACCAATGGACATGGACACCAGGGGGATGAGAGCATGAGTGGGGGGGAGGAGGGAGGGGGAGTTAATGGGGGGGAATGAGGACACATTTGTAATTCCTTAACTAATAAAGAATTTAAAGATAAATAAATAAATAAATAAATAAATAAATAAATGTAAACAGGACCAAAAAAAAAGAATGTATCCTGGAAAAGTATTCATTGTTGTTTTGTATTTTTATATTTATCATTTCAATTTACATAAATGCTGTTGTCGTCTAAAAAAAAACACACAAAAAAACTAAACATACAACTATCCAAACAACTCAGCAATTGCATACTTGGGCATATATCCAGAGAAATAAAAAGCGTATGTTCACACTAAAACTTGTATGTGAATGTTCATCATAGCAGCTTATCTGTACAGACAAAATCTAGAATCAGCCCATACAGCCATCACCAGGTAAACAAAACGTGGTACATATATATGAAAAAACACCTAGTAATAAAAAACCTAATCATTGATACACACAATAACTTGGATACATCTCCAAGGAATTATGCTGAGCAAAAAAGCCAATCCCCAAATGTCAGCTTGATATCTTTATTATAGTGATGAAAACATGAACCCGCACCAAGTGGTAAAATTGTGCAGAGCTTAATATACACACAGAAGCGCACACACACAGACAAGTACCAGCAAAACTGGGAAAATCTGAATAAAATCAGTAAACTGTATCAGTGTCAATACCCTGGTTGTAATATTGTAACTCTGCAAAATGTTAGCATTTGGATATACTGGAGAAAGTGAGAATTATTACTGCATGTCTATCTACAATTACCTCAATAAAGTGTTTCAATTATACTGCATCTATGGTCCTATTAATAGCATCACAGGCTATGTGTGTCCTGTGGCTCTGCCTATATTCCACCACATACCCCCGAGAGTATGCAGACCCCAGTGTAAAAACCACCAACGCTGGGCTTCTAGCCTCCACTTACTGCCAGATAGGTATTGGTTTCAGGGGTCATGTTCAGATACCTCACATTTCCTAACAAATTGGTCTCAAACTGACAGAGATAAATGACAGATCTAAAATGTATACATATAAATTAAACAATATATGAAGAGTCATCTAGTTCAGTGATTTTCTTTTTAACCAGGTAAGTCTTTTCTGAGACAAAATCCGACATGGAACTCAAAAAAAGATAGACAGCGGAGGCACTCCTTCCACTGTGGCAGCTGGCGGGCCCAGCACATGACTGAGGAGCTTCCCCGGCACAGTGACGGCCCTGAAGAGCCTGTCGAGGGCCGTCTGAAAGCCACTAACTTACTTTACTGCTCAGGACTTCCAGTGAGTAGCCCGGAAAAGGGAAGTGACTCGTCAGCCGTGGGCAAACTACAGCCCGAGGGCCGGATCCTGCCCGTTTGAAATGAATAAAACTAAAAAAAAAAAAAAAGACCGTACCCTTTTATGTAATGATGTTTACTTTGAATTTATATTAGTTCACACAAACACTCCATCCATGCTTTTGTTCCGGCCTCCGGTCCAGGTTAAGAACCCATTGTGGCCCTCGAGTCAAAACGTTTGCCCACCCCTGGAGCTAGATGACTCAAAACAAAACAAAGCAAAGCCTTGAGTCCAGGTCTGCTCTGATCACTACACCATGATGTCCCTCAAATTCCATGGACTTTTCATGAACTTGCTAGCTGCTGGGATATCTAGTATATACATATATCACCTGTCTGTGCTTGAATAAACATCTTGGAAAAACAATTTTCTTTTTATTAACAGCACAGAAGGGCAAATTGGGACATTCCTATAAAGAAACAGAATATGAAATCTTAGGACTGCATAGCACCTGAATACTGGATTTATTTAAACCTTGATCCTCCACAGACCTGGCTCTGCTCTTGGAGTTCCTCCACTGACTACAACATATCTACCTTGTACCTTCCACACAATCGCAGACAAGCTAGAAAAAGGTCAGATTTAGCAACAAACAAGGGGGAAACCAAGTGCAGTCTGTAAAAATGAATGAAAAAATGACATGACAGTAATTAGACAGGATCTGATAGGTTGTGTTAGGGAAAACAAATGATCTGGGAATCAATTAAGATATTAGAAAATAAATGTAAAACAGGAAAAGAGGTGAAAATCTACCAGTTAGACACAAAATACAACCATCAGATCAAGTGAATTTCAATTTCAGACCATTACCCCAATTCCATAGACAAAATGGAAAGGCTTCTGCATTGAGCTTAAGAACTAAAGCAGTTACCCAGCCTGTCAGAGAGATTCTTCTCTAACTTCTCCCACGACGATGTCTGGGACCCTAGTGTTGCCTGCAAATTTTCTATCTGTCGAAGCAATGGTCTTGTCGTTGACGAAACACTTTGACTCAGTTCCTGGTTTCGATTTTCTGCTTCCTGGAGTCTCTGAATCATGAAATTCTTAAGTTATTACCACTGACAACAATAAAAACACTAGCAAACAAACTTTATGGGATTTATGGAAAAAATTATTTCTCCAAGATAGAATTACTTTTCAAATTAAATTATTTTATAATTATTCAATCCTAAAGTTAGTTATGTTGCATGATTATCTAAATAAGTGCTCTTTTAGAAAGCATTTTCTAAGATAGAGAGAGCCTTTGACCATCATAAGGTAAACACAAGTATCGTCCAAACCTCCCTGTAGTAACCTCCCCATCCAAATTTCTAAGTATTTATTAAGACAGGCAAGTTGATCGGAATTGCATTGCCTCTCCCTTTTCCTATGCATGCTCACTGACTGGAACTGAATAGCGGGTAACATAAAAACCGGGCAGTGCTCAGGCTGATAATAATGAATAATACAGCTATTACAAATGAAAACAATACTGAATAAATTTTTCATAAAATGATTTGCTCTAAAACAGAATTAGGGCTTTTCTTATATATTTTTAAGGTTCCAACTCTGATTTTATTCACACAAGCCACAAAAAAATAGCAAACGATACATATGGGAGTAATCCTCCCAATTCCACGACCATTACCCACTGAGTCACTTTTATTTCTAAAAGAACTGTGGCAGCACCTGCTGGAGTTCACTGATCTCATGGCGCAGATAATCCTCTTTTCTGGCAGCTGTTTGTTCTGCACGCTGCAGGGCCAGCCTCAGGTCCCCCACCTGCATGAGGAACACCAATCCACTATCACCGTCTCGAACACTGCCTGCTAACTACATATTCTGTGCTCTGTTGACTTACTGTTCACGTATAATACTGTATACTATCCAATGAGCTTTACCGTATGATTATCACACATCCCATTCATCAAGCAATTCCGAAACTATATGTATGTTCACCTTGTACTAAGGAAAGTACTGTTAGGCTGTTAGGCAAAAAAAACTGTACGTGAGTGTATACAAGGCACAGCCACTGCCCCATAAGATAAGAGATGACGTATCCATATATGTCTGCAGTGCAGGCTGCATGTGACAGCTACATGAGCTATGAGAGCTAGTCCTGAGAATTCGCTCTATGGAAGCAGATCTCTACAAACACAGACACGTTTCCTATACTGTCAGCTATATCAACAATAACACACAAATCATGAAATATTGTAAATATCCATCAGTAGTCATCTATTTTTACAAGTCTCAATACAACATAAGCATACTCATTAAAAATTATGGTACATGTAAAAATGTATGATTTAATCTTAAATGAAAAAAACTGTAAAATAATATATAAAGTATAAAAATATGTACATGGAAATAAGAACAAGAAGGTAACACACAAAATTGACAGTGCTCCTAAAGGTGATGATTTTATGAATGATAGTGCCCTACACTCTAATTCCCATTCCTCCAATTTTTCTTTATCATTTTATTTTTCTAGTGTATTTTTAATGTAAAACATTAATAATTTCTCTATCCTAGTGATAGAGTTGCAGAAACACAAGGGGAGTATGGACTATCGCATGACTTAAACAACCCAAATATCCATTATTAAGAACTGACTGAATACAATGAAGCGTTATAACTGTAAAAATAATTTTTTTAAAAAGCTTTAGGTTAAAACAAAAGTTCTATGTTCTAGTATGGAATGATCACAAAGATACTTTATTTTGTAAATAAAGCAAGCTGTCAACAGTATAAATAGTAAACTATATATATTTTTTCTTTTTATCTTCCTTGCCTCTTTACTTCATCAAAATTAAAAACTTTTGTGCATCAAAGGACACTATCAAGAAAGTGAGACAACCTATATAGAATGGGATAAAATATTTGCAAATCCTGTGTCTGACAAGGGTCTAGTATGTAGAATATATAAAGATTAATAAAAAGACAACCCAATTTAAAAATGGGCAAAGGATTTAAATATTTGAAAAAACTTCTCCAAAGAGGATACATAATAGCCAAAAAGTACACTAAAAGATGCTCAACATCACTAGTCATTGACACCACAATCAGATATTACTTCACACCCACTAAAAGGGTTACATTGAAAAAAAAATAGACAATAAGGAATACTGGGAAGGATGTAGAGAGATTAAAACGCTCATATATGGCTGGTGAGAATGTAAAATGATGCACGTTTGCAGAAAAGTTTGGCAATTCCTCAAAAAAGTTAAATATACGGCTACCTTATGACTCGAGGGTACATATCTAAGAGAAATTAAAATATATGTTCACACAAAAAAAATTATAAATGAAGGTTTAAAACAGCACTTTTCATATTAACAAAGAGTGTAAAAAATCCAAATATCCATCAACTGATGATTTTATAAGACAAAATCTGACAAATTTGGGGGTTCCTCATTCATCTGAGCAGATTCTCCTTAAATTATATGAATGTTTAGTATTTTTCTGAATACATGCATTTCTCTGGTAAGGGGTCCTTAGCTTTCATAATATTCTCAAATAAGCCTGAAATTCACAAAAAATTAAGCAATACTTGTATAATTTAAGCATCACTTTAATAACAGTTAAAAAAATAGACAAGTTAGCCTAACAGCATTATAAAGGAAATATAACAATAAGGTTTGACTCTAATGGATTTTTTAATCCACAGAAGCACCAGGATCTAAAAAGCGGATGTAATTCTTCCTCTACCACGTACCTGAATGGCTAATGCTTCTTGCTGCTGACGGGCTTCTTCTTGGACCTTCTCTAGAGCTGCAGAAAGTTCTTCCTTAGCTTTCATTTCGTGACTCAGAGCAGCTTCCTGTGCCTCACTAGCCTTTGCAGCATTGGCTTTGTGGAGATCAGTAAGTTCTCTTAAAAAAATTAGATTGATTTAAAATAATAAAAATTTAAATAAAAATTAGTTTTATTTAAAATAATATGCAGTAGCCCTGGCCGGTTTGCTCAGTGATTAGTCAGCCCACAGACCAAAGGGTCTCGGGTTTGATTTCAGACAAGGGCATGTACCTTGGTTGCAGGCTCAATCCCTGGCCCCAGTCAGGGCACATGTGTAAGGCAGTCAATCGATGTGTCTCACATCGGTATTTCTCTCTCTCCCCTTCCTCCTTCCCACTCTCTCTAAAAATGGTTCCTAGCAAGTGTGGCTCAGCGATTGTGCATCGATCCAGGAACCAAGAGGTCATAGGTTTGATTCCCAGTCAGGGCACATGCCCGGGTGGTAGGCTCGAACCCCATCAGGCGTTCAGGAAGCAACCTATCAATGATGTTTCTTTCTCATCAATGTTTCTCTCTCGGGTGAGGATTAAGGAAAAAGATAAATTAAGTAAAATAATTTAGAGTAATTACATGGCCAAGGATATGAAGGTTCCATGTAGATTTCCATCAGATTTACAGAATGACGGAGAGTTCACCAAATAATAAACAGTGACTGCAGTTAAGTACTCTCTGTTGAATTTGCTTTGAAAAGTTTCAAGTTCATTTATAGCTAAATTTATGCATTGTCAGTGATCAGATAATAGAAAAAGGATTTCTTCAACATCCTGCATTTAACAGATTGTGAATGAGTTGCATATTTATTCATTTTCTTACTTGTATGCACTGTCAAGAGCAGCCTGAATACTTCGGTTCTTTTCTTCAAGTTCATTCATAGCTACTTGAAGTTGGCCAAGATCTTTCTCTTGACGTTCGACCACAGAATTTAGTTTTTTAATATTTTCTCTATGTTGTTTCTCAACTTCTTCTTTACCATCAAGGACCTATATTATAAAAACAGGCAAAAGTATTCTTCAATAAATAACACTATGGTAAATAAGTGTATTCCAGGAATCTCAAGTATTATAACAAACAATAATCGTAACATTTGTCTATTAAATTGTTGAAAAATACTTCCCATGTGATATATCCCAATAAATCATTCCAAATATTTTATAAGCCACAGTGAACTGTTCATATAGTAAGTAATAACAATTTATATAGAAAACAATTAACATTCACCTGTTTCAAATGTTGCAACTCTTCTTCTAGCTCTTTAACTTTTTTCTTCAGCTTTGCAATAATATTTTCATTTTCTTTGTCTTTAGCTCTTAATTTCTTAATGATGTTAGAACTCTGCAACTGCTGTTTTGAAAGTTTTTCTCCTGGCAATGGCAAAAATGTGTAAGTTCAAATAACAATGATTCCCTAAGAATCTAAATTGAATGTTTCTCTAACCAGTGATTAAAAAAAAAAGATAGGATGTTTTTAAAAATCACAATACTGTAAGCACCAATGTTTTGGATAAGAATTATTAATGAATGCTAGAATTAGTAGGTGGAAGCATGGTGGGAAACGGGATATATACAGTCTTAAAGAAGCATTCCCACATATTTCTTATGAGTTCCAAAAGCAAAGATGTGCTTTTACAATGGAAAACTCTGGCAGTCACTACCATAACGAAACATTATCAATGCCTGTGGTACAGCCTGACATTATGTGTCTACTGATGGGATAAAGTGGCAGGTGCACAATATCACTTATAATATTTCTTATTAGAAATTTGATTTGAATATAATCATGACGTGAAAAATTCCTGAACCTGGGGCACTCTGTAAGACAACTGGCCGGGACTCTACACAGTCTTCAATGTCATGAAGAAGACAGAGCTATCCTAGATGGATGAAGTCATGGCCAAATGCAATGAAATAATGGCCAAATGCAATGTACAAACTTTGAATGGATCTTGAGGCAGGACAAATGACCAGCTATAAAGGTCATTTTTAGAGGCAACTGGGATAAATGATGAAATATATACTGGAATACACTTCTGATTTTCTTATATGTGATTATGATGTGCTTGTGGAGGAAAATTAATTGCCCTTAGGAGATGCAGACGGAAGAATTCAGGAGTGGACTACAGATTCAATGCAATCCTATCAAAATTCCAAGGGCATACTTCATACACACACACACAAAAATAAATAAATCCTAAAATTCATCTGAAACCATAAAAGACCTCAAATAGCAAAAGCAATCCTGGATAAGTACAAAGTCAGAGGTATCACAACATATTACAAAGCTACAGCAATCCAAACAATATGGTACATACATAAAACCAGACATATAGACCAAATGAACAGAATAGAGAGCTTAGAAATAAATCCACACATTTATAGCAACTCATCTTTAACAAGGATGCCGAGAACACACAGTGGGGAAAGGATAGTCTGATAATAAATGTTACTGGGAAATTGAATTTCCACATGCAGAAGGATGAAATTGGACTTTATCATATACCAAATATAAAAATAATTTGAAAACAGATTAAAAACTTAAATGTTAAGGCCTAAAACTGTAAAACTACTAGAAGAAAGCACAGGAAAAAAGCTTGGCATTGGTCTTGGCAATGATTGTTTGGATATGATACCAAAAGCATGGACTACAAAAGCAATAATAAACAAATGTGATTACATCCAAGTAAAAACTACTGCACAGCAAAGACAACCATCAACAGAATAAAAAGACAATCTACATATTAAAATATTTGTCCTTTTGTGTCTGGCTTCTTGTTTTCAAAATTCATCCATGTTACAGAATGTATCAGAATGTCATTCTTCTTTTGGCTCAGTAATATTCCACTGCATGGATATACCACATTTGGTTTATCCATTCATTTGTTGATGAACATTCGAGGTTGTTTACACCTATTGGCTATTATGAGTAATGTTTTAGTGAACACTGGTGTACAAGCATCTGACTAGGGACAATTCCTTTGGGTATATACTTAGGAGTAGAATTGCTGAATCATATGGCAATTGTATTTTTAGCTTTTTAGGAACCTCCAAACCTTTCCATAGTGGCTACACCAGCAATGTTATGAGGGTTCCAATTTTTCCATATCCTCCCCAATACTTATTTTCTGGTTTTTAACTTTTTTTTTTAATTGAACTTATTGGGGGTGACACTGGTTAATAAAATTATGTAGGTTTCAAGTATACAATTCTTTAACACATCATCTGTATATTGTATTGTATGTTTACCACCCCAAGTCATGTCTTCTTTCATCACCATTTATCGCTTCTTTACCATCTTCTACCTCCCCCCCTGTGCCCCCTTTCCATCTAGTAATCACCATACTTTTGTCTGAGTCTCTGAGATTGTTGTTTTTTTCTTAATCCCTTCATCCTTTCCACCCAACCCCACAACCCTCTCCCCTCTGACAGCTAGTTGTCAGTCTATTCTCTGTATCTGTAGGTCTGTTTCTATGTTATTTGTTAGTTTATTTTGTTCATTAGATTCTACACATAAGTGAAATCAATATTTCAATATCTAGAATATACAAATTATTAGACACAAAAAATAGATTAGAGGTTACCAGGGATTAGAGGGAAGAAAAAATGGGGATGTATTGCTTAACGGTTACAGTTTCTATTTGCGGTGATGAAAAAGTTTTGGAAATAGTGATGGTTGCACAACATGGTGAATGTAATTAATGCCACTGAACTGTACACCTAAAAATCATTAAGATGGCAAATTTTGATATACTTTATCACAACTAAAAATAATATAACATACCAAAACCTCTGAATTGTACACTTTAAATGGGCAAACTATATATTGTAATAACTATGCATGGTGTCAGGTGGGTATTAGATTTACTGGGGGAATCACGTCACAAATTACATCAATGTATAACCACTATGATATCCACCTAAAACTAATAGAATATTGAATGTCAAATGTAATGAAAAATAAAAGGCAATCTACAGAATGAAAAAAATAGTTATAAGTCATATATCTGATAAGAGATTAATATCCAACATATATGAAGAACTCATACAACTCAACAACAATAACAAAATTTAAAAATGGGCAAAAGGTATTAATAGACATTTCTTGAAAGACAAAAATGGTCAGCAGGTATATGAAAAAGTGATCAACACCATTAATCATCAGGGAAATGCAAATCAAAACTACAATGGAATATCACCTCAGACCTGTTAGAATAGTTATTATCAAAAAGACAAAAAAAAAAAAAATAGCCTAGCTGGTGTGGCTCAGTGGTTGAGCATTGACCTATGAACCAGGAGGTCACCATTCAATTCCTGGTCAGGGCACATGTCCAGGTTGCAGTCTTGATCCCCAGTAGGGGGCATGCAGGAGGCAGCCAATCAATGTTTCTCTCTCATCAATGTTTCTCTCCCTTCTTCTCTGAAATCAATAAAAAAATATATTTTTTGAAAGACAAAAAATACGTATTGGCAAGAATGTAAAAAAAAGGAAACCCTTGTACATTACTAATGGGAATGTAAATTGGTGCAGCCATTATGGGAAACAATATGGAGATTCCTCAAAAAATTAAAAGTAGAACTACCTTATAATCTAGCAATCCCACTTCTAAGTATATAACCAAAGAAAATGAAATCACCATCTCAAAGAGATGTCTGCATTCCCATGTTCACTGTAATATTATTCACAATAGCCAAGATATGGAAACAACCCAGTGTCTGTCAATGGATGAATGCATGTGGTGTATAAAGGAAATGTGTTATGGCCCTGGCCTGTGTGGCTCAGCTGGTTGGAGCATCGTCCCGACTGAAAGGTTGTGGGTTTGATCCCTAGCTGAAGTCCCTAGTTGGGATGTTTACAGGAGGCAACCAATCGATGTTTCTCTCTCTTTCTCAAATCAATAAGCATGTCCTCAAATAAAGATTTTTTTAAAAACGAAGTGTGGCGTGTGTGTATGTGTGTAAATGTAATATTATTTAGCCTTAAAAAATAAGGAAATCCTGCTATTTGCAACAACATGGATAAACCTAGAGGAAGAAATAAAATAAGCCAGGCACAGATACTGCATGATATCACTTATATCTAGAATCTAAAAAGTTGAATTCATAGCCCTAGCTGGTTTGGCTCACTGGGTAGAGCGTCAGCCTGCAGACTGAAGGGCGCCAGGTTCAATTCTGGACAAGGGCACATGACCGGGTTGCGGGCTCGATCCCCAGTGTCGGGTGTGCAGGAGGCAGCCGATCGGTGATTCTCTCTCATCATTGATATTTCTGTCTCCCTCTCCCCCTCCCTTCCTCTCTGAACTAAATAAATAAATAAATCTCATCAGACAGTAAAAAAAAAGTTGAACTCATAGAAGCAGAGAATTGAATGGTGGTTAGCAGGAGGGGCGGGGGGATGGGGAGATGTTGGTCAAAGGGTATACAAAGATTCAGTTTTGCAGAATGAGTAAGTTCTGGAGATCTTATGTATAGCATGAAAACCGAAATTAAAAATACTACATTGTACACTTGAAATTTGCTAGAAGAATACACCTTAACCACACACAAAAAAGGGTGATTATAAAGGTGAGTGATATGTTAATTAACTGTGTAATCATTTCACAATATATACATATATCAAAAATCATGATGTATACCGTAAATATATACAATTTTTCTCAATTATACTTCAATAAAGCTGAAAAAAAAGAATTTAGGAATGAAATGTTATGTTATGTCACCTACTTTCAAATGCTTGGCAAGCCCTAGCAGGTTTGGCTCAGTGGATAGAGGGCTTGCAGACTGAAGGGTTCCAGGTTCGATTCCATTCAAGGGCACATGCCCAGGTTGCTGGCTCCCTCCCCACTGGGGGGCGTGCAGGAAGCAGCCAATCAGTGATTCTCTCTAATAATTGATGTTTCTATCTCTCTCTCCCTCTCTCTTCCTCTCTGAAATCAACAAAAATGTATTAAAAAAGAAAACACACCACAAACAAAACAAAAAAATGCTTGGCAAAAAGTGTAGTTAGTGTATACAGAAAGATATGGAGGTGTTGCTAAATGTTAATAGTTGATGAATCAAGGTAATCCACTGTAGCATGCTTTCAGCTTTGAGTCTTTTAGTTTTTCAACTGTGAATTTAAAAATACCTCTGGGGGATACAGAAGCAGTATGTAAGTACTCCCATAAAAAAATCGTGCTAGCCCAGCCAGTGTGGCTCAGCGGTTGAGCAGTGACCTATGAACCAGGAGGTCAATATTCGATTCCAGGTCAGGGCACATACCCAGGTTGGAGGCGTGATCCCCAGTAGGGGGCATGTAGGAGGCAGCTCATAAATGATTCTCTCTCATCATTAGACATTAAAATTTTTTTTGTTAATCCTCACCCAATATTTTTCCATTAATTTTTAGAAAGAGTGGAAGGGAGGAGGAGAGACAGAGAGAGAAACATTGAAGAGAGGAGAGGGAGAGGGAGAGAGAGAGAGAGCGAGAGAGAGAGAGAGACAGACAGACAGACATCGATTGGTTGCCTCCTGCATCAGCCCTGACCAGGGCCAGGGATCATGCCTTTGACTGGAATCACACCCAAGACCCTTCAGACCATGGGCCAACACTCTATCCACTGAGCAAAACTGGCTAGGGCGATATTAGTATTTTTAATAATAAAACCGTGTACTTAGCCTTTCCCTCAATCTCTAACGTTGTAGCATAAGGCAGTTAGTGACTTCAAGGTGTTTTAATAAACTCTGCCTTTATTTTTCTATTTCAGTGCTTAGACTGTGTTTGATAATTATGTTTGTACCTATATTTCACTCTTCTAAAGGACACCAGGGTGTATTGTATTTATTACTATATCAAACATAACATCTGATACGCTGTTAAATAATAGCATAACAAAATAATCCGAAAGAGAACAAAAAAAGCCCAGAGTAAGTAAGAGGAAGGAAATAATAATGGTCAGAGTAGAAATAAATGACAAAAAGACTAAAAAAAACAATAGAAATGATCAATGAAACCAAGAGCTGGCTCGTTGAAAAGATAAACAAGATTGATGGACCTTTAGCCAGACTCATCAAGAAACAAAGAGAGAGGACCCAAATAAATAAAATCAGAAATGAAAGAGGCAAGAACACAACTAAGATCATAGAAACACAATGAATTGTAAGAAAATACTTTGAAGATCTCTATGCCAACAAACTGGACAACCTGGGTGAAATGGACAAATTCCTAGAAACATACAATCTTCCAAAACTCAATCAGGAAGAATCAGAAAACCTCAATAGGCAATAACAACTGATGAAATTGAAGCAGTAATCCAAACACTCCCAGCAAACAAAAGCGCTGGATCAGATGGCTTCATGGTAAGTTTTACCAAACTTTTAAAGAAGAATTAACACTAATCCTCCTCAAACTATTCCAAAAAATTCAAGAGGAGGGAAGACATCCAAGCTCTTTTTATGAGGCCAGCATTCTCCTAATCCCAAAACCAGATAAAGACACTACAAAGAAAGAAAATTATAGGCCAATATCCCTGATGAACACAGATGCTAAAATCCTCAAAAAAATATTAGCAAATAGGATCAAGCAATACATTAAAAAGATCATACATCATGACCAAGTGGGATTTATTCCAGGGATGCAAGGATGGTTCAATATTCGAAAATCAATAAACGTGATACACCACATAAATAAAAATGAAGGATAAAAATCATATGATCATATCAATAGACACAGAAAAAGCATTTGACAAAATCCAGTATCCATTTATGATAAAAACTCTCAGCAAAGTGGGAATAGAGGGATCATACCTCAACATAATAAAGGTCATATGACAAACCTATAGCCAACATAATACTCAATGGGCAAAAACTAAAAGCATTTCCCTTAAGATTAGGAACACACAGGGATATTGCTTTCACCACTCTTATTCAACACTAGAGGCCTGGTGCATGACATTCATGCACTGGGGGAGGGGAGCGGGGGGGAAGGAGCCGGGGGAGGTCCTTCAGCCCGGCCTGCACCCTTTCGAAGTCCAGGAGCCCTCCAGGGATGTCTGATTGACTGCGGGGAGCGGGCCTAAGCTGCAGGCGGACATCATTAGCGCTGCCACTGAGGCAGGTCGTGGTGTTCACCAGCCGTCAGTCTGGCTTGTAGCTGAGTGGCGCTCCCTCTGTGGGAGCGCACAGACCACCAGGGGCAGCTCCTGTGTTGAGCGTCTTGGTTTAAATGATAGGCTGTGCCCAACTGGTGTGGCTCAGTGGCTGAGCGTCAACCTATGAACCAGGAGGTCACAGTTCGATTCCAGGTCAGGGGACATGCCTGGGTTGCAGGCTCGATCCCCATTGGGGGGCATGCAGGAGGCAACTGATCAATGATTCTCTCTCATCATTGATGTTTCTTTCTCTCTCTCCCTCACCTCTCCTCTCTGAAATACAATGGGGAACCTAGCCAGCAACCCAAGCATGTGCCCTTAACCCTTTGAGTGCCAACCAATATCCTAGGAACTATGCTAAAATTGCCAAGGCATTTTGAGGTTAAGGTTTTTAAATTTTTTTTCCCACATAAAGAGTGAACTACTAGCATCTAATAGTGACACTGCAGGAGGAGCGTGACTGCACTCCCAGCACTTTTGGTGAAAGACAGAAGGAGTGCGATTGCGCTCCCCGGCACTCTAGGGGTTAACTAGAATCGAATCCAGGATCCTTCAGTCCGCAGGCTGATGCTCTATCCACTGAGCCAAACCAACTAGGACAATAAAGATATTTTTTAAAAAATAAATAAATAAATGACAGGCTGTAAGACCTGTTACAAGCTTGCTTCAGGAGGCACAAACTTCTATTTTTCAGGGAATTATTAATTTCCCTCTCTAGGAAAAAAATGCTACATTATGTGTATATCTGCCTCTGTACATCTTGCTCCTCATTCTTCCATAAATTATAACCTACCATTTCTGAGATTTAAGTGCAAACCTTACTTGCTTCCAATGTTTTTTTATTAGGAAGCAGCAGCTAGTTATGTTGTAAGTATTTTTCCTATCTTTACCAGATTTTTCATAATCAATTAAATACGCACCTTCTTCCAATAATCCTCGGATCTGCTCATCTTTCTCTTTCAAAAGGTCTGAAGTTTCACTACAATTTAATCTAGTCGCAAGTTCTTCTTTCATAGTTTTGATTTCCTAATTAAAAAAAATAATAATGTAAATACCATAAAGAATTACTTTCATTCTGGGCATATTTTTCAATTATCTTCCATATTCCCAAAAGTCATCAATAATCACATTCTTGATAAGAATTCATAAGTTTTGTTCTGTTACCCTGAATTTATTACCTTGGTTAATTAAGACTAAGGAAACAGCTTTGAAAATGATATAGAAAATCTGAATTCAGATATAAACAGGTTTTAATATGGAAATGGAAATGAGAATAAGTTACCTTTCAATACTCAATTCTTGAGTTTCTCTACCTACATTTTCTACAAACATTATAATTGGAACAACACTTCAAACAGTACATGTCTCCATTTCTCACTGTACTTCTTTTCCTTATTAAAACTCACACTACTAGCGTGTTGTGAAATGAAAGGAAAACCATGATTATATAAAGTTTGATCTACTTTAATAAAGCGGAGATTCAGCAGAAATATTTCAAGATAGTTTATCTTTAAAAGCTACAATGGAGAAGTACGATGAGATGGAAAGTCTTCTATAATTTAAAATTTGGTTTTAAGAGATGCTCTGGAATTAAAAATAGCTAAAAACAACTAACATTTATTAGGTATGTAAAGCATACTTTGTATCCATTATCTTTTAATCCTGACAGCAATCCTATGAGGGAGGCAAGTACTGTATGATTCAACTACACAAACAAGAAAACTGAGACTCAGAAAGATTGAGTAAACTTTCAAGGTCAGAGTGAAGACTTGAAACCAGGTCTGTGGAACCCCAGAGCCCATGCTCTGAACCACCCATAACATCGCTATCCATTTCCAATTGTCAAAATTTTGATTCACACATCAAGGTCCAGTAAGAACGTCATGTCTTCCGTGAAACCTTCCTCAATTACCCTAGTCAGAATCCATCCTCTATCATACCATTCCAAACTGCTTATTCATCTGTATAACTTATTTAATTCTGCCTCGTACTTTACAGTTGTTGACATTGTCTTCTATCACTAGAAAAGCAAATTTGTCACTTAAGGTAATTCAATTTACCTTTGAATGAATGGCCTATGGCTCTTAAGCAGGTCATACATGGCAATACATATAAAAGTGTGTTAAAATTTAGGGCCCAAGTTTTTTCCTTTACAGTTAATGGTTTCAATCTATTTTAGATCTATAATTCAAAGTGCACTATAGGAAACAAACATTACTTAAAATCCAATTTCTTGATTAAACTGAACCAGATGAAATACAGTAGGGACAAGAAGAGGTAACTTGGTTAGGTAGTCTCAGGTTATTACTGTGTCTGAAATGAACTAGCTAGTTAAAACAACCAAGCAAATGGAGGTATATGACATATTTCTTTTCTGTAAGAGTATATGCAGAAAAATTATATTAACATTAACAGTGGTCAAGAAGGGGAAAGGCAACCTAACTGAGAATGGCAAATGCTAAGAAATATGATTACTCACAGTTGGATTACAAGCAATAATGACTAACCTTAGTTGGTTACCAATTTCTGAAATAACCAACTGTTCCAAATGATAAGACTCAGAACAATGGTCCCCAACTAGGAGTGATTTGACTCCAAGGGGAACATTTGGCAATGTCTGCTAACATTTTCAATTAGCGCAGCTGAGGGGAAGAGGAGGACGGCAATAGGGAAGGGTGATACTGTCATCTGGTATGTAGGGCCTGGGATGCTGGTCAGCACCCTACCATGCACAGGACAGCTCTATACAACATAAAATTATATACCACAAAATGTCAACAGTGCTAAGGTTGAGAAATCCTACATTAGAATAAATAAATGTTATGCCCCCCAAGAGTTAATATATTTTAAAATTACTTTGACTTGAAGAAATATGTATGTTTGAAGTAGTAGAAAATTAACAAACCAGAGTAATGATAAATTTTATTTAGAGGGACCATTTAGACTTGTATTATTTACTTTCATGAAATTATCATTTATAAAACTTAGTCTAGTGATCCTTGCTATATATTTTGCAAGGACTTATAAATTACACAGACAAGTATTTGCTTAGAATTTTTTAAAGTATCAAAATTTATCATTTTAAAGGTATTGAAAAATTTACAAATTACGTGTTAATATTCTATAGTATCCCTTTACTCTTACCTCTCTTTTTTCCAATACCAAAATACAATGAAGGCACTGCTCAAAAATCTATGTCCCTATAGAGTTTAATTAATATTATTTTAAACTTCCATTACCTTTTTAGCAGCATCCCTCTCTTTGCAGGCTAGCTGAACTTTCTTTTCTGCTTCAGCAATTCTCTGAGCAAACTCATCTTTCAAGGAAGAAATGCTGCTGCTTTCTTCTTTCACTCTGAACATTTCACTAAATTTAAAATAATACTGAGACTGAGGATACTTGTTTAAACATTCCGAAGGTAACAAAATGAGTTCAGTTTGCAAAAGGAAAATGACATTGTCTTCAACACATGCTATAATAAAGTAGATTAGTTTTAGTCCTGTCAACTTTTCAGAGAAAAATTACCCGCTTAATTTATTTTAAAACACCTGAAAGAAAACCCATTAATCACTGAAAATGTCAACAATGTTTGATATGTAAAAATAAGATAAAAGTAAATGAGATTTTTCATTTTGAATCTTATGTCACATTTTACCAATCACCTTCATAAAGCAAGTCAATACTCAGTATATTTTTAAAAACTGTAATATCACTGTTTTAAATCTCTAATACTAAAATATTATTAATAAGGGAAAAAAGGTTGGTGTGGTTTTTTTTTTGCAAAATACCTCTCTTCAATGCCAAAGGTAATATGGTCACGATAATGTGAGGAGAAAAGTAATATCTAAAGTTAGAATTGAAATGCTATTCAAATTTTAATAATTATAAACAAGTTAAATTATAAACCATTTTAATTTAAATAATTATAAACAAGTTAAATTATAAATCATTTTCTTAAGTAATATCCAAGTGTATGGGCTTTTATGAAATGTAAAAAATGACTCACATTTGTAAAATACTTACTCTTTCAGATTATCATAAGCTTCTTCTAGAAGTGCTTTTTCTTTACTAAGAGATAATAACTGAGCCTCCCTTTTGTCCAGTTTCTCGTTCAGAAATGCAACTTTCTAGACAAGGAGCATGACAAAAGTCAAACATTTAACATGCAGTGACGAGTTGAAAAGTAACTAACCACTATAATCAATAAAACAGCATTATCTCATAAAAAGAATCAAATACTGAGAACAAAATGAATACAGCACAAGAATTCATACACAGCTTGTAGGAGAGTATAAAGTAGTACAAGCACTTAGCAGGTGGGAGTATAAATTAGTAAACCACTTAGAAAAACTATCAGGCAATATCTAACTAAAGATGTAGAAAATTCTACTTTTAGGTCTACCTTAGAGAAAAAACTTGCTGCGTGTGTTATACAAAAATACCTACAGTAGTTAGTAACAGCAAAACTTGAAAAGAGTGTGCATATTTCACCAAGAGAGGAAGAGAGAGATGTGATAAAAAATCCTATATAATAAAAGCTTAATATGCTAAGTGTCCAGTCGTCCAGTCCTCTGTTCAACCAGTCAAAGCGTGATATGCTAATGACATGCTAAGGCTGCACAACCGCTCACTATGACATGCACTGACCACCAGGGGGCAGATGCTCCAACCGGTAGATTAGCTTGCTGCTGGGTTCAAGCCGATAGGGACTGAGCGAGATGGGCCAGTCATGCCCTGGAGTCCTCCCACGGTCCCTCCCCAGCTGGCCAACCTTCCATGTCCCTCCCCGGCCCTGATTGTGCACTGGTGGGGTCCCTCAGCCTGGCCTGATCCCTCTCGCAATCCAGGACCCCTCGGGGATGTCAGAGAGCCAGTTTCGGCCTGATCCCACAGGCCAGGCCGAGGGACCCCACTGGAGCACAAATTCGTGCACCAGGCCTCTAGTAAATAAATAAACGAAGGGCTTCAAAGCCTCTAATAACGTTCTATATCTTAGCAGGGCAGTGGGTATACAAGTGTATGTTTTTCCATATTATTCTTTAATCCAAACATATAACATGTAACCTTTTAAATATAATACACTACATTTAAAAAGTAACTTTAGAAAATCCATAGGTATGCAATTTTAAAATCTCCAGAATATATTGGAATAAAATAAGCTAAGCTAAAAGAAATGGTTATTAGATCCTGCTGGAGCAGTGATACACTTATTGAAGGGGAAAAAATGGTGCCTTTTATACTAAAAAAAATTAACTTACTTGATTTAAGTCTAGATTAATCTAGGAATCACTTATCTTCTTAAAATAGTTCAAAAATATCTTATTGGAATAAATAGTATTGTTTTCTAGGAATTCAAACTGCTAGTAAAACTGCAGCAAGGCATTTCATTTGTGAATATTAGACCCAGGTAAGAGAGGCTGGCACTTTTTTACATAAGTAATTCAGCACATGGCATTTACAGGGCAGTTCTTCAAACATCCTATATTTCTCGGAGGAGGCTATCAAAGATGCCACATGCGGCCTGGCTGGCGTACCTCAGTGGTTGAGTGCCGACCTATGAACCAGGAGGTCATGGTTCAATTCCTGGTCAGGGCACATGCTGGGTTGCGGGCTCAATCCCTAGTGTTGTTTGTACAGGAGACAGCCAATCAATGATTCTCTTTCATCATTGATGTTTCTATCTCTCTCCCTCTCCTTTCCTCTCTGAAGTCAATAAAAATACATTAAATAAGTAAAAAAAATAAACACATGATTAAATCTCTGAAGAGTATCCAAAAACCCTCTTGCACTTTCTAGAGTTACCTTGCAAATGTCCTCCTCCTCAGAAAGTGCTTCTGGCTGACTTCCTGCAGCTTCGCACTGCTCAGCCACCTTGTCTAAGACAGTGTGTCCTTCATTTATTGGCGGAGAAGAAACCAAGATATCAGGCTGTTCACAGTTCACAGGAGTTGCACTCCGTCCACTTTCTTCCATTTCTGTTTCCTCAGTGGGTATAACTGTTTCATTTACTTCTTCCTCAGATTTTCCTTCAACAGGTTCAACTACTTTAGTCTTTGGGGTTGAAGGATTAACTATAATAGGTACTAAAGCATAACCCTTGCCTGACAATTCGTCGTCTGAATTGATTTCACTTACACTTCGGCTATCTAATGACTGTACACTAAACGAGTCTATTCTTTCAAAAGCATCAGATGAGCAGCAACTCTCAGTGAGTTTGGGGAAGTCGTCTAAACGATTATACTCAGGACAAGCAGATGCTGAAAGAAGCTGAAAAGATGTCTGCATCAAGTGAAGACTTGATTTTGAATCTGTAGTCTCTTGTCTCGAACTTGCTGAGCTCTCACTTATTACACTTTCATGATCTAGAACTTCGATATCACTGGTAGTAGAAGTACCTGAGGAGAAGGTACTAACGGGAGGAGAAGGTGTATTGCTCTGTCTGTCTTCGTGTTTCTGTTCCTTTGCTTCTGAAGCTATGTCCTTTGTTTCTGCTGTGGGAGACTGCGTAGACATGTTAGATGCACTTTCCCTAGTGGTTTTAACATTAATTACACTCTCAGATACTTTCAAACTTGTGGTTGACACCTTCATATCAGAATCTTTATTAACGGTTTCTCCATGCTCGCCTTCAGTTTTAGGTGACAGAGTGGCGACTGCCCGATTTTCCCCAGGGGATACACAGGGAAAAGAGTCAGTCCCTTTTGACTCAGTTGTTTCAGGTGTTCTTGACCCTCCAGTGTGCACGGTCTCTTGTAAGGTGCTTTTCACTTCTTCTTCTGGTCTCTGTGATTTAGCCGGCGGTTTGGATACCACTGGACTCTTCTGAATGGTCTGGACATCCGCTGGCGAGAGAAAGGCACTGAAGAAATTTTCAGATTCATCTACCACCGTTCTCCGAACTGGCTTTGTAATTGCTTTGGGAGAGGCTGCTGGTTGACTCTGCGGCTCTGCGTTTGATTTTATTCCCCAGGTTGAAGTATCCCATCCTCCACTGACAGGGGGACTTATTCCTTTGACAAAAAAATATATATATACATATTTAAAAATAAAAATTATATATATTATACAACAATCATTATTGTTAGTCAATATAAATATGTTAAAAAAAGAAAGTCAATGGAATATAATTTATAATTTGTCCCTGTCAAACTCCTTGCCTACTATATAATTAATTAGTTAGTGGGTTAACTTTGGACCTTAAAGAGGAAAATTGGTATGCATCTGTCCAAAAGAAACTAAAAACAAAGATAAAAACTAGACAAGGCCTGGACTACCAAAGCAAGTATATTATTCTCTCCCACAACAAATCAAGAAAATAATGGTATGTTCTAAAACATGCTAAGCCCAAGATACAATTGATATTACCTTCTATTAAGTTAGTTTCATATTAATTTTATTCTTGTAATATCAAGAATAAAACATAGTTATGAGCTAGACAAGAGAGCAACACTAAAAATCTGAACCAAAATACTGGTGACAAATGTCTTTTCAAAAGATCAAAGTAAACTGATGGGGACAGTAACTTGAAATTCATTTTCAGTCACTTAATAACAAGCTCATTCTCCAAGTCCCACTTTCCAAATCCACTCCATGAGAAAGTTTTGTTCTAATTGCTAAATTATGTCAGCAATTAGTAGGTCATATGAATTTCATAAATGTGCATTTTTATTAAAATTACTGCTCTTTGATATAGATGGTAACTTACACTAGAATTTTTTAAAAACAGGAAAAATATCGCTGGGTAAAAAAAAGGTAATTGTATTAGTCATGGACATGTATGCTACTAAAAAACCCAATGATAAACCAAAAATGGCATATTCCCTAAAATGTTTAAAGAATTCATTTTTTTAAATTATGCCTTTTCTATATTTAAAAGTGGCTGAGAATTATCACAAATTATGCACAATTAGAAGTTGGTGGCCAGAACACAAATACCTAAAAACTCCTACAAACTGCCAAGCCCTATATTAAAGTCTATCCTTTAATATGACTTTGGCGGCATATAGAAAACTTCAGTTTAAGGACATAGTTTATATCCACTTGTTCAGCATATTAAAACAATGTAAAAAGGTGAAAACCAAAATTTAAGATGCAAATGAACAAGCAAGAATAAGTCTGCTAATTTAGTTTAAGTCACCTTAATGAATTATAGAAGTCAAATTTGCCTCTTGGAAAATGTTTTATATAAAGCCCAGGTTATCTGATATCCACTTAAAATACTCCTTTCTGGCCCGGCAAGCATGGCTCACGGTTCGATTCCAGCCAGGGGCACATGCCCAGGTTGCAGCTCAAACCCCAGTGTGGAGCCTGCGGGAGGCAGCAGATCAATGATTCTCTCTTCATTGATGTCTGTCTGTCTGTTTCTCTCTCTCCTTCTCCCCTTCTCTCTGAAATGAATAAAAATATATTTTTAAAAAATACTACTTTCGGAAGACTGGTCATGTTGTAATCATGGCAATGTAAAATAAAAATAGGTGATCAATAAATATTAATGGCATTTCACTAAAATCCGAGTCTATTCTGGATAACATTTTAAAAAATGATTATATAGCCCTGGCTGGTGTAGCTCACTGGGTTGGGCTGCATCCCGTGCACCAAGAGATTGCCAGTTCCAATCCCGGTCAGGGCACGTGCCGAAGTTGCAGGTTCGATCCCTGGTCCGGCGTGTGCACGAGGCAAACGATCAATTGTTTTTCCTCTCACATGGATGTTTTTCTCTCCCTTCCTTTCTCTCTAAAACTCAATAAAAAATATTTTAAAAACAATAAAAATTTAAAACGAATTATAAAGCACAATTCAAGCCCCAGGTTTCATAGAAAGAGTATTCTTATATTTAAAACTTACTGTCTCCTTTAAAGTTCAGTAATTAAAAATGTGGGATACCTATGGAAAGGGCAGTTGAGCTACTCCAACAAGTTCTGACATCCTGTAATAGAGTAATCGGATCCTGACAGTAGACATGGGCCAAAAAGTCTCAAAATGTGGAACCTCAGATTCAGGTCCTGACTTTTCAGCGACGTGAAATTAGGAACAAAACCGGGAAAGGAGTCGCTAGGAATAACTTGCTCCTTCCCAGGGGCCACACAGCCAGACCCGCACGCCTTTACCCCCACAAAAGGCTAACGTTTCGGACACGCAGAGCCAAGCGCAGCCCGAGACCCTGCGAGGGTGGGCGGCCCCCGGACAGACCCACGTCGGCCGCGCACACGCCCGCCGCGCCCGGCGCCTGGATGAGCCTCGGTTTCCCGCGGGAAACACTGACCACGCGACCCTCCCTGGGGAGGGGCGGCCGCCCGCGGACTGGGGCGCCCCCCTTTTCCCGGAGGCCGAGCTCGGGGCGCGGGGCCCAGGCCCGCAGGCCCGCCCCCGGCCGCGGCAGGGAGGACCGCGGGGCGCTGCCGCGGGAAGGGGCCGCGCGGACCCGCCCGCCCCGCCGTATCCGGATCCCCGTACCCGGATCCCCGTACCCGGATCCCCGTACCCGGATCCCCGTAGGGGATGGTCTGGGCCCAGGCGCCCGGCTCCTCCTCCTGGATGTCCAGGACCCTGTCGATGGACTTCTGCGCCTGGGACAGGGCCTGCTTGGCGAAGCTGGAGAGCTGCGACGCGTTGAACCAGCTCATCCTCCCGCCGGGCCGGCCAGCCCGCAGGCGCGGGCCCGGGAGCGTGCGGGACCGGCCTCGCCCCTCCTGCTCTCGGCGGGCCTTCAGCGGGCGCCCATGACCGTCTCCGAGCCGCGGGCTACCCCCAGCCCTTCCCACCCCAGACGACTGGACGCACTGCGCATGCGCCGGCTACTTCCACGTCCACAACCACCAGAGCTCGGAGTTCCGACGGTGGGCGGAAGCCGAAGCACGCTGACGTCACATCCGGAGCCCAGAGTTGCCATTAGTTACCGGAGAACGCGGAACGGTTTCCCTTGATAGTGAATTTAGGGGTAGAGCAGGAGTTCTCAGCAGTTTTCCCGTGAGTTCCTTCCTAGAAATTTGCTCGCTATACTAAGAACTAGCGCCTTGCCAACAATAATTGCAAACAAATGAAGTTTGGGAAGCGCACTTCTACTTAGCGCTTTGCCTCAAATATTTACTTATGTGCTACGTGGTGGTAAGAAGAAACCCTGGGTTTGGGGATATACCTAGAAATACTACACTTTGTGTTAAAAAACCTGACCCAGCCCACCTGAGCGAAAAGGCCATCTTCCACGAGTTTACAGGCTGGAACAAGGGTGTAGAAGGCACCATCTCTCCCTTACAATAGAGGTCCTCCCTCTGCCCCTGTCAAAACAAACCTGGGAAGCACTAAGCTTATTCCTCTCTTAATGTGTACTGTGCATATTACTTAAAATACCACTGTTTCTGCATGCAGTCCTCAAACATCTAGCTATATGAAGAAATCTAATTGGTGCCCTTCCTAATCTAATCAGAGGCTGTTTGGTTTGGCCCTATAGTGTTAAAGGTAAAATTCTACCAACATTTAAAAACCAGATTTCATACAAAAATCCAAATTTCCAGTTGATTTTGAAAAAATAAGGATTCCAACATGGAAAACACAGATAAAGTGATTGCCCTTTTTAACAAGTGCTTTTCATTCCAAGGTTGGGGGAAGGTGAGAGAGGGTGAAGGGGAGGGAGGAGGCAGGATGTGTTGATGTAAGGAAACTTGACTTGGGGCAATGCACAATACAATATACAGATGATGTATTATAGAATGTACCAGAGGCCCAGTGCATGAAATTCGTGCACTGGGGGCGGGGGAGCCCGGCCTGCGCCCTCTTGCAGTCTGTGCAGTCTGGGAGCCCTTGGGGGAGCAGGCCTAAGTCATCAGTCGGACATCCTTAGTGCTGCTGTGGAGGCAGGAAAGGTTCCCTCCACACCACTGCGCGGGCCAGCCGTGAGCCCGGCTTCTGGTTGAGCACACTGACCACCAGGGGGCAGCTCCTGTGTTGAGTGTCTGCCAACTGGTCATTCTGCCATTTGGTTGATTTGCATATTAGCCTTTTATTCTATAGGATTATAGAAAAATACTTTTCACTCCAGTTTGCCACAGACCCTAACTAATCTTATTGTATTCTTATTACACCCCCCCTTGCTGTGGTTATTTACCTTACCTGTCCCTTCCCCATATTTGAGGATTTTACCCCACTGCAAGGAACTATTTTTCTTTTAAAATCCCTTCCAATACCTCTAATTGTACATTTTTGGATAAATGACCTAAACTCTCTAAAACTATTCAGCTCTTAGATGAAGATATTGTCAACTTCTTACAAGTCTACTTTTTTTTCTGTAAGGACATGTATTTGCAAGTTATGGAGATAAAGGAAGGGCCATTGGAGCTTGGGAATGAGGAGGCTAATGGTGTGGTGCCTGGGGCAGGGAGGAGGTGGGGGAAGGGAAAGGAAAAGGGAAGGGCATGCTCTCAGGAGAGCCCTTACAAGTCTACTTTGAGAATGATTATAAAAGTGCTAGATGTGCCGAAACCGGTTTGGCTCAGTGGATAGAGCGTCGGCCTGCGGACTGAGGAGTCCCAGGTTCGATTCCGGTCAGGGGCATGTACCTGGGTTGTGGGCACATCCCCAGTGGGGGGTGTGCAGGAGGCAGCTGATCAATGTTTCTCTCTCATCGATGTTTCTAACTCTCTATCTCTCTCCCTTCCTCTCTGTAAAAAATCAATAAAATATATTAAAAAAAAAAAGTGCTAGATGTTAGTTTCTTCACTTTCAAAAATTTATACTAACTCTGTCACTTTTTAAGTAAAGCAGTCTATCCCATATGATTATATAATGAAAAAATTATTTGTCAATGTGGAGCTTAAAAAAAAAAGTGAATATGTAGCCCAGTGATAGTCACAAAGCTTATGAATAGAAGATTGCCATCTAAGTCAAAGACATAGTGAGATCATATACATGTTTCCACACTGAGATCCTAAAACTCATTTTTCAGAACTTATGCTTGACTTTGTTTTAAACCTCAGTGTTTTTTGGGGGGTGGGGGGGGAGGAGAGGGATTTTAAGAAACTTTAATATAAAAATATAGTTATTCTTCATTACAATATTTATGTGAGAGCAAATTAAATTAAAACAGTAGATATTTACTGTGGCAAAAATATTAATGCAGGTGCCATAAAAATTCTGTATTACTAATTCTGCTATACATTTAAAAATTATTCCTACACTACAAAACTACTTATTACCCTTAATATTTTGTTTGTTTATTTTTAATATTTTTTTTTTATTGATTTCAGAGAGAAAGGGAGAGGAAGAGAGAGATGGAAACATCAATGATGAGAGAAAATCATTGATCACCTGCCTCCTGCACGCCCCCTACTGGGGATCGAGCCCGCAACCTGGTCATGTGCCCCTGACTGGAATTGAACCTGGGACCCTTCAGTCCACAGGCAGATGCTCTATCCACTGAGCTAAACCAGCCAGGGCACCCTTAATATATTTTTAAAAGATTCAGTGAGGAAAGTAGATAATATATGATTTTATTAATAAATAGTGTGAAAGCATCAATGATAACTTTTCTTTTAAACAACCAAGTCTTGACTTTAATGTTGTGCATACTGGCCTCTATGGCCTGCAAGTAAACACATGAAAATATTTCTCATTTCCATGCACAGGTATTCAGCTCTAACACCATTTACAAATGATCATGGGCAAAGTAACCTTTGCAAAAGTTAATATTCATTTGAACAGCCACAATTAAATATTAAAACAAGCAAGATACAGATTATGTTCAATATGCACCAGATGTCAAATTATAACATTTAATGTTTAGAACTTAATTTTCTTATTTTCTTTATAGGGACATCTTTTGTATGTGTGGGTGCTCAAATGAAAACTGAGGAATGCACTATTTGACCATAATAACAAAATTCACACACAAGAGGGTGTTTGTCTCCTCTAAAAGAAGTAATACATTTTTGCTCATTCTCTCTCTCTAAGCATTATTTCTCATACTAGAGGCCCGGTGCACGAATTCGTGCATGAGTGGAGTCCCTCGGCCTGGCCGGCAATCAGGGCCACGGGAGGTTGCCTGGCTGGGGGGGGGGGGGGGGGGCCCTGCAGGAGGTTGGCTGGCCTGGGGGAGGAGCTGTGGGAGGTTGGCAAGCTGGAGGGAGGGGCCACAGAAGGTTGGCTGTGGGAGTGCACTGACCACCAGGGTGCAGCTCCTGTGTTGAGCGTCTGCCCCCTGGTGGTCAGTGCATATCATAGCAATCGGTTGACAAGTCGGGTTGTTCAGTTGCTTAGGCTTTTATATATATAGATTATTAATGAAAATACTTACAAGCACCAACCCCAAATTTTGTCTTCAAGGGACAGTTATTAAAAAAGAGTGGCTCATTACATTTTAAAAAAAAAAAGGTCAAATTTCAGCAATACTAGTGCTAAAAATAAATCAAATTTCTTAGCATCCACAAAGTATAGTATTTTCATAAATTTTCTATTATGTGCAGATTTATTTTCCTTAAGAAGTAAAATGAAGTTTGAATAGTACTGTCTGTGGTGTGGTGACATCAGCAACTGCCAGTTCTTGTCCATCAACAAGTCCCAATTCTAAAACAGAAAAAGCATAATTAACCCAAGGGGAAAATAAAAACTCAACAAAAACGATAACGACACACAGATACACAAACTATAGAATATTATGGTTAAGATAAACATCAGTAAAATATATTGATTAAAGACAGTAATATGTTTGATTTCTTTAGATATTTTTGTGTATTCTACTAAAAGAGCAATTAAATCTATTATTTCTAAAGATATAAGTATTTAAGATGAAATCATTATTTGAAAGTATTAACAGCAAATCTAAAAGGAATTGTTACTTTTACCAAAAAAAGAAGTTGACTATGAAATATACTCATTTAAAATACCTTTCAATGTCTTGGAGAGATTTGGCCTTGTTCGTTCTTCAATAGAGGTTACTGACTAGAAAACAAAATTATTTTAATGTAAAACACATTAAATGAAATTAGACTTTTAATGTAATTGTGAAAGAAATAAAAACTGAACACTTCTCACCTGTAAGTAAAGGGTTCTATTTTTTCCCTCTAATGTTGCTGTGATGGCTGGAGATTTCATCTGCCTAAATATAAGTATGAGGGGAAAAATCAAAAATCACTTTTTAAAAAAACAATTCTTGTTTTTAAAGTTTTAAAATATCAAAAAATATTTCTACAACATAACAGAAGTCCAGAACACTTACAGAGAAGCACTATTGGTTAGATAATCCAAAACCTCCTGTAGTTTTGCTGATGGAGAAAACTGAATATTTTGTGGAAGCTGGCTACAAGCTGGACAGTTTTCCTACATATATGAAACACAATAAATCACAGCAGCACATGCACCAATAATAGTCTCCTTATAATAATGAAATAAAAATGAAGCTGTGTTATAACCATGCATGTTTCCTATGAATGAATGTTTATGCTTGAAAAATCTTTGCTTTTCATGATCAGCCATTTTTCCTAAATTACTTTGCTACATGGTAGTTCTTTCAGGCTACACGATAAAAGATATATAGTATAGTAACTAAGGTTCTGAAAGCTAGATAAAACTTAGGCTATGGCAGTGGTTCTCAACCTTGGCTGCATTAGAATCACCTGGGAATCTTTTTAAAATCCTGATGTCTGGGCCTCATCCTCCGGAAATTGTTTTTTTGTTACTAATGTTGTGGCCCCACCCCATAACAAAGACACAGAATTTCCGGAGGATGAGGCCCAGAAATCAGGATTTTAAAAAGATTCCCAGGTGATTCTAATGTGCAGCCAAGGTTGAGAACCACTGGGCTATGGGCAATTTCATTTATTAACATTTAAAAATCAAAGTATGCATGATCAAAAAAAGTTCCCATTAGTATAATACTACTAACCTTTCTCTCTGCTTCAAATGTGTATGTGTACAGTCCATCTACATCATTGAATACCAAGTAATTATTAAGGGGAATATATGCGCTGTAATGAAAAAATGTCCACATTTATATAACTGAACCAGATCAAAACAGAAACTTACATCCATATTAAAAATAAAACTCATTACCTGGTGGCTATTTTAAAAACTTCAGTGGCACACACAGCTGAAAAGGGAGAAAATAAACATGCTCTAACTCAATGAAAATTAAACATTTAAAATTGGACGTTTTTTAGAAAGTCAGTAGTAAATCAGAACAGATAAATTTACAAGGCTATTGATTAAAAAGAGATTAAAATTTATATACTCTTATTTTTAAAACACTGAAAAAGTAGTAACATTTTATATTTTTTTGGGGCAGTCCAAGTAATAGAGTATGTTTTCCTTCCTCTTCAGATTAATGAGCAGCCTGTTATAAAGATTAAACAGAAATGGTATGAAAATATCTGCTTCCTACAGAGCACTATGTGATATAATGTAAAACAAATTATATGCAAGGCCTAATAGCTAATTCTTTTTTGGACAGCTTAATTACACCATCCACCTAAAAGATATCACATTCCTATTGCAACAGTTTTCTGAGATCAAGAAGCTGCAGAAATGTCAATTTAGATATCGAATCAAAAACTAAAGGAAAGAGAGCGTCAAGTGATGGCCTTTTTTCCTCACCTGCAATGACGGCATTTGTGGAAGCTACTGCAGGGATGATTCGTTTTACTACCCCTGAAAAACACACTGATTAAAACACGAGCATTTCTTTCAAAAAGTAGGTATCTTAAGTTAGGCAGTATGATTTATTAAATAACATTTTCCACAACTTGATTTGTCAGGCTTTCAAGTGACAAAATAGACTTAAGTTGAACCATGAAGCAATCTTCTTCCACATTCCCATCATTTTGTAGCATGTTCAGATTCTTAAGGAAGTTACATTAGCAAAGAAAAGTAAACTCTTCACTAAGCTTCATAGATGAGACCATGAATAATAGCTAACAATTAGGGTGTTTATTGTGTTCCAAGAACATCGTGAAAATTAAATAGATGTTACTGAATTTTCCTAACATCCTTATGTTAGTCGTCTTACTCTGATTTTATGGACAAGGAAAATGAGGTTGAGAGAAATTGTACCACATCCACAGCTATATACCTAGTAAGTGATGGAGGTGGTATATGAAACCCAGATCACCCCAAAGTGCATAACCTTAACTGATACGTGATATAATACTATACTCAGTAAGGGTTGGGTAAACTATAATGAACAAGAATTACCTTATATTCATTTCACTCTACAGCTTGCACTCCTCTATTACATAGTTCTCCATTTCTACCCTACTTTTTATATCAGTACTCAGATTAGCAATGAACAAAGCTCTACCTTAAACAATTTTTTAAGTAGAAAATACTCTATTTTATGACTACATTTGAATTGTTCACCTTAGGAAAAAAACTACAAAGGCAATACCTATGTTAATTATATTGAAGTGTGAGGGAGCACTGAAAAATGGGACTTCTGGTGTAGGCAGGATTCAAAAACTTCAGAAAAAAGGCAAATTTCTTAGAAGACATGAAGTCAGTTAAGTCTGGAAAGCTGTTTTTAAAAAGTTAATTCTGATCATATGATTACGTATAATTCCAGAGCAGGAGAAGTAGGGAGGAGCTAATCTGATGACAGTTAAACTGGATGTTCTCCAGTGAGCCACATACAGGAGGACGTAGTGAAAGGAGCAGGTAGTCACAAACAGTAAGGAGTAGAAGACACTGCCCAGCAAGAGCCAGAATGGCAGCATAGGTAAACGCCGGTACTTGCTGCCTCCCATAACCACATCAAAATTACAACTAAAATGCAGAACAACCATCACTCAGAACCACCTGAAATCTGGCTAGATGGAAGTCCTACAACTAGAGAAATAAAGAAAGTCTATCAAGACTGGTAGGAGGGGCAGAGGCGCAGAACTGGCTGGTCCAACACCAGTGTGTGGCGTGTTTTGTTGTTGTTGTTTTAAAATATATTTATTGATTTCAGAACGGAAGGGGGAGGGAGAAAGAAACATCAATGATGAGAGAGAATCATTGATTGGCTGCCTACTGCACGCCCCACCCTGGGGATCAAGCCCACAACCCAGGCAGGTGCCCTGACCGGGAATCAAACCCATGACCTCCTGGTTCATAGGTCAATGCTCAACCCCTGAGCCACACCAGCTGGGCAGTGTGGCGTGTTTTTAATTTGGATATCTCCCCTGCGGAGGCATTACATGAGAAGCCATGGTTCCCAGGCCTACACCAGACCCCCCAGCCCAGGGTTCCAGAGATGGGAAGAGAAGTCTCTGAAACTTTGAACTGTAAAAACCAGCTGGGATTGTTGCTGAGTAACAGGGAGGATGCTGGATACCCAGGCAGTTCCTCTTAAAAGGCCACCACACAGCCCTGACCAGTTTTGGCTCAGTGGATAGAGCATGAGCCTATGGACTGAAGGGTCCCAGGTTCGATTCCAGTAAAGGGCATGTACCTTGGTTGCGAGCACATCCCCAGTGGAGGGTGTGCAGGACGCAGCTGATCGATGTTTCTAACTCTCTGTCCCTCTCTCCTCCTCTCTGTAAAAAATCAATAAAATATATTTAAAAAGAAAAGCAAAAAAAAAAAAAAAGCCACCACACAAATTTACACGGTTCAGCTTCCTCTGAGTTCCAGCCCTGGGGCAACGACTCAGAAGGGATTCAGGGAAATACAGGGAGGAACTGGATTGTCTGGCATTGGAGCAAGAACTCGGGGGTGGCTTTCTCCCAAGCAGGGGTACTCAAAGGGGTCATTGTTCCTATGCTGAGACCTCCCTCCCCTGCCCCTGTCACAGAGCTGACTGGCAGCTGTATCTGAGTTCCCATCAGCATGGCTCACATTGTTGGCTCCATCCTGGTGATTTCCTGAGACCCCACCTCAACCAACTCGCAGGCCCACCCAGGCTGTTTGCAGTGGCTTTTCCATATGAATGGCCTGTCCTGGCTCAGGCTTCAGACTTTCCTAAAATCTCTCAAACAAGCAGCAACTGCCATCAGCGTGCCCCAAACCTATTAATAAGAGGCATAAGAACCAGCACTAGCAACAGCCTGCCTTCCTTCACAGCTTGGCCTTACCGGGACACCTCCAAGCCCAATACAAATAGGAGAAATCTGCAGATCTCTCTGTAATTCCTGCCGGGCAGCCCCAGGCAGTGGATGACTTTGCACCTCCTGGGAGGCCCCAGAGCCACTGCACCTGGTGGAGAGCTTCAGACTATACCAGATTACAACTCTATACATTCACAAGCAACACACTCAAGGAGCAGACCCAGTGAAAACAAATGCCCCACTTAAGCAAGTCCTGCTCCATAGGGGTATTTCCTGCAAAGCAGCTCACACTGTAGTTGTAGCTGGTCCTCACAGCAAATTGGCCTGGAGGTCAATTCCTCTCAGTGATGCCAACAGCAATCAAGGTTCAACTACAACAAGACTATGCACATAGCCCACACAGGGGCACACCTAAATTGTCCAGCTCAGGTGACTGGGGAGGCTGAGTCACTGGCCCTACAGGACACCTACTATACAAGGCCACTCTACCAATTCAAGGAGACATACCAGCTTTACTAATATATAGAAACAAATACAGGGAAGCAGCCAAAATGCAGACACAAAAGAAACATGTCACAAATGAAAGAACAGAAGAAATCTCCAGAAAAAAGACCTAAATGAAATGGAAGCAAGCAAACTATTATATACAAAGTTCAAAACAATGGTTATATAACATTGCTTAATGACTTAATGAGAACTTCAATGGATTTAGTGAGACTTTCAAGGATGTTATTGAGAATTTCAAAGACATGAAAAAGGTCCAGTCAGAAATAAAGGATACACTAATTGAAATAAAGAATAATTTACAGGCACTCAACAGTAGAGTAGAAGATGCTAAGAATCAAATCAATGATTTGGAATAGGAGGAAGCAAAAAACACCCAATCAGAAGAGCAAAAAAAAAAAAAAAGGAATCCAAAAATATGAAGATAGTGTAAGGAGCCTCTCAGACAACTTCAAGGGCACCAACATTTGCATTATAGGGGTGACAGAAGGAGAAGAGAGCAAGATATTGAAAACCTATTTGAAGAAATAATGACAGAAAACTTCCTTTACCTGGTGAAAGAAATAAATTTACAAGTACAGGAAGTGCAGAGTCCCAAACAAGAGGAACCCAAAGAGGCCCACACCAAGACACACCATAATTAAAATACCAAAGGTTAGAGACAAAGAGAGAATCTTAAAAGCAGCAAGAGAAAAGCAATTACCTACAAGGGGGCGCCCATATGACTGTCAGCTGATTTCTCAACAGAAACTCTGCAGGCCAGAAAGGAGTGACAAGAAATATTCAAAGTGATGAACAGCAAGGACCTACAACCAAGATTACTCTGCCCAGCAAAGCTATCATTTAGAATTGAAAGTCAGATAAAGAGCTTCACAGACAAGAAAAAGCTAAATGAGTTCATCACCACCAAACCAGTATTACATGAAATGTTGAAGGATTTTCTTTAAGAAGAGGAAGAAGAAAAGAAAAAAAAGGTCAAAAATATGAACAGTAAAATGGCAATAAATACATATCTATCAACAATTGCATCTAAAAATAAAAATAAATGAACAAGGTACCTAATGAACAAAATAAGCTGATGAATAAAATAGAACCTGAGGCATGGAAACATGGAACAGACGAATCTCAGAGGGTAGGAGGGAAGGGGGGCCAAGAAGAGATTAACCAAAAATCTTATATGCATATATGCATTACCTACAGACAATAGGATGGTGAAGACCTGGGATGGGGTGGGAACCCGGTAGAGGGGGGACATCTGTAATACTTTCAACAATAAAGATTTTTTGAAAAATAAATTAATTTTAAAATAAATTTTTTTAAAAAAGAGCACTGCCAAAATGATAAGGACTCCCCGTACCCTCCACCCCTTAAAAAAGCTGGACTTCACTTCTCATTTTGCTTTGTACTCCTTGTGAAGGCCCTTCATCACCAGGTTGCAAAGCCTGCACCTGCTCAAAGGTCCAAAGGGATGAATGAGAATACATATGAAAAAGAGTTTCCAGTTCCTGATCAGGACAAACTGAATTCATTTATTAATTCAGACCATTACCAAACGTGTACCATATGCCAGACACTGTTCTAGGTGTTACACAAAAGTCACCTGCTCTCATAGAGCTTTCATGCTGATGTGGGGGACAACACTCAAGTCAGTACAGGAGGAAATTTCAGATACTGAAGAGTTCTGTGAAGAAGAGTAAAATGAGGTCTATGTTACAGTTGGATGATCAGGGAAGACCTTTTTCAGGAAGTGATAGTTTGAGCTGAAATCTAAACCCTGAGAAAGACCTGGCCATACAATGACCCAGGGAAAGAGCATTTCTGTAGAGTAAACAGCAAGGGCAAAGGCCCCGGAGCAGGGATGTATACGAGTGTGCAAGTATGCAATATTCCTTGCAGAGAAAAATGAGACTAGCATTAGTTCTGAGCAATTATAAAAAGGTAAAATACTGAATGGTTAAGAAGTCATTTTCAGTTGAATGATCAGGAGAACTGGTTAATACCTGAGGGATAAGCAGCCAGGCTTGTGGGGTCCAAGGAAGACCAGTGCAGGCATAAGGATCAGGAGGATATTAGAGCTCAAAAATAGGAATGAGCTTGGTGTGGTCAAGGAACACAAAGCAGGTCAGAATAGGAGAGTTCAGGAAGCAAAAAGCAGTGTGTAACAATGGAATTTTCAAATGACATTACTATGACATCATTATGCTGTATATAAGGAAATAATCACAGAAGAGAAATGGCAGATTTTCAAAAAGACAAAGTTCTTTCTTGGGAACTTGACAATGACCTTGGAAAAATTCTATAAAGGATGAACTGTGAGTTCCTAGACCAGGAAGCATTGATCCCTAAGACTGAGCACTATGATTGTTCACTGAGACAAGTCCTCTTGGACTAGTCTCATTTAGTCACTCTGACTAGCTTAGAACATCTGGAAAGGTCTTTCATGACATCCTTATGAACAAGACAAAGAAATACAAAGTACTCAAGAAGGCCTGATCAATAGAATGAGATAAAACCTAAAATCTAGGGCCAGATCAGAAGTATGATTCAGACATCAATTCTCTGCCAATTCAGTCTTACAGATGAGGCTTAGCAACTGCATATATAGAAGAACTTCTACATTTTAGTGGGCAATTACCTCAAAAAGTTGAAAATATAGGATCAATGTTAGCAACAAACAACAAAAAACCCTCCTCTCCTCTAAGGCTACATCAATTATCAGAATTATCAGAAGGCTGTTATCTAAAATAAGAATATTTTAGATATTCTATGTAGATTCTAACCTAGCTAAGAGAATTATGGATAACTGAAATATGGTTATAAAAAAACAACATGATGGGGACTTAAAAGTCAGGCACATGTCAAAGGGTTAAAGGAACTAGGGAAGTTCGTGGCAGTGATAAAGATTTGGAGGGAATGTGACCACGTTCTCAATGTGTTAAGTGCTATTACTTAAGGGAGTTAGGTTTATACATATATGGTATACCCTGGGACAATACTCAGAACAAACTAAAGATGGAAATTTCTGCTCAATAGATAATTGTCTAACAGTCTTGTCCAAGTGTGAAACAGATTGCCCCAGGTGGTGATAAATTGCTCTTCATTGAATGATAAAGTGAGTGAGTCAATTTCCAATACTAAGTAAATAAGATTCAATGATTTTATCAAAGTCCTTCTAGCTAAGTAGTAGTATGGATTCTGCTGCTCATTTCCAACTTTGGGGCATCTGAAAACTATTATTTCCATGGTACCTTTACTGAACTTCAAATGGATGGTAGTGTCTAAAATCACTTATCACTTATTTCCTCCAAAGTATCCCGAGCCAGTAAAAAAAGGATCGTCCCAAGATCATTATTCATGGCAATTTGCTAACTTACCTTGCGTGAGTCTGTATGTAACACCCCTAATATTATAGTGTGATGCTCTCTCTAGAGATTTTTGGAAAATCCACTGAATATGATCAGGATCATCTCCATCTAATGGAACCCCTTCTGTTAGGGGAAAAAAGAGGAGAGAAAAACAGAAACAGAAACATGAATCAACTTGTTTTTGATGTAATTATCAAAATGAGTAATGTAGACGAATAAATACTGTAACTCTGGATTATAAAATTAGGTTCCTTACCTCCAAAAGGGTGCTCCTTGGGCCACTGCAATAGCCTTACATACTCAATACAGTGTTCTGGTAGCCTGGGCATAGATGCAATGGTGCACATGGGAAAATTAACCTAAAAACCAAGCCCTTTTTAGTGGATTTAAAACAATGACTTATTTTAAAAATGTAATTTCTAGTTATGATTTAATTTGTAACAGTTTGTTATAATTCACCTTAGCCCTCCACTTATAGAAACAACTTTTAAACCATTAAGATTTCTAAAAGTAGCTGAGTCACTTCACTCAGGTTTTCCCTATGTAAATTTAACTTTGTTAAACTGTGTAAAAAATATGCTGAATAAATTCTCAAATTTGTTATGTGTACCTGATCTAAATCTGAAGGTATGAAACAAAAGCAAATTCACAGAGTGAAATTAATTCCAAGTGAATACTCATAAATATATCAAAATTCTAACTGTCCTCTAAAGTGGATATATAGATGAAAGAGCCTCATCTTTGGAAAGATCATTCTCATCCTTGGTATCTTTATTTCCCAAAAACAATCACAGGCAAGGAAAACAGATGGTAGCTCTACCCAACATACAATTTTAAACTGATCCCTTAATCCCTACTCCCAAATAAATTAATACAAATAAATTATGAAAACAATAGTATCAAAACTGTATTTTTTCCTCAAATAGAGCAAATTTCATATTTTATCATTTTTTCTTCTCAGCATGATTTTAAAAATCTTGTTACCCCTAATTAAAAATTCTAAATATTGAATAGATTTAATATTTCAACCATAATTCCATCCCAAGATACTGTAAAATAAATGCAGGTGCTTTTTAGGGTTACCTGTGGTGGATACAGCTCCAGAGTGCATTCAATACAAGCAGTCATCCCAGGCAAAATTACCCGGGCATTTCCTTTAAAACCTTCTGTCCCCCCATCTATCAAAGGGACAATGGAGCTTGGATCTAATACACCATCTTCATAATTGAGAAGAGATATCTAGGAAAATTATTTTAAGCGTTTAAAAGGAGAAGGGGATAAGAATTCAAAAGACAAAGCATGCTGTCAAGTAATTCCACAAATCAATAACATGACTATATACTAATATATCAAATCAAGGGATATTAGCAATATTGGTCCTCACCTAAAAATTAATGATAGCAATAAACAAGTACATGAACTTAAATGAAATTAAGCTCTGATTTTTAAAAAATATGATATGCAATTCTAATTTTCAGTGTGTTAAGAGCAACAGCAAGAACTTCAGAGAACTGTAACACTAAAGTCTTTACCAGCATGCCATTTATCCATCTTCTGGCTATGATAGAGTCCAATCCACATACAATTATATGAAATTCTATAAGAAAAAAAATGCAAGCTTAGTTTTTAAAGGTGCCATGGTACATCATAATTACACCTTCTAAGAAAACACACACACACACACACACACACACACATCACATCACATCACATTTAGCCCTGGCTGGGGTACTTAGTGGTTAGAGCATACGCCTGAGGGCAGGTTCCATTTCAGTCAGGGGCACATACCTTGGTTGTAGGCTCAATCCCCAGCCCTGGTTGGGGCACATGTAGGAGGCAACCAATCGATGTGTCTCTTTTCACATCAATGTTTCTCTGTCTCTCCCCCTTCCTTCCACTCTATCTAAAAAAATCAATGGAAAAAACATCCTCAGGTGAGGATTAACAACAAAAACAAAACCCACTTTTTATTATAACACACACATATACAAACATCTCCTAATCCTTACTCAAGTCAATGCAGAAAAATGCAGTTAATGGTGTCAAGTAAGAATTAAAACAATGGCACTGTGCTCTTTTCAACCCGTCAACAACCTTATTGAAAAGCAACACCACGAGATGAAAACAACTAAATAACCTTCAAATAGCTACCAACCAAGTAATAGTTAGAATTTAGTGGGAGATGAATTTCAAGAGAACAACTTACGTCGATAGAAAGTGTCATTAAAATCCTGGATCTTGTTGAAATGTCTGAATATAAGTAAAGGAACGTGAACTGCTAAGCTTGTAATTTGTAAAGTGAATTTGATAATACCATAAGGAAAAACTTATAAATGTATTTTTAAAACAAGAAATAGATCATAAATGTTCAAAGTAGTGGAATTCAAGGAATATGACAAAATGAACACAAGCCACTTCCTGACAAAACCACTTTTATAACACTCCTCTCCCGAACTGCTTAGTCTCCCTCTCATCCCTGAACCCCTATATCATTTAATTATATTTATGACTCTAATATTTTCTACTTGTTTTTGTATCAAATCCTGAGCCCTGGGAAAGCATAATGTGTGTATCCTCAACCATCAGCATCAAGCCAAGAGACAATAAACATTTAGCGATGGGATCAAGTATATCCTAGTTCCTATTTAGCTGGGTGATTTTAAGAGTTACTGCAAAACTAATTAAAAACAAACACACACCCTGGCTGGTGTGGCTCTGTGGTTGAGTGTCAACCTATGAATCAGGAGGTCATGGTTTGTTTCCCAGTCAGGGCACATGCCTGGCTCGGTCTCCAATGAGGGGTGTGCAGGAGGCAGCTGATCAATGATTCTCTCATCACTGATGTTTTTATCTCTCTCCCCCTTCCTCTCTGAAATTAAAAAAAAAATTTTTAAAAAACACACAGAAGATCCCAAAAAACAACTTTTTCAGTTGTCAATGACTTATTATTGGTTTTTTGGAGAGTGGAGGTGGGGGTAGAGAGAGAGATGAATTCTTTCTTCCTCTCTCAGTTTACTAGTTTTCTAAGTCTCTTTCTTTAATCCAACAAAACCCTACCAGCAGTCTCCCCCTGCCTGGGGGTGGAAAAAGAACCCCATTCAAAACTGGCTTGGCATGAACCAATCATAGCACTTACCACTGTAACAACCCATATGCATGCAAAGCGTTTAACTTTCTAATGGAGCAATTTTGTTTAATAATATATAAGTTATACTTCTCTAAAATTACAATAAATAATCCATTATTCATGTTTTTAAAGCAAAATAGAAAAAGAATAAAAATTTGACCTACAAACAAAGCTATAAAAAATAAATTCAATACAAGCCCTCACCCATTCAGATCTCTGTTTCTTGAAGCTAGGCAAACAGGGGACATAAGTGACAACTAGAACAGAAAGATCAAGAGAACCCGACCAAACACTGGAGGAGCAGCCATGGGGGGGGGGGGGGGGGGTCCAAGGAGCCAGACCCAAAAATCCCATCTCCTGGATTTCTATAAAATGCCCGTTTCCCAGATCTAAATAATGGGGACAGACAAGGTGTACATGTTTGTTTCTTCCTCAACAGGGGCCTGTATTTGCATCTTTATACCTTTTATTTAGAAGTAACAGATTCACAGGGAGTTGTAAAGAGAGTACAGAGAGGTCCTGTATCTTTCACCAGGTTTCCCCCACCAGTTACATCTTACATTAGTACAATATCAAAACCATGACTAGGACATTGGTACAAGTGTGTATCGTTCTGTCATGTGTAGACTGTGTAACCACCAGCCTAGACATACAATCGATCAGCACCAAGATCTCCCTCCTGCTACCTGCTCTGAGTCACACCTTCCCTACCCCCACCATGCCTAACCTGACAATCACCGATTTATTACCATCTCTATAGTTTTGTCATTTGAAGAGCGTTATATAAATAGAATCATACAATAGATGACCTTTTGAGATTGCATTTTTCATACCGCATAATGGCCTTGATATACATCCAAACTATTATGTTTCATAGTTGGTATAGTTTTATATTGAGTATTATTCCACAGTATGGCTGTATCACATTAAACAATTCATTTATTGATGGATGTTTGGGGTGTTTACAGTTTTGGGCTACTACAAATAAAGCTGTTCTGAACAATCGAGAACAAGTTTTTATGCAGACTTAAGTATTCATTTCTCAGGGATAAATGCCCAGGAATGAAACTGCTGGGTGATATGGAAAGTGTATGTTTAGATTTTTCAGAAACAAACTACTTTCCAGATGGCTATAGTATTTTACATTGAAGCATAGTGGTCCCCCCTTTGGAAAAACTGCTGCTTGAAACTGCTATTTGAACTACTTTGTTATTCTTAGTCTCTTATTCTGTAGGTCAACTCTATTATTTTTAGACTATAAAAATAACTGTTTTTTGCTTGAATAGAAAAGATAAACTTAACTGTCTGACCTTGCAAGCTAGCCATCTAACATAAGGGACTAATACAATAATACTGATGCCAGATGTCTATATAAATATGTACCCAAGGTTACAAATGTCTATATAAATACTCAAAATTACAAAATTGTCTATATAAATATGACAAATATTAAACATAATATATACTCAAAATTACAAACTGTCTACAAAAGTAACTTACACAAAAAACTAAAAAAAATATATATAAAAAAAAATACTCCCTCCTGTATTTGTTCAGGAATTTGACAGAGGTAATCTGCTCTGAACCTGCACGCAATAAAGATGACTCCTAACTAATTGGCTCATTAGGCGTCTTGTCCAGCTCGATGATTTGCAGTACAACATTTCCCACCAGCAATGAGCAATCCAGTTCTTCTGTACTTTTGCCAGCATTTTAAAAATTATTAAATATTTAAATAATTAAAATTATTATAATTTTAATTTTAGATAGTCTTATAGTTGAGTGATAATATTTCAATGTGGCCATAATTTAGATTTGTCATAGCTAGTGATGTTGAACACCTTTTCATGTGCTTTTTACCATGTTTAGGGAAACATCTTTCTCTGTTGTCCATTTTCTAACTGCATCATCTTTACTGTTGAGTCTGAAACTTCTTTATATACTCTGAGTCCTTAGTCAGACACCTGCTTCCTAAGTATCCTCCAACTGCAGCTTGTCTTTTCATCCTCCTTCACAAAGTAAAAGCTTTTAATTTTGATATTCAATTTATCAAATTTTTTATATATCATGCCTTTAATGTGGTCAAAGAACACTCCACCAAACCCTAGATCCCAAAGATTTTCTCCTGTTTTCTTCCAAAGTTTTTGCAGTTTTACATTTGACACTTAAACCTTTAATCCATTTTGAGTTACTTTTGGAGGTTAGGTCGAGATTCATTTTTTTATCTATGGCTATCCACTGGCCTCACCACAATTTGTTAAAGCAATTATCCTTCTTCTGTTAAACTGGTTTTGGCCCTTTGTCAAATATCAATTGGCCATACTTGCATGGGGCTATTTCTGTCTTGTCTGTTTGACTGATCTGTGTGTCTCTCTCTGGCAATCCGACAGTCTTGATTATTGTAACTACGTAACTCTTGAAATTAGATAGTAACCCCTCCTATTTTTTTTTTCTTTCAGCATTTAGGTATTCCTTTGTCTTTCTATATCAATTTTAGAATAATCTGGTTTGTACTGACAAAAATTTTCCGGGGATTTTGGCAGGTTGTGTTAAACTTAGATACAAATTTGGGGATAAGTGACATCTTTACTATGTTGAACTGTCCAATTCCTCAACATGAACTCTCTATTTATTTAGATCTTCTTTGATTTCTTTCATCAGCATTTCACTGTTTTCAGCATATAAATCATATACTTATTTTATTCACACGTAAGGTGTTTTTTTTTAACGTGGTTATAAATGGCACTGTATTTTAAATTTCAGTTTCCACATGTTAACCGCTAGCACACAGAAATATAATTGAATTTTGTATGCTGACTTTGTATCCTGTAGGATTTTCTATACAGCAAATCCCATCTCCTGAATTTCTATAAATACTAAAAATTCCCCTGATCTAAAGGTATGAAAACCAAGAAAGTGAATACTTTTTAAAAAACATACTTCTTATATAAATAAATTGACTCTGACACACTTCCATTTGGTTAATAATATACTGACTCTCTATTTTATCTGCTACTTTCAGGAGACACAAAGATTAATTGGATCCAACCTAGGGGCTTAGAGTCTAGTAGAGGAGATATGCAACTGACACTGAACATAAGGGCAATAATGCTGAATAAACAACAGTACTAGTTAAAAGCAGCTTAATTAGTGCAGCCCTAACCGGTTTGGCTCAGTGGATAGAGCATCAGCCTGCGGACTCAAGGGTCCAGTGTTCGATTCCGGTCAAGGGCATGTACCTTGGTTGCGGGCACATCCCCAGTGGGGAGTGTGCAGAAGGCAGCTGATTGATGTTTCTCTCTCATCGATGTTTCTAACTCTCTATCCCTTTCACTTCCTCTCTGTAAAAACTCAATGTTTAAAAAAATAAATAAATAAAAATAAAAATTAGTGCAAAATAATGTATACAACCTTACAGAAAACACTGGAAGATAGAGCAAAATGTTATCAGCAGGTAGCTCGGTAATAACTTACTGCTACTGATCTTTTTCTTTTCGCTTGTCTGTATTCTCTGTGTTAAACATGTCTTTCATAGTACAGAAAAACACACAAAAGCTTCATAAAATCAAGTAATTTTTTTGTGTGTGAAAAGGATACGGAACTACAGTGCAATTCGGAACTCTGTCATTTAGAAATTCTGCAGCAACTTCAGCTTTAGGTCTTCCAACATCTTTAGGCCTACAGGAAAAATGATATTTCAGTCATTACTCATGACATAAATCTAGATGGGCTGCATCATTTCAAACATAAAAATATCCATGTTGAGTTTAATTAGAGGACATTTAGAAGAAATATTTATATCTAAGTATTTGGGATGGACAATCAAAATGTCAACCCTTATTAATGTTCCAAATTAAGTACTGACAAGTCTAAGTATTTAGATGAAAAAGAGAAGTTTTATTCCCTTAGAGAAAGCATAATAATGGCATGTTTCATGGTCATTTCTCATTGTAGCATTTCTCAATGTAAAAAAACAATTATCCCAGGCCTAGGGCCTTCCAAGTATCTACCCTGAATCCCAGAACTTAAAGATGTTACTATGCAGGTCTCGGCTGAAATATACATAATGAAATTCATTCTAGGGATGCAGGAGCCTTCACTTATCACAAGTAATAAATTTTGTGTCCTGTAGTAAGTCGGAATCCCATTTTTGTAAAAGGAATAATTCTAAGGGCATTATCTAAAATTCAAATGTCACTAATATTTTCATGAAGCTAAAAATACAAGGCCTTAAAAGATCATTCCTTGGTAATAACCATAGCTATAAGTAAGAAATGACAGGAATTCTCTCTTCTCATCTCAGTGCAGATGACATATTCTTTCCTAGTACTTCCTCATTCTCCTCACAGAAATCATTCCCAAATAGTATATACATAGTAAGTGCTTCATTACTACTTTTTTATAGCATATTTTTGTTATATATATATAGGTCTATCATACCCACTGGACTGAACACCTGGGAAAAAATGACCATATTCTTATCTCCTTCATATGTAAGTACAGGATAAACACTTTAAAAATAACAATTTTAAAAAATCAATGTGACTATTTTATTTAAAATTGGAATATTAAAGAGCCCCACCAGCGAGCTCAGTGGTTGAGTGTAGACCTGTTCTAGGAGGTCATGGTTTAATTCCTGGTCAGGGTACATGCCCAGGTTACAGCTCGATCCCCAGTGTACAGCATGCAGGAGGCAGCTGATCAATGATTCTTCCTCATCATTGATGTTTCTCTCACATATATGTTTTTAAAATCCTCATTCATTATTTTAGCCACAAATTGAAGGGCATGGCCATTATTATGATAACCAATTAACTCGATCGTGGTTTTTTTGAGAACATTTACACACCAAAGTTAGTTAGACTGGCAAGGACACCAAAACTTTTCTATAGAGAAGGGAAACTTCAAGGGTTAAAATATAAAGAAATAAATAAAAGTTAAATGAAGAGTTCACATTGTAACAACATTTCAATAACTTGACTTAGTTTAACCCATTCTTCAATCTCTTTAAGAACTTCCACAAAGGTAAGTTAGAGGTTTTATGCCTATCCTAAATCTTTTATCTTTTCTGCTAACCTAACCTCACCCTGCATATCCAGGACCAACTGATTGCTTTCTGTCAGTAACCTAATCACTAGAGAAAGAAAAGTATTTCATTATCCCTCCGCATCTATAATTCTTTAATTAACAGACACTTTTATCTAGCCACTCAAATCCCTAAATGTTACATACTAAAATTTATCAATGAACTTTTCCTCAGAACTACATATGTGTGCCACTTCCAGTTCTCAAAATTATCTCTAACAAGCCATTCCCAGAGGACTCTGTATTTCATGTATGTCTAAGGTAATTATCCCTTTCTTCCATTTCAATTGCTCCTGGCTTTTTCTACTTCATTCTTCATCTCTTTTCCCTCTGTAAAAAGCTCAAATTCCGTCACAACTTCACTGTCCCAGAGTCACCACTCAGAGTTTGGCTCATGTGTCCCACCAATGTGCCTCACTAGGGCCTAATATTCCAGCTGCTGCTCTCTCATGAAATCACCAGGAGGAGGAGGCTGAACTTTGTGTCTTCGGAGCACAATCACCCCCAAATCACATAAACCTGTTGGAAATTTCTGTTAGGAAATTAAAACTTACCTAAATAAAAACTGCCTATTTAAATTGGAAACATCTATAGTGTCCATGTCTATAACATGAATCTGTCTAAAACCAGACAAAGCCTGTGGGAATAAAAAAAATCCAAGTAAGCAGAAATTCCCTCACATTTGAAAAATTTGACATTTATTTTCAATGTAGTCCTAAATCTACAAATTCTCAATAATAAATTCTGCATAATCGTATTCAATTGTTAAAGAGACTTACAAAGTATATATAACATTTATGTTCCTGGAAAGGTCAAAATGTGTAACTGCTCAGTTTTAGTTTGTAACCAAAAGAGAACAATTCAAAATTTCTACAGTTGTTTTATAATCTCATAAATACATCTGTAAAGTTTAGTGCTTTGCTATTGCTGGATACTTTATTTTACTAATCTTACTAATTAATTGCACTTACTAGTCTTTTTTCAGAATATTATTATAAGCAATTCATACAAGCTTTATCTTAGTTTACATAACATTAAGCATGCACCATTCAGAAATAACTATTATAAGGTACATATGTCACAAACACACACACACACACACACACAGAGAGATACACTGCACATGTAAAAGAAATATCTTAAAAGTATTGAGTCAAGCCCTGGCCGCTGTGGCTCCGTGGTTAGAGGGTCAGCCCGCACACCAAAGGGTCTCGGGCTCTATTCCTGATCAAGGGCATGTACCTGAATTGCAGGTTTGATCTCCTGCCCTGCTCGGGTGTGGGAGGCAACCAATTAATGTTTCTCTCTCTCCCCACCCCTCGTTCTCTCCCTTCCTCTCTCTCTAAAATTCAATGAAAAAAAAAAATCCTTGGGTGAGGATTAACAACAAAAGTATTGAGTCAAGAATAAGCAATCAGCCCTAGCTGGTTTGGCTCAGTGGACAGAGCGTTGGCCTACGGACTGAAGGGTCCTGGGTTCAATTCCAGCCAAGGGCACATGCCTGGGTTGCAGGTTCGATCCCCAGTGTGGGGCGTGCAGGAGGCAGCCAGTCAATGATTCTCTCTCATCATTGATGTTTCTGTCTCTCTCTCCCTTACCCTTCCTCTCTGAAATCAATAAAAATATATTTAAAAAATTAGCCTGCTGTATTTGGTCAAACATTTAATTCATCCCTAATGCCTTGGCAGGACCAGACCAAATGATTTCGTGGGCCTTATACAGCCCAAGCCTGCTCTAAACAAATGTTCCCTCTCACACTTCACTGAAAACAGCACTTGTCTAGGTCACCGGTGAACTCCATGTTGCCATCTCCAGTGACCTGACCCGTCTGAAGTACTAGTATTTGGCACTGTGTGGATCAATTCCTAAGAACACATTCTTCCCTTGGTCACTACATGCATGAGAATTTTTACACTTTACCACATTCAGTTTTCCTCCTGCTTTACTGGCTAGATTCTTGAGAGCCCTTATGCTTAATTCTGGTGATCTCAGACAATCTTTTTTTTTTTTTTTCCAGACAACTTTATAAGCATACCCAACAGACATCTCAACAGTTTCCAAATCCAAACTCAAGCATCTTTTTCACCAACCCCACCAAATCTGCCCTTCTCCCAGCCTCATGTCCGTGAATGCTAAGCCCATCTTTCCAGGTGCTCAGGGCAAAACCCTTGTCATCCTTGACTCCTTTCTCTCCTGTCCCACAACCAACCCATTAGCAAATCCTGTTGACTTCATCCTCTGACTGCCTCTCACTGCCTCCAACACTACCGCCCTGTCCTCAGTCAGTCATCTCTAGCTAGATGACTGCAACAACCTTCTACCTCACCTCAGCTTCCTCCTCTATTCTTCTTTAGTCTTTTCTAAATACATCAGCCACAGTGATCCAGGTTAAAAGTCAGATCAAGTCAACTCATCTGCCTAAATCTCTCTCCAATGGCATTCTGACTCAGAGAAAAAGGCTAAGTTCTTACAGTAACTTCCTATGCCTTTTGTGGTATTAATTTCAAACATCTCCATCTCCCATTGCCTCCGATAGCCTCTCCGAAAATACTTCCCTTACCTACTTCTGCTTTAGCTGTAAGGACCTCCTTGCTATCCTTGAACAGGACAGTCATGCTCCAACTTCACAGCGTTTGCACCTGCTGTTCCCTCTGTCTAGAATGTTCTTGCTCACCTCTTTGCTCAAATAGCACCTCATAAACCCATTCCCTTCCGACCAGGCTACCTATATTTCATCTTTCCTTGCTCCAAAACATCTGACATACTATGTATTTTCCTTATCTTTTTCCTTTCACTAAAATGTAAGCCCCACAAATACCTATTTTGTTCAATGCTATACATGCCTGGTTTGTGGGCTTGATCCCGGTAGGCAGCATGCAGGAGGCAGCAGGCTGATGTTTCACTCTCACATAGATGTTTCTCTCTCTCCCCCTTCCTCTCTAAATATCAATTAAATAATAATAATGTCATACTCTTTTTTTAACAATGAGCCTCGGGGGGCATACAATCAATTTATAAAAAGACGTGTATCTCTTATGTACTGAAATAAGCAAAGTAACAAGTGGTAAAATTAAAAACCCTATTTTCTTCTTCTGTGTAAGATGGTATTGCAATGCAATAAATAACATGGCCACCTAAAGCTGATTGATGACTACTCTTCAGATCTAATCTCCAATTACTTTACATTTAAAATGTGTATCTATCTCCTTTGCAAATAACAGCTTCAAAATGGAAATGGTTAAGCAATAGGGAATATGTACATGCAATGCCTATCAAAACCACTACCCACCCTTCCCTCCTAGAACTCTGGTTCTCACACTGCTCGAGTATTTATATCTGACAAGGTGCTGGCATTTGGGTACCCCACAGAGTACATCATACATATTGCTATTTATTTTGTGTGAGTTGTCTCCCCAGAGAAACTTCATATTCATTAGGACAGAGAACACGATGATCTGCAATCCCCACGGAGCCCAGCACAGCACTAAGTATCATGAAGTGTATTGAGTTTTTGCAGTTTCACCAGGAGTGATGTTGTGCTTCCTAGCAAAATTAACATGGTTGTTTATATTTAAACTTTAGCAACATGGCTGACTTTTTAGGTATTTTATCTAGTTCTTTTACTTCATTTTCTAAGGAGTCTACTCTAGCATTTCCACTTTTCTACACATCAGTAGAAGCCTAGAATATATCAGCTCTCAATCAATTCTCCTCCTATCCATCTCTGTTAAATAAACTGATACTTGTTAAAAAAAAAAAAGCTTCTTTGTGGTTATCAGAAGTTAATGAAACGAATTAATTAAATCACAAATTATGGATTTCAAACCAGTATACGAAACAGTTTCACTAAATAGTACCCTCTCTTAAAATGATAGTCGTTAAAAACAAATTAACACATGGTTCAGTGAACACCTGACTAAGAACTGATCATCGGGATTCAATTCCAGGCCCATCACTGTCATCCAAAACAGCGAGGCAATCCATGTAACCTCTCAGAACCACATCTCCATCTACTAGTACATAACATGAGCCAATGCCCTATCTATCTAAGTGGGTTATCTTAAGGAGCAAAAGAAATAATCAATACTGGCAAATTGCATGTTAAAATATGAATTTCCAGTTTTGTTATTTGAAATTAATGAGTGCTTTGCGAGAGGATGCACAAAGATTTCTTTGATAAAGAGCAGAGAAGAAAACAGAAGAATGTCTATCAATGATTTATGTTGAGCACTTTACAATTTAAGACCGTCTGGAAGCTGACTTGCTAAACTTATCTAACAAAGGCTCAAAACAGAGGTTAATAATCATAATAAAGAAATTTCCTAATATGACAGAAAAGGAAAATTACCATGAAGGAGAAAAACACATATTATATATACATGCATTTATATATATATTTACATATATATATTACCAGATTTTTCAGGAGCTCACATCCTAAGCCGCCAGCTCCAATGACTAGAACTTTACATGTATCTAACAAAAACTGGAGAGACTGTAAAGAATGAAAAGGCATATTAAAACCTAGTTATAAAAAACACAAGTACCATTAATACAACAAGCCATAGTTTCTGATGTTTCCATGAAAAATGCAAATGAGGATCAAGAGCAGACTTTCTATTTAATAAACTCTTTTAAATTTATGAACAAGGTAGAATCAGAAATTCTATAACCCTAATGATTTCAGAGCATTTCAATTTCAATGTGTTTACATTGACTCTTATTGTATGAAATTAAAGGTTATTTCTAAAAACAAAAACTATGGCTAGTTAAAGGTTATCTTTTTTTAATCTTGAGAGGGGATGGAAAGCATCAAATTCATTATTTAACTGGCTTCCTATGAAGAGAAAAGTATAAAAATCTTAAGAACTGGGGATCAAACACTGCACAAGGTGTTTAAAGGTCTTCAGGAAGAAAAAAACAAACAGATAAAATTCTTAGAAAGTTGTTTATCAACAGAAATACAATTCAAAACAATCACTTAACAAAAGTATCTTAAATAATCAGGCAAAAAAAAAATTCAAAAGCACAGGAAAATAAGATAGAGACAAAGAAAGGCAGAACACTGTCAATTCTGTCCAAAGGCTAAAGGAGAGAAAAGTAATTCAGGTGAGACCCTGGTCAAATCCAAGAGTTTGTACTTTAATTCTAGGGGTAGCTCAATATTTTTATTTCAAAACAGTATCTCTTCACAAACATCAAATGACATAAAAGTTTACTAAAAAGGATACTTTTTCTACCTTGTAATAAAAAAATAAGTCTTATCTAATTGAACATTTGCTTTAAGTCAGACACTATCCAAAATTCCATTCGTTTTACAGAACTCATATAATTTTTAACATGCAATTAGTTATACTCAATCCTACGATGCTCAGTTGAATTAAATTCCAAGATTTAAACAAGCATACCTATCTTCCTATCAAAAGTAATTTCTAAGAGCAAAACTAAAAGTGGAGTGTGTCTCAGAAATCACTTTAAACTAAAATTTAAAGTGAAGTATAAGTTAGAATTTTAAATGAGATTATAAAGTTATTTTACTAAAAAAAAGTCAACATATTACATGAGAAATGCAAAAATGACTTAAATATTAGCCATTCAAATAAAATCAGTTGCAAATATTCAACTTAGTATTTCAAGATAACTTACACAATTTTATTAGTATTTTTACTATAAGAGCAAGTGAAAAAGAAAGCATCTTATTTTTGAAACAAAACTATTAGAGGAGTTACTTAAAAATAAAAATAAATGTTTCTCACTTCAGTGCTCGGTTCGAAATCAGGGTGTGTGAAGGGTCCAGATCGCTCGAGGAACTTCTTTACATGGTTCCAGCGACCGTCCCAGTCTCCAGTGTCCCCACACCCACCATCAACAGCCATTCTGCACAGAACACAGTAAATTCAGCTGCAAAGGTCAGTATGAAAAAAACCGCACCTACAACTATTATGGCTTCCCCAAAAGTAAAGGTAACACCAGACCTGCTCAATAAAAAAGGAATTATTTAATGTGATCATGCTCACGCTTTTAATTATTTTTCTGGGCTATTATAATTTATCTAAAGGTAAGAACTCCATGTGTTTGATTAAATAAATCAGTCTACCTGTTTCTGGGTTCCTAAAGCAAGCCAAAATCAAACTTAGGATATTGTTTAGTCAGTGAGAAATGGGCTTTTATACATTTGGAATTTATAAAAGGTCATTGCAAACTTCCCCAATCTGTTCCTTCCACACACTTGGGTCAGGCAATACGTTATAAGAGGAAAATAAATATGTAACTCCACTGTCAGAATTGCGATGGTTCACATCTAATATAACTCGGGGTCCTTTCCAAGTGTGAAAGGTGTGACTTAAAGATCTTTGATGAAAGGAACTTTCACACATTTTTATCTGAAACAGAGGTCCCAGTTTTTCAAAAAAGAATCTCTTTAATACTATGAGATGGTTTTTGTTGCCACTGAACACAAAATGTTTTAGGTTAGAATCTTTTATATCACACAGCTGAGCGTGTTCTAAGACTGGACTCCTCTATCTACTTAGTAATGATGTTTACTTTTCACATTTCCTATAACCCCACAACTTCTACATCCAAATATATTATTAATATCCAATTTTAACAAAAGGGACCAATAAGTATGGCCTGGCAATAAAGACCTTGGGTTTTGATATTATAGCTCACTTGGTTCCACAATTAATAGCACTGTGACCGTAACAGCCATAAAACTCCTCTACAGGTTTTTATAGCTACTTGGGGTAAGAATGAGGCCCTGGTACAATGCTCGGCATATAACTTTATCATGTTAAGCAAACGTGGGGAGGAACGTGAAAAGCAGCTCCAGGCCGGCCCCCTGCATTGCAATCTCCTGCGGGGGCGACACCTGCAGCCTAAGCGCCGCCGGGACCGGCTCCGGAGAGACCGAGCGCCACACCCCCCGCCCTGCGGGCCGGAGCGGGACCCTGCGGGCCGGGCGGGGGCTGCCGACACCGGCCCCACCGCGCAAAACCAAGCCCCTGACCAGCGGCAGGACGGGGGGTAAATGCGCACAACACGTTCTTGGCGTCAACACTCCTTTAGGAGCCAATTGCTCTGCAAAAGTGGCCGAAGCGCTCAGTCCGATACCATAGAAAGTTCCCAGAGTCTGCAATTAAGACTGTCTCCGTGTGTACGAGCGGCCAGTACTCGCTTCGTGTGCAAGTCAGAGCCCTTCCCAAGGTCACGTCTCTGACGCGGGGGCGCTGGGAGAGGGGCGCCAGGCGGTCCCCAGACCTGCGGCCAAGCACCGGCCGGGCCCGGGCGGGGACCGAGACCGCGCGGCCTGTGCTCCGGGTGCCCCCTCCCAGCCCCCCGGGCCCGCTGCGGCTGGTCCCCTAGGCCTGGGGAGGGGAGGCGGGGGTCCCCGAAGAGGGCCCCGGCCTCCCGGCAGCACTAACTTCTCAGCCAGCAGCTCCTCTATTCTCCTTCTTTTCTTCTCCCTAAAAGAAAGAGAGAATAAAAGAAGGGTCAGCATCACGCTACACACTGGGCGCCGCGAGAGGATGGGGGGCGGGGAGACGGGGCGGGAGGTGGGGGGACCCCTAGTGGCGACGGCGACCCCCCACCGCCGCACTCGGTCACAACCCAGCCCGGCCGGTGCCCGAATTGCCCGGGTACTTACGGCTCCTCGCCATCCGCCATATTGTTCTCCGCCTCTTCCCAGGTGCCCCCACGGCGGGCGGGGCCAGGCTCGGGGGCGGGGCCGGAGGGCGGGGCCTGTGTGACAGAGGCAGGCAATGCGTGGGGGCGGGGGAAGGAGGGCGGGATTGGCGGGGCCCGAGGGCGGGGCCTGTGTGACAGAGGCGGGCAATGCGTGGGGGCGGGGTTGGAAGGGGCGGGATTGGCGGGGCCGGAGGTCGGAGTGGGCGGGGCCTACGGAGGGTGGGCGGGCCCGGAGGGCGGAGTGGGCGGGGCGAACGGGGCCGATGTCGCTGATACTCCAGTGGGCTTTGTAATGATAATCTTGATAAACTATACTTAATTACATAAATCTTATCCAGTGTATAATGTTATGCTGCTTTAAAATATAGACGCAATACATTATATGTTTATACAATTTATATGCTAAATAATTATATAAAATGGTATACTCTATGAAAAAAATGTAAGAGCCACCGTAATATGCCAGAGCTTCCATCTGAGGCAAAGAATCGGGGATTTTCTGGACAGTTCCAACATCTTTGCATGAAGGCACTGACTTTAAGAGTGAAATTTCACAAATCAGTTTATAGGGGTTGGATAAAGATATTTTCTTTCTTTGTTAATATTAATATATTTTTATTGATTGATTTCAGAGAAAAAGAGGAAGAGAGAGAGAGACATCGATTTGTTGTTCCCCTTATTTATACATTCATTGGTAACAGTTCAATTCCTGGTCAGGGGCTCCATCCCCAATGAAGGATGTGCAGGAGGCAGCTGACCAATGATCCTCTCTCATCATTGAAGTTTCTATCTCCCTCTCCTTGCCTCTCTCTGAAATCAATAAAAACTTATTTTAAAAGGCCACTACCTTAGAGATCACCTAGTCTACACCCACCCATTACACAGGGTAGAAAACTGAGGCCCATGGACAGCATGCTGCTGTCCATTGTACCTTGGAACTAATACTCTCACTGTGGTGGTATTTTGATAGATGACACCAGGCCCTTCCCCTGGCTCAGACTCATTGCTTGGAAATAGCCAACTGACCTTGCCAGTAATGAAAGTAACAGAGACATGCAAGCAAAACCTGCAACAGAATTATTTCATTCCAAAGAGAATATATCATAAACTATTGGTCTGTCCACTATTGTTCCCATACAGTCAGATAAATATTCCGAGTGGCCCTCTCTTGAAGCACAGGTCTGGGTATAAGAGCGCCAGGAAGGCCCCTACAGTGACTCTGATCCCCCCTAAATGAATAGTGACAAAGAGCTGCGACCAATAGAATTTCAAACAATGCCTGAAATAAAGTAAGGATTCCATATGTGTTCTTTTTTTTATTTAAAATAATTTTATGACTGAAGGGGAGCAGAATTTGCCACCCCAAAATACTGATTATTAATTGATTATTTTAACCTAGTTAGTTTTAAGAAATTTGAAAGACGTAAGAAAATCTTTTGATTGTCTCTCTAACTGGCTAAAAGAATTTAGATAGAGGACCTGCTTTAGGAAGAGAGAGATCATCATAGATAACTGTAGCTTAATATGAATTTGTGTGATAGTCAGGGAGGAACCAGCAAGACCTGTGCGATCAGTCTTCTCTGGGCCCATTGTTACAGTGGCTCAGCAAACATTTGTTCACCAGTTTGCTCTTCCATCTCCACGTGAATTGCCTTTCTCCCCTTTGAAGTTTCAAACCACCGCCCTCCTTTTTTCTCCTTAGCTCAAGATGGCAAATAAGCCTCAGTTGAGCCAGTGTTCTAATGAAACCCCTGTACTTACATAGGTAATTAAATTTGGTTATTTTTCTTCTATTAATCTGTTTCGTATCAATTTGATTATTACACCAGCCAGAAGAACTAAAAGAATGGCAGGGGGGAGGAGAAAAATGACAAGGGTAGAAATGTGTAGTGAAAAATATAAAGTCCCATAATCAAACTAGAAAGAGAAGCATATTTAACTTTTTGGGAGAGGGAGAAGCGGTGCATGCTCTGTACCACTATGCCTAGCTTTCCCCCCATTTCTTTTGTTATTTTTATATTATTTTAAAAATATGTCTTTATTGATTTTTTTAGAGAGAGAGGAAGGGAGAGGGAGGAGGGAGAGAGTGTGAGAGAGAAACACTGATGTGAAAGAGAAGCATCCATCAGTTGCCTCCTACACTTACTCTAACTGGGATCGAACCTGCAACCTGGGTATGTGCCCTGACCTGGAATCGAACCAGCGACCTTTCAATGACTGAGCCACACTGGCCAGGGCTCTTTTGATATTTTTAAACCTCTTTGGAGGTTTGAACAAATAAATAAAATTACACTGAACAAATGTTTACTGAATATTAATGACTCATGATCACATTATCACTATCACGCACTGATGGCTCATGGTCGTGTGGTACTGAGCAATTGAAAGGTAACAGTTCTTGATCACAGTCCCTAAAGGCCACTGATCTCTCCAACAAAGGTGGGCCCTACTGGGGCCCCTATGTTGGTCTTGACCAAGATCATTTATTCAGCTTACCCACAGTGCAGCTTCTTGAAATTTGTAAACCCCAGGGAATTCTTCCATACCCTCTGACTTCCTGTAGCTCACCACCAAGGCCTGGCCCATCTCTAGACAGTACTCCTCTCACTCTTTGGTATTAAGTTAGTGTTGCCACTACATTGCAAGATTCTTGAAGACGGGGCAAGGCTGCATCCTTCTCAACTTGCCTCTCAGAATGTTTTCATAGAGCCTTGAAGGGATACAAAAGATCTTTGACGTCACACTAAAAATTTTCAACCTCTTGTACCCTCTCAAGTCTACCCAGCTGCAACTACAACAATAAAGTTGCAACAAAATAGAGCAAAGTCAGTGGATGTTCATTATGAAATCATAAAAAACAAATCAGGTTCAAGCACTATTAATACCATGATGCCAAGTGAATCACGGGCTATGTTGTTATTAATAGCAATAACAGTAATATCTAACTGTGAGCAATTACTATACACTATACACTGAGCACTTCCCATTCACTCTTACTCAGCTGCAGGGCAGATGTTCTTAGTATAGCCACTTTACACTTGAACAAACTGAGGCTGAATGAGACTAAGCAATTTCTCAAAGTCACCAGCAAGAAATGGAGGAGCTGGAACTAATTTTGCTCTGATTTTAAATCTTCCCATTTTTCTAGAATCAAGAAAATGTGAGCGCTCAGGAATATTTTCACATTTTAAAGTTTATTCAACACCAATGACAGTATTTTCTTTTTTTAATAATATTTTTATTTTTTTTAGAGGGGGAGGGAGAGGAAGAGAGAGATAGAAACATCAATGATGAGAGAGAATCATTGATCGGCTGCCTTCTGCACGTCCCTCACTAGGGATGGAGCCCGAAACCCAGCATGTACCCTGACCAAGAATCAAACCTGTTACCTCGTGGTTCATAGGCTGATGCTTACCACTGAGCCACACCAGTCGGGCTGGAGTACTTCTTACGAGTCATTGTAGGTTCCTTAACTGCCTTCTAACTCATCAAGGAAAATCAAATTATGTCTTCTAGACTTTGCTTTAGGTATATTTTATTGTTTTCTGACTTTTTTGAAAAGTGGTGGCGGCCTGTGGATAGTGAATTCAGTTTTTAATAACAGCACCATTTGCATGTTTAGAGACTCTGTTATCCTTTACACTAGCATCTTAGAATTTTCCCTACCACACTATGAAGTTAACTAAAATACTTTTTCTCATGCATTTGAGATAAAAGGAGGTTTACTATATTAACCAGCCCCTTAACTGGGGGCTGGAGGGGAAAACCCTTTGGAAGCCATAGCAGGGAATGTACAACTGAATTGTTTGGGCTGGGATACAAAACTATCATTATCTATTAAAGTGATAGGGGGAAGGGCATGTAATAAGAATAGGCCCACAGGTGTTTAGGATTATTCACCTTGCTACCTATAGGTAAGAGGTTTTCTTACAGACCCTGGGAACTGGAGGACGTGCTGCAAGGAGAAAAGCAGGGCTTTAAAGAGATAAGAGTCACCTCTAAGCCCAGGTGAGCCCATGGCTCAGAAAAGAAAATACATTTTGAGAACAAACCAAGAACAGCACAAGCTTTGATTTGGTTGCTGTGCCTGGACCCTGACCCCCTTGGGGTCTGCGCCTCAGGAATGCTGACCTTTCTCGGGTCCTGGAACGGGCTGAGCGGGGTTTCAGCATCATAGAGAACTAGCAGGAGAGGTCAGAGCAGAGCTTCCAGGGTGACCTGGCTCTCCCATGCTGCCGGCAGTATTGGAATAAACACTCATACATGACTCAACCCTGCCTCTGCTTAATGTGGCTCAAGTAGCCACAGGTGGCCTGGGACCCGTTCTGCCCGGTATCAGAAGCACTGTGCTCCCTGCCTGAAAGTTGTCCCCAAATATCAGGATAAAACGAAGAAAGGTCTTTTTGAGAGGAATCCATGTTTCTGCCCAGTAAATACTGAGTGCAGAACAATAGTTCACTGCAAACCATTGTTTGCTTTCAAAGGCAGACAGCGTGCCCAGATGGGGCTGGCATGACAGGGTGCCCACTGGATCAGAACGGCACGGTCGATGAATAATTCTGCCGGGAGAGAATAGACATGGAGAACAAACCCATAACTAGACGAGAAGAGAAGTGAGCAAACCACGCCTTCTGCTCTACACAGTCTTCCTCCCGATTCTGCCGATCTGATCTCACTCACAGTGACCCGTGAGGAAACAGAACACACGATGATACATCACATTCAGATGTGCAGGAGTTAGTACGGACTTCGTTTCCCAAACCAGCTCCTCCCCCAGCCACACCACAGTTGCCTCCATTCCGTCTCTTAGGCGGGCGTCTGAACAGCTGCAAACCTTCCCGCAAAGGCCTGCACGCATTCCTAGGCAAACACTCCGAAGGGGTGATTTAAAGGAGCCTGAGTCTGCACTCCCAGGAAGGTGCCGGTTCCTTTCTGTCATTTCATCTCTGCCCTGAACCCTGCCCCTGGCTCTGTCGCAGGACAGAGCCACCAGGAAGTGAGGCTAGGAAAGGCGCCCTCCCGCCTGCGATTCCCCCGGTTCTGCTGCCGCCAACCGCAGAGTCACCGCTCGCCACCCGCGGGCGCTTGCCGTCGCCGCCGCCTCCGGATTCCAGAGGCGGAGAGCCCGGGCGCAGAGCAGACATGGACGTGAACCTCGCCCCGCTCCGAGCCTGGGACGACTTCTTCCCGGGCTCCGACCGCTTCGCCCGGCCGGACTTCAGGGACATTTCCAAATGGAACAACCGCGTGGTGAGCAACCTGCTCTACTACCAGACCAACTACCTGGTGGTGGCTGCCATGATGATTTCAGTGGTGGGGTAAGTGGGTCCGCGCGGCACTGATGGGGGAGCTCGCGGGGCGGGCGGGGCCCGGCGGGGGCCGGGGCAGGAGCCAGAACTTCGCTCCCCGGCTCCCATTCTCAACCTGTGGGTCGCGACCCCTTTGGCGGTCAAACGACCCTTTCCCAGGGGTCGCCTAAGACCATCCTGCATCTCAGATATTTACATGACGATTCATCACAGTAGCAACATTACAGTTATGAAGTAGCAACGAAAATAATTTTATGGTTGGGTCACAGCATGAGGAACTGTATTTAAAGGTCCAGGAGGTTGAGAACCACTGGATTGGGGTCTTGCTGGGCGACAGTGTAGCGCCCCGTCTTGGAAGCACAGGAGGGAGGACCGCGGTGTGAGCCTGACCCGGGCGGGACGGGCCTGCCCGTGGGTGGCAGGTGTGGGAAGGGCACTGGGGGGGCGACGCGCCGTGGACGTGTCTGCGCGCCTGCGCTCTGCTCCGAAAGCTGCACTCGGGGCGCGGGGAGGGGGTGGGGGTGCGGGTGGGGGTTGCTCCCTGGGGTCGCGTCGCCCAGCGCGGGGCGACGGCCGACCTCCCTGCCTGCAGGAATGGGGTCCCCTTCTGGGTCTCCACTTGCAGCCCGAGGTCTGGACGGAGGCCTGCCCGGCCCCTGACCCTGGAGGTGCCCAGAGCCACAGACAGTGCCACACCCGAACGAAAGCCTGCTTCCGCGGAGCTTCTCCCTCCGCCGGCTGCGGGGTGGGTGGCATTCCGGCTCGGCGGCCCCGGTGCCTCCCTCAGACCCGAAGGGTCCCTGGCCGCGAGGGGAGCCTGACTTTCGGAGCGAACGCAGAGGGAGAGCGAGCCGGCTGGGGAGGGAGATCCAGACCCGGGTGGGAAGGGCGACGGGGTGGCTTCTGTTCTTTGACTTACTTACTGGGTCACGCCTCCGGGCCAAGCTCCGAGCACAGCGAGGCCAGCAGAGGGGGTTCTGGCCCAGGGCAGGGCGTGGTGCGGAAGCTGCGGGACCGGGCAGCACCGAGGAGCGAGCTCACCATTTCTGGGTGTGGCTCAGCACAGTCCCCCGATGCAGGAGCGAACGCTCGTTTGTGGGGTTCGGTGGACAGTGACTTGGGTGCTCGTGTGTGGCCGAAGGAGCTGCGCTCTGAGAATGGCTTGGGGGGTGGAGGGCAGGCTCCCAGCCAAGGCTGAGTCAGAGGCAGCCACGTTAAAATTAGTTGGGGCAGAGCAGGCCTGAGGCAGCTGCCCACGTCTCTATGCTAGAGGCTTGTTTCCTAGAACACTAACAACGCCTTAAAAAACAAAATAAACAGCAAGGAGGATTGTGTCTGTGGTGTTGATTTTGTTTCTTTTTGTAAAGAAGCGGGCAAGGCATCTTATCTGGTGATCTAGTTATGGGCTTTTGTTGTTTGTTTTGATGTGGGGCAAGGCTTGACACAGACCAAGCAAATGTAACAGTACCCCCTCCCAAAGCAAAAGCAAAAACAAAAACCAAACCATTGCTTTTCAACCAGACGTACTGCCCAGAGGGACACGCCGGGCAGCCTGGCTGGAGTTCCTTTTTACTGGGAGGCAGGGTCCTTCCTCGACGAAAGTTCGCTCCCTCCTTGGGGAGCCAGCTCACTAACTCAGACGGTTTGAGGGTTTGCCTTTCTCATTCCCTTTTCAAATGGGCGATGTTGGTTGGCAGTGAAATTTTTGAAGGTAAAAATTAGCCATGTTTATTTTTTATTATTCTTATTTTTTAAAACTTAGAAAATATATAGGCTGTAAGCTGTTTTGAAAACTGTACAAAATGTGAGATTTCCTTTGTAGCCCAGTAAAAACTTAATGTATGACCTTCAACTGTTTTCTTTATGTCTACAAACATACACAGCCTGTAGTTTTCCCCACAGATTGCCCTTTTCTTTCTTTCTAATCTATAATAATAAAAGTGTGATATGCTAATTAGACCAGATGTCCTTCTTGACGAAGCCGGGGCTGCGAGGGAAGCCTGGATCCCGGGTACCTGCGGCAACCAGAGAGAAGCCCAATTCCCGGGGGCCAGAGGGAAGCCGGTGCCGGCAGCCGGGAGAAGGAAGGCCTACTCTTGCACGAATTTTGTGCATCGGCCTCTAGTCTATCATAAAGTAATTTACCTGCATTCCCTCATACAACCCAATGAGATGAGATATTACTGTTACTGTACTATTAAACTTGAGGCTCCAAGAGCTTAAATGACTTGTTCAAAGTCTCAGCCCCAGAGTTGTACTCTTAGTTACTGTGCCATCTTCTTGTGAGTCATGAGGTTTAGAATTATAGTCGCTTAAAGCTGGAAGAAACCAGATATCTTCAGGGTCAGGGAGCTAAGTTGATTCTGGAACATTTCTCCTGCAGAGAACTCTCTTGATGAAGTCAGTAGGTGGGTGGGGCCAGAGCAGTGCCGGAGGCTGTGATCTGGATCTTCTGCTGGCATCTGAGAGTCCTTGATATCCTGGGAGAGTTGTATGAAAATGTGGCCTGTCTGCTCCCTGGGGAAAGGACCTTCCCAGGGTGTCCTTCCAGGTTCCATCCCTGCTGGGAGGAAGGCTCCAAGGCATTGTGGGAGGGTGCTCGGCTCCGCCCTGAATGCTCTTGTGTTGAAACCCACTTGAATGAGGATAGAGAGGGCCTGCTCTTCAATTTTGCAGGAACAGGGAGGGAAGACTAAAAGGATGTCATCTAGCTCCAAAAACACTGGAAAGGACTGCCTGTACCAAGGTAAAGTTAAGAGGGACTAGGGCCTGATCAGACAGGCCTGGTATCCATGTTTACAAATTGGTCTTCATCCTAAAAGCATGGTTTACCAGCCACATGACTTCCCCTCACTAGGTCTCCTATGCCTGTTAGGTTAACTCTAAGTCTCTTAACTAAAAGCTTGTTGAAGACAGTTGTCAGACCTTCTGAGTCTTCAAGTAGCATAAGGTGCTGGGTGAGAGTTTAGGCACCAGAGCCAGATTAAGAACATCTTGAATCCCAACTGCCAGTCGGTAGCCATGTGACCCTGGGCAGGTCACTTGACCACCCTGTGCCTCAGCATCCTCCTCTGTGGAGTGAGGCTAATTGCAGACCTGCCTCACAGGGCTTCTCTGAGGATTACCTGAGTTAATGTAGGCAAATCTAGAACAGCAGCTCTGAGTTTTTGGTCCACAAATGTTACTTCTTTGTTTTGTTTTGTTTTGTTTTGTTTTGTTTTTCTTAATCCTCACTTGAGGATATTTTTCCATTGAATTTTAGAGAGAGTGGGAGGGAGGGGGAGAGACAGAGAGAGAGAAACAGTGTAAGAGAGACACATTTATTGGTTGCCTCCCGTATGCAGCCCAACCAGGGCCGGGAATCGGGCCTTGACGGGAATGGAACCTGGGACGCTTCAGTCCACAGGCCGACACTCTATTCACTGAGCCAAACTGGCTAGGGCTACAAATGTTACTTCTTAATTTTATCACTGTTGGTGTTATCATGGAGATTACTGAGAAATAGAGACAGCCACTTTATCCCAGCAGCTCTCTCCATCCAAACTCTAGTCCCCATCTTACTCACCTCCTCCTGCTTCTCCCACAAGACTCAACTTTGGTACCATTCTGTGAAGAAATACTATGTTTTGTCCCTCACTCCCTGTGTGAGTTGGGTCCCTCACCTTTGCCTGTATCTTTCCTGGCTTTTAGTTGCCTCCACTCTGGGACTGTGGACTTCTGGAGGCCAGAGACTATGGGTTTTATTTGTGACTATTATTTTTTCTTGTTATGGTAGTTATCTTTACTTTCAGTCTCTGTATCTCTGAGACCTACTATACAGCGGATGCTTAGTTGGTGAGTGCACGGAGTAAATAGTGAACGTAAGGCTTCAACATGATCACAGTGTCACTTTTAACCTCCTTAATGGAACAAATTATGAAACACATGGCAGCATGCCAGTTCATAACAACAACATGCCCTAACGTGATCCTAACTGGCTCGTAGCTGACAACACCTGCTACATATTGGTGAGGACGACTATCCTGTAAAAACTCAATTTAAAAAGGGTTATAATTCAGACTAACTCATGCTGCCCTGGTCGTCTTGTGATGGACGCTCTCCTGCGGGTTTCTGAGCCTCGGCACTGTTGGATCTGGCTCGCGGGGCTCTCTGTTGTTGGGCTGTCGTAGGGTGCTGAGCGGCATCCCTGCTCTCGGCTCACTGGATGTCAGTAGCACCCCCACCTCCCCTTAGGCTGTGGCAATCAGATGGGTCTCCAGACATTGCCCATGTCCCCTGGGGAGCAAAATCCCCCCTGACTGAGAACTCTGCTGCACTGCCAAGAAGATGGTGATGATTCTTCAGCATTACCACTAAAGGCAAGTGGCTCCCTAACAAGTTACAAAAAGAGTTCTTGGCAATTACAGAGGGAAGCATTTTGACTTAGCTCCTGGCTTTTCAAATATAAGAATGGAGTGTATTTGAGCTTCACATAGCTTCGATCATTTTCCTTAATTTGTTAAATTGGTATGCTGTCATTCTCCATCTGCCCAGGACTGCGGCTCTCGAGCCACATGCGGCTCTTTGGCCCCTTGAGTGTGGCTCTTCCTAAGCCTTAGGAGTACCCTAATTAAGTTAATAACAATGTACCTACCTATATAGTTTAAGTTTAAAAAATTTGGCTCTCAAAAGAAATTTCAACCGTTGTACTGTTGATATTTGGCTCTGTTGACTAATGAGTTTGCCGACCACTGGCCTAGGAGACTCTACTAGCTCCACAGTCTCGTTCTTTTTTATTTATTTTTTAACAGAATTCTGGCATTTGCTTTTATTAGCTTTCTGATGAAAAGTTCACTTTCTCTTGGGTTCTGCGATTATAAAACAGGAATTACATGGCTTCAAACAAAGCTCATCAAGGCCTCGCAAATGCCAACACTGAAGTGTTAGGTGTTGTTATTCTAGTAAATCCCAGGTTACAGGCATATTTAAAATTCTCACAACTTGGTTGTTCTTTAGGCAGAAGTAGTAGA